CTACGTGACTTTACCGAAAGAACCAAAGAAGATGAATCCTTGCAGTCACGAAAGCTTTAAATCGAAAGATATAAATGTGTCGCTAAACCCACCACCACCCGACACAGCCCATGAGTAAGGTTTGTCACGTGAGCAGAACGTGCCATTTCGATACTAGTACAGCACGCCGGTCTGTTGGAGAGCAAATCCACAACATTCACAATCTAAATACGACGTTTCGCCAGTAATTACAACTGGCTTCATCAGGCTGTCGCCTTACTAATTAGCTGTCGGGTGGTGGCGGGTTTAACGACACATATATTTACGCGATCGAACCCCCCAAAAAAACCTGTACGATGGACGATACATTCACGTGATCTAACCCAAAAACGATACATTCACGTGATCTAACCCAAAAACGATACATTCACGTGATCTAACCCAAAAACGATACATTCACGTGATCTAACCCAAAAACGATACATTCACGTGATCTAACCCAAAAACGATACATTCACGTGATCTAACTCAAAAACGATACATTCACGTGATCTAACCCAAAAACGATACATTCACGTGATCTAACCCAAAAACGATACATTCACGTGATCTAACTCAAAAACGATACATTTACGTGATCTAACCCAAAAACGATACATTCACGTGATCTAACCCAAAAACGATACATTCACGTTATCTAACCCAAAAACGATACATTCACGTGATCTAACCCAAAAACGATACATTCACGTGATCTAACTCAAAAACGATACATTCACGTGATCTAACTCAAAAACGATACATTCACGTGATCTAACCCAAAAACGATACATTCACGTGATCTAACTCAAAAACGATACATTCACGTGATCTAACCCAAAAACGATACATTCACGTGATCTAACCCAAAAACGATACATTCACGTGATCTAACTCAAAAACGATACATTCACGTGATCTAACTCAAAAACGATACATTCACGTGATCTAACCCAAAAACGATACATTCACGTGATCTAACCCAAAAACGATACATTCACGTGATCTAACCCAAAAACGATACATTCACGTGATCTAACCCAAAAGCGATACATTCACGTGATCTAACCCAAAAACGATACATTTACGTGATCTAACTCAAAAACGATACATTTACGTGATCTAACCCAAAAACGATACATTCACGTGATCTAACTCAAAAACGATACATTCACGTGATCTAACCCAAAAACGATACATTCACGTGATCTAACTCAAAAACGCCTGGATTGTGTACGCAACTCTGTCAACGTTATTTCGTACGGCACGTGGCCACCCGCGCGAATCACAGGTGCGGAGTGGTGGAAGGCAAACAAACTAAAGCACAAAGAAAAGTTCGTCTCGCGGCCGGGATCACGTGCGGACGGACAGGTGACAACTGAGGACACGGAACGGAGCTTTAGCCGCACAAAGCCCCGACAGCGATAGAAGACCGCTGACTCTAAACGCCAACCCGGGCGTTATAAACTTCCCCGGTTCTCTTCCCACTCAGTGCCGGATTATCCTCGTAGCAAAAGTAGCTACTACATATGATGCTACGGGCCCCGCACTTTCAAGGGCCCCGCGCTAAATGCTTTAAACCTATCAATTCTGGTTCAGTGATTCTGCACTTGCTCTATTGCTATAGTACTATACCGCCTTCAACTTTTACGAACGACTGAGTGTTAATGTTAGCGGTTTGTGAAATGAAAAAATACAATTACTTTACTATGCAAATTAAACATGTTTTAATATTCATGTGTTTTTTAGGGCCCCTTTATAACATACTAGCTTTACTACCCGGCTTCGCCCGGGACTTGGATTCTCCACGCCCGGCCGCCTTTGTCTCCCAAGTGGCGATGTTCACAGACCACACGAGTTACTCGTTTTGAGGCTGACTCGACCTAGGGGAGGCCCAGGACCGGCTAAAATAATCGTCACCGGTGGTGGCCATGAGCGGGAATTGAACTCGGGTTGCCGGGTTCGTAGCGCAGCGCGTTAATTGCTATGCAGTCGCTGTCCCCCCCCCCCCTACACACAGGATAAAGACAAAAGTCCCCCGTGTAGCCTGTGAGACTGTAGGGGGCAAGTGCTGATAGCGAGCACCATCTATGAAGGCCGGCACAGCACACGAGTGGGTGGGTGGCCAGCACTACGCCCGGCCGCCTTTGTCTCCCCAGTGGCGATGTTCACACACTATACCAGTTACTCGTTTGAGGCCGAGTCGACCTACGGGAGGCCCAGGACCGGTTAAAATAATCGTCACCGGTGGTGGCCATGAGCAGGAATCAAACTCGGGTCGCAGCATAGCGCGCTAACCACTACACTACCGCTCCCCCCACACATACACGCGCTTGCTGCAGACACACACAACTTTCAGGGTGCGTACGGCAGTAAACGACTGAAATAATAAAGCAATGCTGCGCGATGAACGCCTTAGACCAGCAAGACATTTGTATTTCGCTTTAGCTGCGGAGGGTTGGGGGGGGTGACACCAGCAGGCACACTCCGTGACGCTTCCACATACGGGTCACATGACAGATTTGACGTCACAGCTCACTTGCCGTGCAAAAAATATATGCATTATATGGAGATGAATGGCTTGGCCTCGCTGTGTACTTCGTTGCACCACTATCCGAGTAGATAACCTCGCATTCAATACACCTTCAGAGCCAAGGTGAACATCCGACTCCAACCGTATTTAATTAATAGAACGAGGTAAAACTGATGGAAAAACACAGCACAAATACAGCATCTGTTAATACATGGAATATCAATACAATGAATGAACACTACAGCATCATAACATTGTCTTAGATAACATGAAACTCAACAATAGATCCTGGATGGACCAGGCGCTATATTAATACTGAATAGTTATACAAGAGAATAAGCTACTGTGTTAAGGCAACATCGTGTAATCACCATACTGCATCCTAAATGTACAGCACTACACAACAATGAACTGTGGATGAGATATTTCTTCATCCTTGCTCTCAAGATCGCAATAAGGTTACATGGGTACAAGTCTGACTCGACTTATTCAATTACAAGTAACATTCACAATAAGGCAAGTGGCAGGCTTCGTTGTTAACTAGGCCTCATATTTATCATAACAATTTAACAGCATTATAACGGCCATTCTAACATAACAGCGTTATTATAAGAACATGAACGAACTTACAGACAATGCTTCTTAAAGTCTCACAATGAACAGTTTGCATGTCTTTTCGGGGATGCTCTTTGTGCCACCATTCTGTCCTCTGTGTAATGGCTGACACCCTGCCGCGTGGCTGAGAGGGAATCCTGAATCGTAACTTCCTGGTCACGTGACCAAACTCAACCTCCAAACAGGAATTTCCTGTGTACACACAACCCCACACAACTGCCGTGAGGCAGAACAGCTGCCGTTAGGCAGAACAATGAACCTTATGAACCTTATGGCGGTGCCCCGGGGTCCCATAGTACCCCGGCTCTCGCACAATGTCCGTGATGCAGTCATGTTTAGTCTGTTGATGGTCGGCGATGGGGCAATCGACTCATCTCGACGAGCTGTGCGCGATGATGCACCACTACGGTGCGTACGAGCGTTCAGGGCTTCAACGCTATCATCGTCCTCGCTGCGTTTCGACATCACGGAGCAGCGCTGATTTCGGATTGATTGGTACCCCAGTCGCGGAGTTAAGTAACACCCCTCGAAAAAATAGTCTCCCAGAAATACAATATTTAATTGCCTCGGCCAGTTTGTATTATTTGGTACCCAGGGGTACCGCTATAAGGATCGTACGCTACAGGCCCTGCACTCACTTAATCCGGCACGGCTCCCACTCGTTGTTGACGGCTATCTCCCGCGTCGCAGAGTCTGTGGGTGTTGTAGCTTGTCGCGTCGTTAGTCCCCTAGGCGGTACCGGGTAGGTTTTTGTCAGCTGAGTGCGGATTCCCCAGAATGCTTCTGAAGAATGACCTCAGTTAGCATGAGGGTGTCTCATGACTCACTATATACTCGGCTTTTTTCACATACCTGTCAACCCCAAATCAGTGCCCACCTTATCACAGACCAATTCAGACCTCACAGGTTACCCCGTGCCCTTATAAATCTCAACGTTCACCCTACAAAGTCCCATCCCAAGGGAGAAACACAAATAAAATAGACAAAAACATTGTTTTTTGCCCGTTTTGAAACGGCTGTACGCCGTATGGACCCGAAAACGCAACTTCCCTGTACAAGAATACGGCTAAACCGAATGGGTTGACAGCTGTGTTATCACGGGCATAGCGACATCAAGGAGGGTGGGCGCCTTCCCCCTCGAGTTCCCATAATCACTGCCGCTCCTGCTGCGTGCTCCATTAAGTACAATTTGAAAAAGAAAAAAACTAATTCTGACCATATTCTTAATATATATATTTTATTATTTTGTTGTTTCCCTTCAACGTGACTTTACCGAAAAAACTAAGAATATGAATTACTGCAGTCACGAAAGCTTTAAATCAAAATTTAATTCTGACCAGCTTAACCGCCTGGATTCATGTCCGCCTGCCCGCCTGCCTGCACGGTTGGCACGCTCGTGCGCGACGTCACCGCGCACGTCTGCGTGATGACGTCACTCTCATTCCACAGCGATGAGGTGCGTGCGTGCTGACGTCACTCCCCCCCACCCCGCCGTGGCTACGACGTCACGACTGGCTGGCTACTTGTCACGACTTGTCACGAACGTCGTGCTTAGATTGTAAATGTTGTGGATTTTCTCTCCAACACAGCGGTGTTACTGTATTAGTCACGAATTGGCACGTTCTGTTTTACGTGACACTAAACCTTACTAATTGGCTGTGTCGGGTGGTGGCGGGTTTAACGACACATTTCTCTTTATGCGATCTAACCCAAAACGAAAACCTATACTTGGTTACTTATGTAGGATAAACGTATTTTATGCAAAACAACATCATGGTACTGATAATCATGCATTTGTATCTTGTCTCTTTCAAATGAACACGACCTGGCACAGCTACAACTTATGCTCGTAAGTAATTATTAGAATTAACATCATCACTGCATGTCATGATTGATTGTAGCAAGAGGACAACCACTGTTAAGCTGCAAGTCACCATTATTCAGGGTCATAAGCCTGTCCACAAAATTGTTAATTTTATTGACCTCAAAATGAAGGCCTGAATGAACCCTTGTATGCCAATGAACTTGCAACGTTATTACTAAGTCAAGAAATAACCACTGTGCCATGCTGCTGGAGTATAGAATGGTGTACTACTGGATTATTGAGTAAATATGCTGTATTTATATTCTTCTGTAAATAGGACTTGGTAGTTCAAGTATGAAGAACAATCCATTGCCAGAAAATGCACATCCCATAGATGTTAAAGGGTGTGATCTGAGCACTGCTGCTGCGAAGCCCTGACAATCGCTATCATCTCTGTGCGATGCTTCAGTCAGCTCATTAGCTAGTAACCAGTGAACTTAAGTCAGATGTAGCAATTAGTCATGTAGGCAACACATTGTGTTTAAAACACTACTGCATATTGAGATGCTCCATAACAATGACACAAGGACCCTGTTGATCACTGTCCTTTTGTCTGTTTCATGCCTTCATATTCGTCTGCAGAAACTACTGAGTACTCCACCTGTAAGTCATCACGCTCACACGTGACTCAGCACCACGTGCTGGTATCGGCAGCGCCACCGTTTATGCCCAGCCTCATGAGCAGTGCCCCAAGGTTGGGATGTCATCTTCAGGGATCAAGCTTCTTGCAAGTGAAGACGTGATCTGACACCTACGTTCTTCCCTCAACTGATATTGCCATAACAGTAAAAACACCCTTATAAAATGAACGAAATAATACAGTATTAATGTGCCGATGTACAGGAAAAAAAAGCCATGAATGACTCACGAAGTTTGACTATTCTGAGAGGATCCTGCTTAGTTTTTGGAAAACTGTAAATGTTTTCATCCTGGAGGAACCAGAGGGCGCACGAATCAAGCAAGCGTAGATGACACTTACACTCTCTCTGTATGGGTAAGAAATACTCATGTAAATTTTATTTTATGATTGCAAAAGCATCGTAATATTAATGTATTTGTGCTTTGTCTCTTTTCAAATCATCACGATCTGGCTCAGCTACAACTCCTGGTAAGTAATGCTTGTCAACATCATCTCTGTGCATGGTATGGGTCATTGTTTCGAGACGACAATTCCTGTTAACTCACCACAAATTGGTTCTAATTGACCTCAAATTGACTATCGACCGAATTGTTCCTTGTGTAGAGGTGTTAACTACGCGCTGTTGCGTAACCTGCATTGTCACCAGGGCAGTGCAGCATTACCCCTGGGTACAACGGTTGGGGTCAGTCGAGGTGAAACGGATCGTAGCCAGGGTTTGGTACGAACCAATCAGACGGTTCCACGTGGGAATGTATGATTGGTTCTGCCTGGCCAAGAAGGAGTATAAGACGGGTGACCCAACGGATCTCGGGGAGTTCTCTCCCTACACGAAGACAGAAGACTGGGCTGGAGCCTAGCTAGGACCCTGGACCAGCCTTCCAGCCCTTCTAAGGGCTAAGGCTCGGCATACCCAGTGGTCAGGACCCACCGGGCCAGCGGTGGGTCAGATAGCTTCTCCTACGTCCTAGCCGGAGTAGGATAGCGGTAGACGTGTGAGTCCCGCCAAGTCCGGAGGCTGCACCTCCTTAGGCATCAAGGACGTTAGCGGTAGATGTGTGAGTCCCGCCAAGTCCGGAGGCTGTACCTCCTTAGGTATCAAGGAGGTTAGCGGTAGACGTGAGTCCCGCCAAGTCCGGAGGCTGTACCTCCTTAGGGTATCGGGTGAGGGGACTATATATCCCTATGTGTGTGTTAATCATTGTATAAGGAAATAATACAATAAACAGAGTGTGCCTCCTAAGAAGTCTGCTCGTCCTTACAACACTACACTTGCATGGGATTTACCTTGCAACTTTCTGAGTCAAGCAATCTTGCCACTGTGCCATTCTGTGGGCTTATAGAGTTTGTATATTTATCTTCTTCTGTAAATAGGACTTGGTAGTTCAAGTATGAAAAACAATCCCTTACTCTTTGGTTCTTTCGGTATAGTCACGTAGATATAAAATAAATTAAATCACGACATTTCGGGCACAACACAAGCGTCCGTCATCAGGTGGGACAACCACAGCAAGAAATAATTGCTGAAGTGGGCAAAAGGGGCGCCGTGACAAGAGGCTGTATAGGTAAGAAAGGGGGGAGGAGGCAAGGGAGGAGAGAAGGGGGGCGGAGGAGGCGCGTGAGTGGCAGGGGAAGAGGACGTTACGCTGGGGGGAGGGGGGAGTGGGCGGGGCTAGAAGTGGGAAGGTGGTGGAAGAACAGATAGAGGACGTGAGGCTGGGGTGGGGGGACGTGGGCGGGGCTAGCAATAAACCGGAAGGTAATGATAGAAACAAGAACAAGTTAAGGGATTGCCTGGTTGATAACATCCTTCCAATGATTGTTCAATTTGTACCCATCTTCTCGGTTGAAGTTTTGTCTATGTTCATATATCTGAATGGCTTCATGAATAAACCGTTGATAGTAGCCTGAAGGTTTGCAGAGTACCTTGGTCTCGGAAAAAACAATATCATGCGAGCCCACAGCGTTTTAACAATGGTCAGCTACGTTAAACAATCAAACTATGCAAGTTAAACATTTGTGTATTAACGTGCCGATGTACAGGAAAAAAAGCCATGAATGACTCACCAAGTTTATTGACTATTCTGAGAGGATCCTGCTTAGTTTTTGGAAAACTGTAAATGTTTTCATCCTGGAGGAAACCAGAGGGCACACGAATCAATCAAGCGTAGATGACACTTACACTCTCTCTGTATGGGTAAGAAATACTCATGTAAATTTTATTTTATGATTGCAAAAGCATCGTAATATTAATGTATTTGTGCTTTGTCTCTTTTCAAATCATCACGATCTGGCTCAGCTACAACTCTTGGTAAGTAATAATTGTCAACATCATCTCTGTGCATGGTATGGGTCATTGTATAAAGACAACTCCTGGTAACTTACCACAAATTGGTTCCAATTTGATTGACCTCAAATTGACTATCGACCGAATTGTTCCTTATGTAGAGGTCTGCGTGATGACGTCACTCTCATTCCACAGCGATGAGCCGGGTGCGTGCATGCTGACGTCACTCCCCCCCCCACCCCGCCGTGGCTACGACGTCACGACTGGCTGGCTACTTGTCACGACTTGTCACGAACGTCGTGCTTAGATTGTAAATGTTGTGGATTTTCTCTCCAACACAGCGGTGTTACTGTATTAGTCACGAATTGGCACGTTCTGTTTTACGTGAACCTAAACCTTACTAATTAGCTGTGTCGGGTGGTGGCGGGTTTAACGACACATTTCTCTTTATGCGATCTAACCCAAAACGAAAACCTATACTTGGTTACTTATGTAGGAGAAGCGTATTTTATGCAAAACAACATCAAGGTACTGATACTCATGCATTTGTATCTTGTCTCTTTCAAATGAACACGACCTGGCACAGCTACAACTTATGCTGGCAAGTAATTATTATAATTAACATCATCTCTGCATGTCATGATTGATTGTAGCAAGAGGACAACCACTGTTAAGCTGCAAGTCACCATTATTCAGGGTCATGAGCCTGTCCACAAAATTGTTAATTTTATTGACCTCAAAATGAAGGCCTGAATGAACCCTTGTATGCCAATGAACTTGCAACGTTATTACTAAGTCAAGAAATAACCACTGTGCCATGCTGCTGGAGTATAGAATGGTGTACTACTGGATTATTGAGTAAATATGCTGTATTTATATTCTTCTGTAAATAGGACTTGGTAGTTCAAGTATGAAGAACAATCCATTGCCAGAAAATGCACATCCCATAGATGTTAAAGGGTGTGATCTGAGCACTGCTGCTGCGAAGCCCTGACAATCGCTATCATCTCTGTGCGATGCTTCAGTCAGCTCATTAAGTAACCAGTGAACTTAAGTCAGATGTAGCAATTAGTCATGTAGGCAACACATTGTGTTTAAAACACTACTGCATATTGGAAGGCCCTGGTACGGATCGCATTGTTTTGGACACGTGCTTTTGAGATGCTCCATAACAATGACACAAGGACCCTGTTGATCACTGTCCTTTTGTCTGTTTCATGCCTTCATATTCGTCTGCAGAAACTACTGAGTACTCCACCTGTAAGTCATCACGCTCACACGTGACTCAGCACCACGTGCTGGTATCGGCAGCGCCACCGTTTACGCCCAGCCTCATGAGCAGTGCCCCAAGGTTGGGATGTCATCTTCAGGGATCAAGCTTCTTGCAAGTGAAGACGTGATCTGACACCTACGTTCTTCCCTCAACTGATATTGCCATAACAGTAAAAACACCCTTATAAAATGAACGAAATAATACAGTATTAATGTGCCGATGTACAGGAAAAAAAAGCCATGAATGACTCACGAAGTTTGACTATTCTGAGAGGATCCTGCTTAGTTTTTGGAAAACTGTAAATGTTTTCATCCTGGAGGAACCAGAGGGCGCACGAATCAAGCAAGCGTAGATGACACTTACACTCTCTCTGTATGGGTAAGAAATACTCATGTAAATTTTATTTTATGATTGCAAAAGCATCGTAATATTAATGTATTTGTGCTTTGTCTCTTTTCAAATCATCACGATCTGGCTCAGCTACAACTCCTGGTAAGTAATGCTTGTCAACATCATCTCTGTGCATGGTATGGGTCATTGTTTCGAGACGACAATTCCTGTTAACTCACCACAAATTGGTTCTAATTGACCTCAAATTGACTATCGACCGAATTGTTCCTTGTGTAGAGGTGTTAACTACGCGCTGTTGCGTAACCTGCATTGTCACCAGGGCAGTGCAGCATTACCCCTGGGTACAACGGTTGGGGTCAGTCGAGGTGAAACGGATCGTAGCCAGGGTTTGGTACGAACCAATCAGACGGTTCCACGTGGGAATGTATGATTGGTTCTGCCTGGCCAAGAAGGAGTATAAGACGGGTGACCCAACGGATCTCGGGGAGTTCTCTCCCTACACGAAGACAGAAGACTGGGCTGGAGCCTAGCTAGGACCCTGGACCAGCCTTCCAGCCCTTCTAAGGGCTAAGGCTCGGCATACCCAGTGGTCAGGACCCACCGGGCCAGCGGTGGGTCAGATAGCTTCTCCTACGTCCTAGCCGGAGTAGGATAGCGGTAGACGTGTGAGTCCCGCCAAGTCCGGAGGCTGCACCTCCTTAGGCATCAAGGACGTTAGCGGTAGATGTGTGAGTCCCGCCAAGTCCGGAGGCTGTACCTCCTTAGGTATCAAGGAGGTTAGCGGTAGACGTGAGTCCCGCCAAGTCCGGAGGCTGTACCTCCTTAGGGTATCGGGTGAGGGGACTATATATCCCTATGTGTGTGTTAATCATTGTATAAGGAAATAATACAATAAACAGAGTGTGCCTCCTAAGAAGTCTGCTCGTCCTTACAACACTACACTTGCATGGGATTTACCTTGCAACTTTCTGAGTCAAGCAATCTTGCCACTGTGCCATTCTGTGGGCTTATAGAGTTTGTATATTTATCTTCTTCTGTAAATAGGACTTGGTAGTTCAAGTATGAAAAACAATCCCTTACTCTTTGGTTCTTTCGGTATAGTCACGTAGATATAAAATAAATTAAATCACGACATTTCGGGCACAACACAAGCGTCCGTCATCAGGTGGGACAACCACAGCAAGAAATAATTGCTGAAGTGGGCAAAAGGGGCGCCGTGACAAGAGGCTGTATAGGTAAGAAAGGGGGGAGGAGGCAAGGGAGGAGAGAAGGGGGGCGGAGGAGGCGCGTGAGTGGCAGGGGAAGAGGACGTTACGCTGGGGGGAGGGGGGAGTGGGCGGGGCTAGAAGTGGGAAGGTGGTGGAAGAACAGATAGAGGACGTGAGGCTGGGGTGGGGGGACGTGGGCGGGGCTAGCAATAAACCGGAAGGTAATGATAGAAACAAGAACAAGTTAAGGGATTGCCTGGTTGATAACATCCTTCCAATGATTGTTCAATTTGTACCCATCTTCTCGGTTGAAGTTTTGTCTATGTTCATATATCTGAATGGCTTCATGAATAAACCGTTGATAGTAGCCTGAAGGTTTGCAGAGTACCTTGGTCTCGGAAAAAACAATATCATGCGAGCCCACAGCGTTTTAACAATGGTCAGCTACGTTAAACAATCAAACTATGCAAGTTAAACATTTGTGTATTAACGTGCCGATGTACAGGAAAAAAAGCCATGAATGACTCACCAAGTTTATTGACTATTCTGAGAGGATCCTGCTTAGTTTTTGGAAAACTGTAAATGTTTTCATCCTGGAGGAAACCAGAGGGCACACGAATCAATCAAGCGTAGATGACACTTACACTCTCTCTGTATGGGTAAGAAATACTCATGTAAATTTTATTTTATGATTGCAAAAGCATCGTAATATTAATGTATTTGTGCTTTGTCTCTTTTCAAATCATCACGATCTGGCTCAGCTACAACTCTTGGTAAGTAATAATTGTCAACATCATCTCTGTGCATGGTATGGGTCATTGTATAAAGACAACTCCTGGTAACTTACCACAAATTGGTTCCAATTTGATTGACCTCAAATTGACTATCGACCGAATTGTTCCTTATGTAGAGGTCTGCGTGATGACGTCACTCTCATTCCACAGCGATGAGCCGGGTGCGTGCATGCTGACGTCACTCCCCCCCCCACCCCGCCGTGGCTACGACGTCACGACTGGCTGGCTACTTGTCACGACTTGTCACGAACGTCGTGCTTAGATTGTAAATGTTGTGGATTTTCTCTCCAACACAGCGGTGTTACTGTATTAGTCACGAATTGGCACGTTCTGTTTTACGTGAACCTAAACCTTACTAATTAGCTGTGTCGGGTGGTGGCGGGTTTAACGACACATTTCTCTTTATGCGATCTAACCCAAAACGAAAACCTATACTTGGTTACTTATGTAGGAGAAGCGTATTTTATGCAAAACAACATCAAGGTACTGATACTCATGCATTTGTATCTTGTCTCTTTCAAATGAACACGACCTGGCACAGCTACAACTTATGCTGGCAAGTAATTATTATAATTAACATCATCTCTGCATGTCATGATTGATTGTAGCAAGAGGACAACCACTGTTAAGCTGCAAGTCACCATTATTCAGGGTCATGAGCCTGTCCACAAAATTGTTAATTTTATTGACCTCAAAATGAAGGCCTGAATGAACCCTTGTATGCCAATGAACTTGCAACGTTATTACTAAGTCAAGAAATAACCACTGTGCCATGCTGCTGGAGTATAGAATGGTGTACTACTGGATTATTGAGTAAATATGCTGTATTTATATTCTTCTGTAAATAGGACTTGGTAGTTCAAGTATGAAGAACAATCCATTGCCAGAAAATGCACATCCCATAGATGTTAAAGGGTGTGATCTGAGCACTGCTGCTGCGAAGCCCTGACAATCGCTATCATCTCTGTGCGATGCTTCAGTCAGCTCATTAAGTAACCAGTGAACTTAAGTCAGATGTAGCAATTAGTCATGTAGGCAACACATTGTGTTTAAAACACTACTGCATATTGGAAGGCCCTGGTACGGATCGCATTGTTTTGGACACGTGCTTTTGAGATGCTCCATAACAATGACACAAGGACCCTGTTGATCACTGTCCTTTTGTCTGTTTCATGCCTTCATATTCGTCTGCAGAAACTACTGAGTACTCCACCTGTAAGTCATCACGCTCACACGTGACTCAGCACCACGTGCTGGTACCGGCAGCGCCACCGTTTACGCCCAGCCTCATGAGTAGTGCCCCAAGGTTGGGATGTCATCTTCAGGGATCAAGCTTCTTGCAAGTGAAGACGTGATCTGACACCTACGTTCTTCCCTCAACTGATATTGCCATAACAGTAAAAAACTCTTATAAAATGGACTAAATAATACAGTAGTCATATGACCATGTACAAGATAAAAATATAGCCATGAATGACTCACCAAGTTTATTGAGCATTCTGAGAGGATCCTGCTTAGTCTTTGGAAAACTGTAAATGTTTTCATCCTGGAGGAACCAGAGGGCACACGAATCAAGCAAGCGTAGATGACACTTACACTCTCTCTGTATGGGTAAGAAATACTCATGTAAATTTTATATTATGATTGCAAAAGCATCGTAATATTAATGTATTTGTGCTTTGTCTCTTTTCAAATCATCACGATCTGGCTCAGCTACAACTCTTGGTAAGTAATAATTGTCAACATCATCTCTGTGCATGGTATGGGTCATTGTATAAAGACAACTCCTGGTAACTTACCACAAATTGGTTCCAATTTGATTGACCTCAGATTGACTATCGACCGAATTGTTCCTTGTGTAGAGGTGTTAACTACGCGCTGTTGCGTAACCTGCATTGTCACCAGGGCAGTGCAGCATTACCCCTGGGTACAACGGTTGGGGTCAGTCGAGGTGAAACGGATCGTAGCCAGGGTTTGGTACGAACCAATCAGACGGTTCCACGTGGGAATGTATGATTGGTTCTGCCTGGCCACGAAGGAGTATAAGACGGGTGACCCAACGGACCTCGGGGAGTTCTCTGCCTACACGAAGACAGAAGACTTGGCTGGAGCCTAGCTAGGACCCTGGACCAGCCTTCCAGCCCTTTTAAGGGCTAAGGCTTGGCATACCCAGTGGTCAAGACCCACTGGGCCAGCGGTGGGTCAGATAGCCTCCCCTAGGTCCTAGCCAGAGGACTAGGATAGCGGTAGACGTGTGAGTCCCGCCAAGTCCGGAGGTTGTACCTCCTTAGGCATCAAGGAGGTTAGCGGTAGACGTGTGAGTCCCGCCCGGTCCGGAGGCTGTACCTCCTTAGGGTATCGGGTGAGGGGACTATATATCCCTCTGTGTGTGTTAAGCATTGTATAAGGAAATAATACAATAAATAGAGTGTGCCTCCTAAGAAGTCTGCTCGTCCTTACAACACTACACTTGCATGGGATTTACCTTGCAACTTTCTGAGTCAAGCAATCTAGCCACTGTGCCATTCTGTGGGCTTATAGAGTTTGTATATTTATCTTCTTCTGTAAATAGGACTTGGTAGTTCAAGTATGAAAAACAATCCCTTACTCTTTGGTTCTTTCGGTAAAGTCACGTAGATATAAAATAAATTAAATCACGACATTTCGGGCACAACACAAGCGTCTGTCATCAGGTGGGACAACCACAGCAAGAAATAATTGGTCCCCACAACACCATTGAGTGGTCCCCACACCACCACTGAGTGGTCCCCACACCACCACTAAGTGGTCCCCACACCACCACTGAGTGGTCCCCACACCACCACTGAGTGGTCTCCACACCACCACTAAGTGTGGTCTCCACACCACCACTGAGTGGTCCCCACACCACCACTAAGTGGTCCCCACACCACCACTGAGTGGTCCCCACACCACCACTGAGTGGTCTCCACACCACCACTAAGTGGTCTCCACACCACCACTAAGTGGTCCCCACACCACCACTAAGTGGTCTCCACACCACCACTAAGTGGTCTCCACACCACCACTAAGTGGTCTCCACACCACCACTGAGTAGTCCCCACACCACTACTAAGTGGTCTCCACACCACCACTGAGTGGTCTCCACACCACCACTGAGTGGTACCCACACCACCACTGAGTGGTCTCCACACCACCACTGAGTGGTCTCCACACCACCACTAAGTGGTCCCCACACCACCACTGAGTGGTCTGCAGGGCTGTGATGTCACCGCAGGTTGATCCAGACAACAATGACACCTTTGGTACCTTTCGTTTCGGACATTAATTCATATTTTTGATATTCAAAGTAAAAATTAAGTTTGGTAAAACTACGCTGATAGAACTCCCGTAACCCTAACATCCAAATGCCCCTCCTAAAAAAAACGAACAGCTGCGTTTAAAAAAAGACATGTTTGTTATGTTCCGGTGTTATGAATCATTTAGTATGAGTGGTGTTTAGAGAGAGAAGTGAATGAGTTGTGTCACCAGGGGTGCGGGGGTGGCTGGGTGGTGATCTGCGGAAACGTTTACATCGGCTGAGTGGTGCGGGGGCCAAACAAGTTTGAGAAACACTGCGCTGAAGGAGGCATTACATTTATTTATGATAAATAGTCATCAAGTTGTAAATGCCCGATTTTATGCACGTATCTTGAGCGTGACGGTAGATTTTGATACGCGGGTCATTAAATGCGCAAAGCTGTTCCAATGATGAATAATACAAATAAATACTTTAATTCTCACCAGATGCGCCCATACGGCTGGCTGGGGGTGGCTCCTCGTGTCAGGGCCGGGTGGAGGTGTTCTACGGCGGCACGTGGGGCACGGTGTGCGATGACATCTGGAATCTGCAGCACGCCCAGGTCGTGTGTCGCCAGCTGGGCTGTGGCTACGCTGTGGCTGCGTTGTCCTTTGCTCACTTCGGACCGGGCGATGGTCCGATCTGGCTCGACGATGTCCAGTGTTCTGGCTTCGAGCCTGAGCTCTCCTCCTGTCAGCATCCTTCCTGGGGGCGTCACGACTGTGTCCATCAGGAGGATGCCTCTGTCATCTGCTCGCAAGGTACATTCAGTGAAACGTGCATGTGTAAACTACGCCTAGATGCCCTGTAAATACATGTCCACGACGCTTCTATGTAGCCCAATGGAAAGGGTCAAAGGAGAAGAGATAATGAGATGTACAAAGTTAGACATTCATTTTTAGTATCATCAGTTTGTAGTTTGAGGAGCCACAAAACACTGTCCGAAGGGAGGTGATTTGAAGCTTTCGTGACTGCAGGAATCCATACTCTTTGGTTCTTTCGGTAAAGTCACGTAGATACCTTTTTTCTGCATCATCGCGAGATGCGATTTAAGCACCGGGTGGCATCATGGGGGATAACGTCTACGCCAGGAGCAATGAGCGAGCCCTGCTGTGACGCTGTAATGGAATGTATTGCTCCCACTTGATATTAAACTGTTTCATCATGTTTAGTGGTTTAACATGCGATGGGTGACTCTTCAGGCTTTGTGATGCTCATTAACAACGATACAAGGACCCTGCTGATCACTGTGCTTTTGTCTGTTTCATGCCTTCAGATTGGTCGTCTGCAGAAACTACTACTTACGCCACCAGTAAGTCATCACGCTCACACGTGACTCACAGCACCACGTGCTGGTACCGGCAGCGCCACCGTTTAGGTCCAGCCTCATGAGCAGTGCCCCAAGCTTGGGATGTCATCTTCAGGGATTGAGCTTCTTGCACGTGAAGACGTGATCGTACACCTACATTCTTCCCTTACCTGATACTGACTGTCACAACAACGAAAACACCCCTTATTAAATTAACTAAATAATACTGTAGTCATACTCTTTAGTTCTATTCGGTAAAGTTACGTGACTTTACCGAATAGAACCAAAGAGTATGGATCCTTGCAGTCACAAAAGCTTCAAATCTAGAATACTGTAGTCGTGTGATCATGTACAGGATAAAAACAAACATACATATGATTGACTCTCAGAGTTTATAGACTATTCTGAGAATATCCTGGCCATAGTTTTGGCAAAACTGGAATGTTTGCATGCAGGAGGCAACCAGAAGGGCACATTGATCAATCAAGCATAGATGACACTTACACTCTCTCTGTATAGGTCAGAAATACATGTAAATATGAATTTATTATTGCAAAATGATTGTAATATTCATGTATTTCTACTTTGTCTCTTTTCAAATAATCTTGATCTGATTCAGCTACAACTCCTGGTAAGTAATAATTGTCAACACCAACATCTCAATGCATGGTATGGGTTATTGTATAGAGAAAACAATATCTCGTGCTAACTAACCATGAATTAGATAGAATTATATTGACCTCAGATTGATGACCAGTCGAATTGTTCCTTGCAACGGATTTATTTTGCAACTTTCTGAATCAAGCACTCTAGCCACTTCTGTTAGATTAGATAGTTTGTGTATGTATATTCTGCTGTAAATACGACTGGGTAATTCACGTATGAAGAACAACCCCTTGCTATAAAATTTCCATCCCATTGATGAAAATGGGTTTGGTCTGTTTTAAATATGAATCATTTGGGGGAGCCCTTAGCAGTGCTGCTGCTAAGCCCAGACAATCGCTATCATCATCTCTGTGCGACAGTGCCTCATTAACAGCATTCAGCTCATTAGCTTGTAACCATTGTGAATTCAACAAGCCAGACGTAGCAATTACAGTCGTGTAGGTTATATATTTAGTTCACAACATTACAGCACAATGAATGGCCCTGGTTGCATGACACTGTTTTTGGACAGGTGGTCTGTATTACATATTTAGTGGCATCGCGGGATGTCACTATGCAGTGCCGGCCTTAGAGAGGCGCGGCGTGCGGTGTAACGACATTGCGGACACCACAATGGTGTGGGTGCAGTAACGGCCCTAGACGGGCTTGGTGAGCGCTGATTGATAGCGCTGGATGGCACCACGATTGGCGTGCAGTGCCAGCCCCTGCATGATAGGGTGTGGGAGTGCCGGGCGTAGGAATGAGTTTACTAAAGGCCATGGCACTCTGGTTGACCCGAAAGGACACGTGACCAGTTAAGTCTACAAAGGGGCCCCAAGTGGGGGCTAGGGGGGTCACGTGGTCGGGGTCCAGATTCTGCTCGAGGATTCTGGAAGGTGGGCGTGGCCAAGGGCGGAGCCAGCCACGCCGCAGAGAATATAAGCCGGGTCCCCCAGAGGGACCGGCGTTGTTGGTCACCTGAAGAAACCTTCGTCTACGTACTCCAAGTCTCCAACACGTGGACCTGGACCCGAGTTGTGGTCCTTAGTAGCTAGTTACGTGGTAATTACTGTAGTTAGCCTGGTGGTCACAAGCATAGGTTATTCTATTAAGGGGCAGTTACGCTGTGTGTTGGTGTTAAATAAATGTGTTGTCTCCAAGTGTACGTCTGCGACTCAGTTGAACTCACTACACATATAATCAGGTTTTGAGATGCTCCATAACAATGATACAAGGACCATACTGATCACTGTGCTTTCGTCTGTTTCATGCCTTCACATTCATCGTCTACAGAATCTACTACCCTCCAATGTAAGTCCTCATGCACACACGTGACTCACAGCACCACGTGCTGGTACCGGCAGCGCCACCGTTTAAGCCCAGCCTCATAAGCAGTGCCCCAAGCTTGGGATGTCATCTTCAGGGATTGAACTTCTTCCAAGTGAAGACGTGATCAGACACCTACATTCTTCCCTCACCTGATACGGAGCTAAATGATACAGTAGTCATGTGACCTTGCACACGATAACAAAACAAACATACCTATGAATGACTCAGAGTGTGTAGACTATTCTCAGATATCCTGGTTATAATTGTTAAAAAACTGAAATGTTTTCTTGCAGCAGGCAACTGCAAGGGTACACAAATCAAGCACGTATAGATGACACTTACACTGTATATACAGGTGAAAAAGTACGTGTGTAAATATTAATTTAATATTGCAAAATGATTGTAATATTCATGTATTTGTACTTTGTCTCTTTTCAAATAATCACGATCTGGCTCAGCTACATCTACTGGTAAGTACTGATTGTCAACCTCATCTCTGTGCATGGTATGGGTCATTGTATAGAGACGACATCTCCTGTTAACGTACCACAAATTGGTCCTAATTATATTGACCTCAGATTAATGATTGGCAAAATTGTTCCTTGCATGGGATTTACATTGCAACTTTCTGAGTCAAGCAATCTAGCCACTGTGCCATTCTGCGGGCTTATAGAGTTTGTTTATTTATATTCTTCTGTACATAGGACTTGGTAGTTCAAGTATGAAAAGCAAGCCCTTGTTAGAAAATTAACATCCCATTTATGCAAATGGGTTTGGTCTTTTTTAAATAACTTATCATTTTGTGTGGCCCTTTGCATTGCTGCTGCTACAATCACTATCATCATCATCTCTGTGCGATGATGGCTCATTAACTGCAGGCAGCTCATCAAGTTACCACTGTGAACTTAACAAGCCAGATGTAACAATTACAGTATTGTAGGTTAAACATTTTGCTCACAAAACTACTTCGTAAAGAATGTCCCTGTAAATGGATGACACTGTATGGGACAGGTGGTCTGTATTACATATTTTCAGATTTTGAGATGCTCCATAACAATGATACAAGGACCTTGCTGATCACTGTGCTTCTGTCTGTTTCATGGCTTCACATTCATCGTCTACAGAATCTACTACCCTCCCATGTAAGTCCTCATGCACACATGTGACTCACAGCACCACGTGCTGGTACCGGCAGCGCTGCAGTTTAGGCCCAGCCTCATGAGCCGTGCCCCAAGCTTGGGATGTCATCTTCAGAGATCGAGCTTCTTCCAAGTGAAGACGTGATCTGACACCTACATTCTTCCCTCAACTGATATTTTCATGACAGTAAAACACTCTTATTAAATGGACTAAATAATACAGTAGTCATATGACCATGTACAGGATCAAAATATACCGATGAATGACTCACCAAGTTTACACACAATTCTTAGAAGATCCTGCTTAGTCTTTGTAAAACTGTTTTTCAATGTTTGCATCCTGGAGGAAACCAGAGGGCACACGGATCAAGCAAGCGTAGATGACACTTACACTGTCTATATAGTTCAGAAATACGATTGAAATATCATCTAATACAGGCACGACATTGTCCTCTGAGTTAACCTCGAACACAAAACAGCCCCGTCTCTCCGTGATCCACAAACATCACCTCTGAGTTATAGGATTACAGTCACGCACAACCACAGAAAGACAGATAGTATTTAACAGATGGCTCACATGACTGTAAAGTCTTTATTTAGTCCATGATTATTTTTATTAAGTCACCTTGAAGTTATCGTTTCTGTGTGTGTGCACAACATTGTATTGAGGATCATGTAAAGTTCGAGTGATCCGAGATCAAAAAGTCAGGTAAAAGGTTGAAGCCCAGGCATCACCCAGTGCAATAAACATTGTAAACATGGTCACTGTACCATCACGCGCTTTCAGATGCCCTTTTCTGGGGGGCTGGAAAGCTCTTCCGACATTAGGAAGTCACTGGAGCTGCGAACTTTTAAATCCAGATTGAAAACCAATTTCTTCACAACTGATTTTTGTGCTTAGTTGTCTGTTCCCCGCACCTGCGATTAGCACGGTTGGCCACGTGAGCTGCGAAAGAAGTTGAACATGCAGACCTAATGATTGCACTTTTCTTTGCAGATTGGTGCCAGTCATACCCCTGTCAAAATGGCGGCACCTGTACATTCACCTGGTCGTATCCCTACTACCAGTGCTTTTGCCCTCCAGGATCATATGGCAGCAACTGTGAATACGGAAGTAAGATAACTCCTTGAACCTTGGTTATCCCTTTTCACGAATCAAGCATTGTCATGTATCTGCTCATATTAATGTGCACGTGGATGTATAAGTCTGTATACTTGTTCGTGTTTTTTCGAGACGTGATCGGACACCTACATTCTTCCCGCAACTGATATTGGCGCAACAACGAAAGCCCTTATAAAATGGACTAAATAATACAGTAGTCGCCTGACCATGTTCAGGGTGAAAATATAGCCATGAATCATTCACCAAGTTTATAGACTATTCTTAGAAGATCCTGCTTCGTCTTTGGAAAACTGATTGTATATGTTTACATCCTGGAGGAAACCATAGGGCACACGAATCAAGCAAGTGTAGATGATACTTACACTCTGAGTGTATAGGTCAGAAATATGCGTGTAAATATGAATTTATTATTGCAAAATGATTGTAATATTCATGTATTTGTACCTTGTCTCTTTTCAAATAATGACGATCTGGCTCAGCTATAACTCCTGGTAAGTAATGCTTGTCAACATCATCTCTGTGCATGGTATGGGTCATTGTTTCGAGACGACAACTCCTGTTAACTCACCACAAATTGGTTCTAATTGACCTCAGATTGACTATCGACCGAATTGTTCCTTGCATGGGATTTACCTTGCAACTTTCTGAGTCAAACAATGTAGCCACTGTGCCATTCTCTGGGCTTATAGAGTGTGTATATTTATATTGTTCTGTAAATCGGACTTGTTAGTTCAAGTATGAAAAACAAGCCCTTGTTAAAAAATGTACATCCCATTGATGTATATGGGTTTGGTCTGTTTGAAATAATTATCATTTGGTGTGGCCCTTAGCACTGCTGTTGCTAAGCCCCTACAATCGCTTTCATCATCTCTGTGCGACAGTGCTTCATTAACAGCATTCAGCTCATTAGCTTGTAACCATTGTGAATTCAACAAGCCAGACGTAGCAATTACAGTCGTGTAGGTTATATATTTAGTTCACAACATTACAGCACAATGAATGGCCCTGGTTGCATGACACTGTTTTTGTACAGCTGGTCTGTATTACATATTTAGTGGCATCGCGGGATGTCACTATGCAGTGCCGGCCTTAGAGAGGCACGGCGTGCGGTGTAACGACATCGCGGACACCACAATGGTGTGGGTGTAGTGCCGGCCCTAGACGGGCTTGATGAGCGCTGATTGATAGCGCTGGATGGCACCACGATTGGCCTGCAGTGCCAGCCCCTACAGGATAGGGTGTGGGAGTGCCGGGCGTAGGAATGAGTTTACTAAAGGCCATGGCACTCTGGTTGACCCGAAAGGACACGTGACCAGTTAAGTCTACAAAGGGGCCCCAAGTGGGGCTAGGGGGGTCACGTGGTCGGGGTCCAGATCCTGCTCGAGGATTCTGGAAGGTGGGCGTGGCCAAGGGCGGAGCCAGCCACGCCGCAGAGAATATAAGCCGGGTCCCCCAGAGGGACCGGCGTTGTTGGTCACCTGAAGAAACCTTCGTCTACGTACTCCAAGTCTCCAACACGTGGACCTGGACCCGAGCTGTGATCCTTAGTAGCTAGTTACGTGGTAATTAGTGTAGTTAGCCTGGTGGTCACAAGCATAGGATATTCTATTAAGGTGCAGTTACGCTGTGCGTTGGTGTTACATAAATGTGTTGTCTCCAAGTGTACGTCTGCGACTCAGTTGAACTCACTACATATATATTCAGATTTTGAGATGCTCCATAACAATGATACAAGGACCATACTGATCACTGTGCTTTCGTCTGTTTCATGCCTTCACATTCATCGTCTACAGAATCTACTACCCTCCAATGTAAGTCCTCATGCACACACGTGACTCACAGCACCACGTGCTGGTACCGGCAGCGCCACCGTTTAGGCCCAGCCTCATAAGCAGTGCCCCAAGCTTAGGATGTCATCTTCAGGGATTGAACTTCTTCCAAGTGAAGACGTGATCAGACACCTACATTCTTCCCTCACCTGATACGGAGCTAAATGATACAGTAGTCATGTGACCTTGCACACGATAACAAAACAAACATACCTATGAATGACTCAGAGTGTGTAGACTATTTTAAGATATCCTGGTTATAATTGTTATAAAACTGAAATGTTTTCTTGCAGCAGGCAACTGCAAGGCTACACAAATCAAGCACGTATAGATGACACTTACACTGTATATACAGGTGAAAAAGTACGTGTGTAAATATTAATTTATTATTGCAAAATGATTGTAATATTCATGTATTTGTACTTTGTCTCTTTTCAAATAATCACGATCTGGCTCAGCTACATCTACTGGTAAGTACTGATTGTCAACCTCATATCTGTGCATGGTATGGGTCATTGTATAGAGACGACATCTCCTGTTAACGTACCACAAATTGGTCCTAATTATATTGACCTCAGATTAATGATCGGCAAAATTGTTCCTTGCATGGGATTTACAATGCAACTTTCTGAGTCAAGCAATCTAGCCGCTGTGCCATTCTGCGGGCTTATAGAGTTTGTTTATTTATATTCTTCTGTACATAGGACTTGGTAGTTCAAGTATGAAAAGCAAGCCCTTGTTAGAAAATTAACATCCCATTTATGCAGATGGGTTTGGTCTTTTTTAAATAACTTATCATTTTGTGTGGCCCTTTGCATTGCTGCTGCTACAATCACTATCATCATCATCTCTGTGCGATGATGGCTCATTAACTGCAGACAGCTCATCAAGTTACCACTGTGAACTTAACAAGCCAGATGTAACAATTACAGTATTGTAGGTTAAACATTTTGCTCACACAACTACTTCGTAAAGAATGTCCCTGTAAATGGATGACACTGTATGGGACAGGTGGTCTGTATTACATATTTTGATATTTTGAGATGCTCCATAACAATGATACAAGGACCTTGCTGATCACTGTGCTTTTGTCTGTTTCATGGCTTCACATTCATCGTCTGCAGAATCGAATACCCTCCCATGTAAGTCCTCATGCACACACGTGGCTCACAGCACCACGTGCTGGTACCGGCAGCGCTGCAGTTTAGGCCCAGCCTCATGAGCCGTGCCCCAAGCTTGGGATGTCATATTCAGGGATCGAGCTTCTTCCAAGTGAAGACGTGATCTGACACTTACATTCTTCCCTCAACTGATATTTCCATGACAGTAAAAAACTCTTATAAAATGGACTAAATAATACAGAAGTCATATGACCATGTACAGGATCAAAATATACCGATGAATGACTCACCAAGTTTACACACAATTCTTAGAAGATCCTGCTTAGTCTTTGGAAAACTGTTTTTCAATGTTTGCATCCTGGAGGAAACCAGAGGGCACACGGATCAAGCAAGCGTAGATGACACGTACACTGTCTATATAGTTCAGAAATACGATTGAAGTATCATCTAATACAGGCACGACATTGTCCTCTGAGTTAATCTCGAACACAAAACAGCCCCGTCTCTCCGTGATCCACAAATATCACCTCTGAGTTATAGGATTACAGTCACCCACAACCACAGAAAGTCAGATAGTATTTAACAGATGGCTCACATGACTGTAAAGTCTTTATTTAGTCCATGATTATTTTTATTATGTCACCATGAAGTTATCGTTTCAGTGTGTGTGCACAACATTGTATTGAGGATCATGTAAAGTTCGAGTGATCCGAGATCAAAAAGTCAGGTAAAAAGTTGAAGGCCAGGCATCAGCCAGTGCAATAAACATTGTAAACATGGTCACTGTATCATCACGCGCTTTCAGATGCCCTTTTGTGGGGGTCTGGAAAGCTCTTCCGACATTAGGAAGTCACTGGAGCTGCGAACTTTTAAATCCAGATTGAAAACCAATTTCTTCACAACTGATTTTTGTGCTTAGTTGTCTGTTCCCCGCACCTGCGATTAGCACGGTTGGCCACGTGAGCTGCGAAAGAAGTTGAACATGCAGACCTAATGATTGCACTTTTCTTTGCAGATTGGTGCCAGTCATACCCCTGTCAAAATGGCGGCACCTGTACATTCACCTGGTCGTATCCCTACTACCAGTGCTTTTGCCCTCCAGGATCATATGGCAGCAACTGTGAATACGGAAGTAAGATAACTCCTTGAACCTTGGTTATCCCTTTTCACGAATCAAGCATTGTCATGTATCTGCTCATATTAATGTGCACGTGGATGTATAAGTCTGTATACTTGTTCGTGTTTTTTCGAGACGTGATCGGACACCTACATTCTTCCCGCAACTGATATTGGCGCAACAACGAAAGCCCTTATAAAATGGACTAAATAATACAGTAGTCGCCTGACCATGTTCAGGGTGAAAATATAGCCATGAATCATTCACCAAGTTTATAGACTATTCTTAGAAGATCCTGCTTCGTCTTTGGAAAACTGATTGTATATGTTTACATCCTGGAGGAAACCATAGGGCACACGAATCAAGCAAGTGTAGATGATACTTACACTCTGAGTGTATAGGTCAGAAATATGCGTGTAAATATGAATTTATTATTGCAAAATGATTGTAATATTCATGTATTTGTACCTTGTCTCTTTTCAAATAATGACGATCTGGCTCAGCTATAACTCCTGGTAAGTAATGCTTGTCAACATCATCTCTGTGCATGGTATGGGTCATTGTTTCGAGACGACAACTCCTGTTAACTCACCACAAATTGGTTCTAATTGACCTCAGATTGACTATCGACCGAATTGTTCCTTGCATGGGATTTACCTTGCAACTTTCTGAGTCAAACAATGTAGCCACTGTGCCATTCTCTGGGCTTATAGAGTGTGTATATTTATATTGTTCTGTAAATCGGACTTGTTAGTTCAAGTATGAAAAACAAGCCCTTGTTAAAAAATGTACATCCCATTGATGTATATGGGTTTGGTCTGTTTGAAATAATTATCATTTGGTGTGGCCCTTAGCACTGCTGTTGCTAAGCCCCTACAATCGCTTTCATCATCTCTGTGCGACAGTGCTTCATTAACAGCATTCAGCTCATTAGCTTGTAACCATTGTGAATTCAACAAGCCAGACGTAGCAATTACAGTCGTGTAGGTTATATATTTAGTTCACAACATTACAGCACAATGAATGGCCCTGGTTGCATGACACTGTTTTTGTACAGCTGGTCTGTATTACATATTTAGTGGCATCGCGGGATGTCACTATGCAGTGCCGGCCTTAGAGAGGCACGGCGTGCGGTGTAACGACATCGCGGACACCACAATGGTGTGGGTGTAGTGCCGGCCCTAGACGGGCTTGATGAGCGCTGATTGATAGCGCTGGATGGCACCACGATTGGCCTGCAGTGCCAGCCCCTACAGGATAGGGTGTGGGAGTGCCGGGCGTAGGAATGAGTTTACTAAAGGCCATGGCACTCTGGTTGACCCGAAAGGACACGTGACCAGTTAAGTCTACAAAGGGGCCCCAAGTGGGGCTAGGGGGGTCACGTGGTCGGGGTCCAGATCCTGCTCGAGGATTCTGGAAGGTGGGCGTGGCCAAGGGCGGAGCCAGCCACGCCGCAGAGAATATAAGCCGGGTCCCCCAGAGGGACCGGCGTTGTTGGTCACCTGAAGAAACCTTCGTCTACGTACTCCAAGTCTCCAACACGTGGACCTGGACCCGAGCTGTGATCCTTAGTAGCTAGTTACGTGGTAATTAGTGTAGTTAGCCTGGTGGTCACAAGCATAGGATATTCTATTAAGGTGCAGTTACGCTGTGCGTTGGTGTTACATAAATGTGTTGTCTCCAAGTGTACGTCTGCGACTCAGTTGAACTCACTACATATATATTCAGATTTTGAGATGCTCCATAACAATGATACAAGGACCATACTGATCACTGTGCTTTCGTCTGTTTCATGCCTTCACATTCATCGTCTACAGAATCTACTACCCTCCAATGTAAGTCCTCATGCACACACGTGACTCACAGCACCACGTGCTGGTACCGGCAGCGCCACCGTTTAAGCCCAGCCTCATAAGCAGTGCCCCAAGCTTGGGATGTCATCTTCAGGGATTGAACTTCTTCCAAGTGAAGACGTGATCAGACACCTACATTCTTCCCTCACCTGATACGGAGCTAAATGATACAGTAGTCATGTGACCTTGCACACGATAACAAAACAAACATACCTATGAATGACTCAGAGTGTGTAGACTATTCTCAGATATCCTGGTTATAATTGTTAAAAAACTGAAATGTTTTCTTGCAGCAGGCAACTGCAAGGGTACACAAATCAAGCACGTATAGATGACACTTACACTGTATATACAGGTGAAAAAGTACGTGTGTAAATATTAATTTAATATTGCAAAATGATTGTAATATTCATGTATTTGTACTTTGTCTCTTTTCAAATAATCACGATCTGGCTCAGCTACATCTACTGGTAAGTACTGATTGTCAACCTCATATCTGTGCATGGTATGGGTCATTGTATAGAGACGACATCTCCTGTTAACGTACCACAAATTGGTCCTAATTATATTGACCTCAGATTAATGATTGGCAAAATTGTTCCTTGCATGGGATTTACATTGCAACTTTCTGAGTCAAGCAATCTAGCCACTGTGCCATTCTGCGGGCTTATAGAGTTTGTTTATTTATATTCTTCTGTACATAGGACTTGGTAGTTCAAGTATGAAAAGCAAGCCCTTGTTAGAAAATTAACATCCCATTTATGCAAATGGGTTTGGTCTTTTTTAAATAACTTATCATTTTGTGTGGCCCTTTGCATTGCTGCTGCTACAATCACTATCATCATCATCTCTGTGCGATGATGGCTCATTAACTGCAGGCAGCTCATCAAGTTACCACTGTGAACTTAACAAGCCAGATGTAACAATTACAGTATTGTAGGTTAAACATTTTGCTCACAAAACTACTTCGTAAAGAATGTCCCTGTAAATGGATGACACTGTATGGGACAGGTGGTCTGTATTACATATTTTCAGATTTTGAGATGCTCCATAACAATGATACAAGGACCTTGCTGATCACTGTGCTTCTGTCTGTTTCATGGCTTCACATTCATCGTCTACAGAATCTACTACCCTCCCATGTAAGTCCTCATGCACACATGTGACTCACAGCACCACGTGCTGGTACCGGCAGCGCTGCAGTTTAGGCCCAGCCTCATGAGCCGTGCCCCAAGCTTGGGATGTCATCTTCAGAGATCGAGCTTCTTCCAAGTGAAGACGTGATCTGACACCTACATTCTTCCCTCAACTGATATTTCCATGACAGTAAAACACTCTTATTAAATGGACTAAATAATACAGTAGTCATATGACCATGTACAGGATCAAAATATACCGATGAATGACTCACCAAGTTTACACACAATTCTTAGAAGATCCTGCTTAGTCTTTGTAAAACTGTTTTTCAATGTTTGCATCCTGGAGGAAACCAGAGGGCACACGGATCAAGCAAGCGTAGATGACACTTACACTGTCTATATAGTTCAGAAATACGATTGAAATATCATCTAATACAGGCACGACATTGTCCTCTGAGTTAACCTCGAACACAAAACAGCCCCGTCTCTCCGTGATCCACAAACATCACCTCTGAGTTATAGGATTACAGTCACGCACAACCACAGAAAGACAGATAGTATTTAACAGATGGCTCACATGACTGTAAAGTCTTTATTTAGTCCATGATTATTTTTATTAAGTCACCTTGAAGTTATCGTTTCTGTGTGTGTGCACAACATTGTATTGAGGATCATGTAAAGTTCGAGTGATCCGAGATCAAAAAGTCAGGTAAAAAGTTGAAGCCCAGGCATCACCCAGTGCAATAAACATTGTAAACATGGTCACTGTACCATCACGCGCTTTCAGATGCCCTTTTCTGGGGGGCTGGAAAGCTCTTCCGACATTAGGAAGTCACTGGAGCTGCGAACTTTTAAATCCAGATTGAAAACCAATTTCTTCACAACTGATTTTTGTGCTTAGTTGTCTGTTCCCCGCACCTGCGATTAGCACGGTTGGCTACGTGAGCTGTGAAAGAAGTTGAACATGCAGACCTAATGATTGCACTTTTCTTTGTAGATTGGTGCCAGTCATACCCCTGTCAAAATGGCGGCACCTGTACATTCACCTGGTCGTATCCCTACTACCAGTGCTTTTGCCCTCCAGGATCATATGGCAGCAACTGTGAATACGGAAGTAAGATAACTCCTTGAACCTTGGTTATCCCTTTTCACGAACCAAGCATTGTCATGTATCTGCTCATATTAATGTGCACGTGGATGTATAAGTCTGTATACTTGTTCGTGTTTTTTCGAGACGTGATCGGACACCTACATTCTTCCCGCAACTGATATTGGCGCAACAACGAAAGCCCTTATAAAATGGACTAAATAATACAGTAGTCGCCTGACCATGTTCAGGGTGAAAATATAGCCATGAATCATTCACCAAGTTTATAGACTATTCTTAGAAGATCCTGCTTCGTCTTTGGAAAACTGATTGTATATGTTTACATCCTGGAGGAAACCATAGGGCACACGAATCAAGCAAGTGTAGATGATACTTACACTCTGAGTGTATAGGTCAGAAATATGCGTGTAAATATGAATTTATTATTGCAAAATGATTGTAATATTCATGTATTTGTACCTTGTCTCTTTTCAAATAATGACGATCTGGCTCAGCTATAACTCCTGGTAAGTAATGCTTGTCAACATCATCTCTGTGCATGGTATGGGTCATTGTTTCGAGACGACAACTCCTGTTAACTCACCACAAATTGGTTCTAATTGACCTCAGATTGACTATCGACCGAATTGTTCCTTGCATGGGATTTACCTTGCAACTTTCTGAGTCAAACAATGTAGCCACTGTGCCATTCTCTGGGCTTATAGAGTGTGTATATTTATATTGTTCTGTAAATCGGACTTGTTAGTTCAAGTATGAAAAACAAGCCCTTGTTAAAAAATGTACATCCCATTGATGTATATGGGTTTGGTCTGTTTGAAATAATTATCATTTGGTGTGGCCCTTAGCACTGCTGTTGCTAAGCCCCTACAATCGCTTTCATCATCTCTGTGCGACAGTGCTTCATTAACAGCATTCAGCTCATTAGCTTGTAACCATTGTGAATTCAACAAGCCAGACGTAGCAATTACAGTCGTGTAGGTTATATATTTAGTTCACAACATTACAGCACAATGAATGGCCCTGGTTGCATGACACTGTTTTTGTACAGCTGGTCTGTATTACATATTTAGTGGCATCGCGGGATGTCACTATGCAGTGCCGGCCTTAGAGAGGCACGGCGTGCGGTGTAACGACATCGCGGACACCACAATGGTGTGGGTGTAGTGCCGGCCCTAGACGGGCTTGATGAGCGCTGATTGATAGCGCTGGATGGCACCACGATTGGCCTGCAGTGCCAGCCCCTACAGGATAGGGTGTGGGAGTGCCGGGCGTAGGAATGAGTTTACTAAAGGCCATGGCACTCTGGTTGACCCGAAAGGACACGTGACCAGTTAAGTCTACAAAGGGGCCCCAAGTGGGGCTAGGGGGGTCACGTGGTCGGGGTCCAGATCCTGCTCGAGGATTCTGGAAGGTGGGCGTGGCCAAGGGCGGAGCCAGCCACGCCGCAGAGAATATAAGCCGGGTCCCCCAGAGGGACCGGCGTTGTTGGTCACCTGAAGAAAGCTTCGTCTACGTACTCCAAGTCTCCAACACGTGGACCTGGACCCGAGCTGTGATCCTTAGTAGCTAGTTACGTGGTAATTAGTGTAGTTAACCTGGTGGTCACAAGCATAGGATATTCTATTAAGGGGCAGTTACGCTGTGCGTTGGTGTTACATAAATGTGTTGTCTCCAAGTGTACGTCTGCGACTCAGTTGAACTCACTACATATATATTCAGATTTTGAGATGCTCCATAACAATGATACAAGGACCATACTGATCACTGTGCTTTCGTCTGTTTCATGCCTTCACATTCATCGTCTACAGAATCTACTACCCTCCAATGTAAGTCCTCATGCACACACGTGACTCACAGCACCACGTGCTGGTACCGGCAGCGCCACCGTTTAGGCCCAGCCTCATAAGCAGTGCCCCAAGCTTAGGATGTCATCTTCAGGGATTGAACTTCTTCCAAGTGAAGACGTGATCAGACACCTACATTCTTCCCTCACCTGATACGGAGCTAAATGATACAGTAGTCATGTGACCTTGCACACGATAACAAAACAAACATACCTATGAATGACTCAGAGTGTGTAGACTATTTTCAGATATCCTGGTTATAATTGTTATAAAACTGAAATGTTTTCTTGCAGCAGGCAACTGCAAGGCTACACAAATCAAGCACGTATAGATGACACTTACACTGTATATACAGGTGAAAAAGTACGTGTGTAAATATTAATTTATTATTGCAAAATGATTGTAATATTCATGTATTTGTACTTTGTCTCTTTTCAAATAATCACGATCTGGCTCAGCTACATCTACTGGTAAGTACTGATTGTCAACCTCATATCTGTGCATGGTATGGGTCATTGTATAGAGACGACATCTCCTGTTAACGTACCACAAATTGGTCCTAATTATATTGACCTCAGATTAATGATCGGCAAAATTGTTCCTTGCATGGGATTTACAATGCAACTTTCTGAGTCAAGCAATCTAGCCGCTGTGCCATTCTGCGGGCTTATAGAGTTTGTTTATTTATATTCTTCTGTACATAGGACTTGGTAGTTCAAGTATGAAAAGCAAGCCCTTGTTAGAAAATTTACATCCCATTTATGCAGATGGGTTTGGTCTTTTTTAAATAACTTATCATTTTGTGTGGCCCTTTGCATTGCTGCTGCTACAATCACTATCATCATCATCTCTGTGCGATGATGGCTCATTAACTGCAGACAGCTCATCAAGTTACCACTGTGAACTTAACAAGCCAGATGTAACAATTACAGTATTGTAGGTTAAACATTTTGCTCACACAACTACTTCGTAAAGAATGTCCCTGTAAATGGATGACACTGTATGGGACAGGTGGTCTGTATTACATATTTTGATATTTTGAGATGCTCCATAACAATGATACAAGGACCTTGCTGATCACTGTGCTTTTGTCTGTTTCATGGCTTCACATTCATCGTCTGCAGAATCGAATACCCTCCCATGTAAGTCCTCATGCACACACGTGACTCACAGCACCACGTGCTGGTACCGGCAGCGCTGCAGTTTAGGCCCAGCCTCATGAGCCGTGCCCCAAGCTTGGGATGTCATATTCAGGGATCGAGCTTCTTCCAAGTGAAGACGTGATCTGACACTTACATTCTTCCCTCAACTGATATTTCCATGACAGTAAAAAACTCTTATAAAATGGACTAAATAATACAGAAGTCATATGACCATGTACAGGATCAAAATATACCGATGAATGACTCACCAAGTTTACACACAATTCTTAGAAGATCCTGCTTAGTCTTTGGAAAACTGTTTTTCAATGTTTGCATCCTGGAGGAAACCAGAGGGCACACGGATCAAGCAAGCGTAGATGACACGTACACTGTCTATATAGTTCAGAAATACGATTGAAGTATCATCTAATACAGGCACGACATTGTCCTCTGAGTTAATCTCGAACACAAAACAGCCCCGTCTCTCCGTGATCCACAAACATCACCTCTGAGTTATAGGATTACAGTCACCCACAACCACAGAAAGTCAGATAGTATTTAACAGATGGCTCACATGACTGTAAAGTCTTTATTTAGTCCATGATTATTTTTATTATGTCACCATGAAGTTATCGTTTCAGTGTGTGTGCACAACATTGTATTGAGGATCATGTAAAGTTCGAGTGATCCGAGATCAAAAAGTCAGGTAAAAAGTTGAAGGCCAGGCATCAGCCAGTGCAATAAACATTGTAAACATGGTCACTGTATCATCACGCGCTTTCAGATGCCCTTTTGTGGGGGTCTGGAAAGCTCTTCCGACATTAGGAAGTCACTGGAGCTGCGAACTTTTAAATCCAGATTGAAAACCAATTTCTTCACAACTGATTTTTGTGCTTAGTTGTCTGTTCCCCGCACCTGCGATTAGCACGGTTGGCCACGTGAGCTGCGAAAGAAGTTGAACATGCAGACCTAATGATTGCACTTTTCTTTGCAGATTGGTGCCAGTCATACCCCTGTCAAAATGGCGGCACCTGTACATTCACCTGGTCGTATCCCTACTACCAGTGCTTTTGCCCTCCAGGATCATATGGCAGCAACTGTGAATACGGAAGTAAGATAACTCCTTGAACCTTGGTTATCCCTTTTCACGAATCAAGCATTGTCATGTATCTGCTTATGTTAATGCACACGTGGATGTATAAGTCCGTATACTTGTTCGTGTTTTTTCGAGACGTGATCGGACACCTACATTCTTCCCGCAACTGATATTGGCACAACAACGAAAACCCTTATAAAATGGACTAAATAATACAGTAGTCACCTGACCATGTTCAGGATGAAAATATAGCCATGAATCACTCACCAAGTTTATAGACTATTCTTAGAGGATTCTGCTTCGTCTTTGGAAAACTGATTGTAAATGTTTACATCCTGGAGGAAACCAGAGGGCACACGAATCAAGCTAGCTTAGATGACACACTCTGTATAGGTCAGAAATATGCGTGTAAATATGAATTTATTATTGCAAAATGATTGTAATATTAATGTATTTGTACTTTGTCTCTTTTCAAATAATCACGATCTGGCTCAGCTACAACTCCTGGTAAGTAATGCTTATCAACATCATCTCTGTGCATGGTATGGGTCATTGTTTCGAGACGACAACTCCTGTTAACTCACCACAAATTGGTTCTAATTGACCTCAGATTGTCTATCGACCGAATTGTTCCTTGCATGGGATTTACCTTGTAACTTTCTGAGTAAAACAATGTAGCCACTGTGCCATGCTGTGGGCTTATAGAGTTTGTATATTTATATTGTTCTGTAAATCGGACTTGTTAGTTCAAGTATGAAAAACAAGCCCTTGTTAGAAAATGTACATCCCATTGATGTATATGGGTTTGGTCTGTTTTAAATAATTATCATTTGGTGTGGCCCTTAGCACTGCTGTTGCTAAGCCCCTACAATCGCTTTCATCATCTCTGTGCGACAGTGCCTCATTAACAGCATTCAGCTTATTAGCTTGTAACCATTGTGAATTCAACAAGCCAGACGTACCAATTACAGTCGTGTAGGTTATATATTTAGTTCACAACATTACAGCACAATGAATGGCCCTGGTTGCATGACACTGTTTTTGGACAGCTGGTCTGTATTACATATTTAGTGGCATCACGGGATGTCACTATGCAGTGCCGGCCTTAGAGAGGCACGGCGTGCGGTGTAACGACATTGCGGACACCACAATGGTGTGGGTGCAGTACCGGCCCTAGAGGGGCTTGGTGAGCGCTGATTGATAGCGCTGGATGGCACCACGATTGGCCTGCAGTGCCAGCCCCTACATGATAGGGTGTGGGAGTGCCGGGCGTAGGAATGAGTTTACTAAAGGCCATGGCACTCTGGTTGACCCGAAGGACACGTGACCAGTTAAGTCTACAAAGGGGCCCCAAGTGGGGCTAGGGGGGTCACGTGGTCGGGGTCCAGATCCTGGTCGAGGATTCTGGAAGGTGGGCGTGGCCAAGGGCGGAGCCAGCCATGCCGCAGAGAATATAAGCCGGGTCCCCCAGAGGGACCGGCGTTGTTGGTCACCTGAAGACACCTTCGTCTACGTACTCCAAGTCTCCAACACGTGGACCTGGACCCGAGCTGTGGTCCTTAGTAGCTAGTTACGTGGTAATTAGTGTAGTTAGCCTGGTGGTCACAAGCATAGGTTATTCTACTAAGGGGCAGTTACGCTGTGTGTTGGTGTTAAATAAATATGTTGTCTCCAAATGTACGTCTGCGACTCAGTTGAACTCACTACATATATATTCAGGTTTTGAGATGCTCCATAACAATGATACAAGGACCATACTGATCACTGTGCTTTCGTCTGTTTCATGCATTCACATTCATCGTCTACAGAATCTACTACCCTCCAATGTAAGTCTTCATGCATACACGTGACTCACAGCACCACGTGCTGGTACCGACAGCGCCACCGTTTAGGCCCAGCCTCATAAGCAGTGCCCCAAGCTTGGGATGTCATCTTCAGGGATTGAACTTCTTCCAAGTGAAGACGTGATCAGACACCTACATTCTTCCCTCACCTGATACGGAGCTAAATGATACAGTAGTCATGTGACCTTGCATACGATAACAAAACAAACATACCTATGAATGACTCAGAGTGTGTAGACTATTCTCAGATATCCTGGTTATAATTGTTATAAAACTGAAATGTTTTCTTGCAGCAGGCAACTGCAAGGGTACACAAATCAAGCACGTATAGATGACACTTACACTGTATATACAGGTGAAAAAGTACGCGTGTAAATATTAATTTAATATTGCAAAATGATTGTAATATTCATGTATTTGTACTTTGTCTCTTTTCAAATAATCACGATCTGGCTCAGCTACATCTACTGGTAAGTAATGATTGTCAACCTCATCTCTGTGCATGGTATGGGTCATTGTATAGAGACGACATCTCCTGTTAACGTACCACAAATTGGTCCTAATTATATTTACCTCAGATTAATTATCGGCAAAATTGTTCCTTGCATGGGATTTACATTGCATCTTTCTGAGTCAAGCAATCTAGCCACTGTGCCATTCTGCGGGCTTATAGAGTTTGTATATTTATATTCTTCTGTAAATAGGACTTGGTAGTTCAAGTATGAAAAGCAAGCCCTTGTTAGAAAATTAACGTCCCATTTAGGCAAATGGGTTTGGTCTTTTTTAAATAACTTATCATTTTGTGTGGCCCTTTGCATTGCTGCTGCTACAATCACTATCATCATCATCTCTGTGCGATGATGGCTCATTAACTGCAGACAGCTCATCAAGTTACCACTGTGAACTTAACAAGCCAGATGAAACAATTACAGTATTGTAGGTTAAACATTTTGCTCACAAAACTACTTCGTAAAGAATGTCCCTGTAAATGGATGACACTGTATGGGACAGGTGGTCTGTATTACATATTTTCAGATTTTGAGATGTTCCATAACAATGATACAAGGACCTTGCTGATCACTGTGCTTTTGTCTGTTTCATGGCTTCACATTCATCGTCTACAGAATCGAATACCCTCCCATGTAAGTCCTCATGCACACACGTGACTCACAGCACCACGTGCTGGTACCGGCAGCGCTGCAGTTTAGGCCCAGCCTCATGAGCAGTGCCCCAAGCTTGGAATGTCATATTCAGGGATTGAGCTTCTTCCAAGTGAAGACGTGATCTGACACCTACATTCTTCCCTCAACTGATATTTCCATGACAGTAAAAAAACTCTTATAAAATGGACTAAATAATATAGTAGTCATATGACCATGTACAGGATCAAAATATACCGATGAATGACTCACCAAGTTTACACACAATTCTTAGAAGATCCTGCTTAGTCTTTGGAAAACTGTTTTTCAATGTTTGCATCCTGGAGGAAACCAGAGGGCACACGGATCAAGCAAGCGTAGATGACACGTACACTGTCTATATAGTTCAGAAATACGATTGACGTATCATCTAATACAGGCACGACATTGCCCTCTGGGTAAACCTCGAACACAAAACAGCCCCGTCTCTCCGTGATCCACAAACATCACCTCTGAGTTATAGGATTACAGTAACGCACAACCACAGAAAGTCAGATAGTATTTAACAGATGGCTCACATGACTGTAAAGTCTTTATTTAGTCCATGATTATTTGTATTAAGTCACAATGAAGTTATCGTTTCTGTGTGTGTGCACAACATTGTATTGATGATCATGTAAAGTTCGAGTGATCCGAGATCAAAAAGTCAGGTAAAAAGTTGAAGCCCAGAAAAAAACATTGTAAACATGGTCACTATCATCACGTGCTTTCAGATGCCCTTTTGTGGGCGTCTGGAAAGCTCTTCCGACATTAGGAAGCCACTGGAGCTGCGAACTTTTAAATCCTGATTGAAAACCAATTTCTTCACAACTGATTTTTGTGCTTAGCTGTCTGTTCCCCGCACCTGCGATTAGCACGGTTGGCTACGTGAGCTGCGAAAGAAGTTGAACATGCAGACCTAATGATTGCACCTTTCTTTGCAGATTGGTGCCAGTCATACCCCTGTCAAAATGGCGGCACCTGTGCATTCACCTGGTCGTATCCCTACTACCAGTGCTTTTGCCCTCCAGGATCATATGGCAGCAACTGTGAATACGAAAGTAAGATAACTCCTTGAACCTTGGTTATCCCTTTTCACGAATCAAGCATTGCCATATATCTGCTTATGTTAATGCACACGTGGATGTATAAGTCTGTATACTTGTTTGTGTTTTTTCGAGACGTGATCGGACACCTACATTCTTCCCGCAACTGATATTGGCACAACAATGAAAACCCTTATAAAATGGACTAAATAATACAGTAGTAACCTGACCATGTTCAGGATGAAAATATAGCCATGAATCACTCACCAAGTTTATAGACTATTCTTAGAAGATCCTAATTCGTCTCTGGAAAACTGATTGTAAATGTTTACATCCTGGAGGAAACCAGAGGGCACACGAATCAAGCTAGCGTAGATGACACTTACACTCTGTATAGGTCAGAAATATGCGTGTAAATATGAATTTATTATTGCAAAATTATTGTAATATTCATGTATTTGTACTTTGTCTCTTTTCAAATAATCACGATCTGGCTCAGCTACAACTCCTGGTAAGTAATGCTTGTCAACATCATCTCTGTGCATGGTATGGGTCATTGTTTCGAGACAACTCCTGTTAACTCACCACAAATTGGTTCTAATTATATTGACCTCTGATTGACAATCGACTGAATTGTACCTGGCATGGGATTTACCTTGCAACTTTCTGAGTCAAACAATGTAGCCACTGTGCCATTCTGCCGACTTATGGAGTTGTATATATATTGTTCTGTAAATCGGACTTGTTAGTTCAAGTATGAAAATCAAGCCCTTATTAGAAAATGTACATCCCATTGATGTAACTGGTTGGTCTGTTTTAATAATTATCATTTGGTGTGGCCCTTAGCACTGCTGTTGCTAAGCCCAGACAATCGCTATCATCATCTCTGTGCGACAGTGGCTCATTAACAGCATTCAGCTCATTAGCTTGTAACCATTGAGAATTCAACAAGCCAGAAGTAGCAATTATTGTCATTTAGGTTATATATTTAGTTTACTACATTACAGCACAATGAATGGCCCTGGTTGCATGACACTGTTTTTGGACAGCTGGTCTGTATTACGTATTTAGTGGCATCGCGGGATGTCACTATGCAGTGCCGGCCTTAGAGAGGCACGGCATGCGGTGTAACGACATCGCGGACACCACAATGGTGTGGGTGTAGTACCGGCCCTACAGGGGCTTGGTGAGGGCTGAATGATAGCGCTGAGTGGCGCCACGCTTGTCGTGCAGTGCAACCCCAACACGATAGGGTGTGGGAGTGCCGGCCGTAGGAATGATGTTACGAAAGGCCACGGCACTCTGGTTGACCCGAAAGGACACGTGACAAGTTAAGTCTACAAAGGGGCTCCAAGTGGGGGCTAGGGGGTCACGTGGTCGGGGTCCAGATCCTGCTCGAGGATTCTGGAAGGTGGGCGTGGCCAAGGGCGGAGCCAGCCATGCCGCAGAGAATATCAGCCTGGTCCCCCAGAGGGACCGGCGTTATTGGTCACCTGAAGAAACCTTTGTCTATGTACTCCAAGTCTCCAACACGTGGACCTGGACCCGAGCTGTGATCCTTAGTAGCTAGTTACGTGGTAATTAGTGTAGTTAGCCTGGTGGTCACAAGCATAGGTTATTCTATTAAGGGGCAGTTACGCTGTGTGTTGGTGTTACATAAATGTGTTGTCTCCAAGTGTACGTCTCTGACTCAGTTGAACCCACTACACATATAATCAGGTTTTGAGATGCTCCATAACAATGATACAAGGACCATACTGATCACTGTGCTTTCGTCTGTTTCATGCCTTCACATTCATCGTCTACAGAATCTACTACCCTCCCATGTAAGTCCTCATGCACACACGTGACTCACAGCACCACGTGCTGGTACCGGCAGCACCACCGTTTAGGCTCAGCCTCATGAGCAGCGCCTCAAGCTTGGGATGTCATCTTCAGGGATCGAGCCTCTTCCAAGTGAAGACGTGATCTGACACCTACATTCTACCCTCAACTGACATTTCCATGACAGTAAAAAAACTCTTATAAAATGGACCAAATAATACAGTAGTCATGTGACCATGTACAGGATCAAAATATATCCATGAATGACTCACTAAGTTTACACACAATTCTTAGAAGATCCTGCTTAGTCTTTGAGAAAATGTTTGGAAATGTTTGCATCCTGGAGGAAACCAGAGGGCACACGGATCAAGCAAGCATAGATGACACTTACACTGTCTATATAGTTCAGAAATACGATTGAAGTATCATCTAATAGAGGCACGACATTGCCCTCTGGGTAAACCTCGAGCACAAAACAGCTCCATCTCTCCGTGATCCAGTCACGCACAACCACAGAAAGTCAGATGGTATTTAACAGATGGCTCACATGACTGTAAAGTCTTTATTTAGTCCATAATTATTTTTTATTAAGTCACCATAAAGTCATTGTTTCTGTGTGTGTGCACAACATTGTATTGAGGATCATGTAAAGTTCTAGTGATCCGAGGTCGAAAAGTCAGGTAAAAATTTGAAGCCCAGGCATCACCCAGTGCAATAAATATTGTAAACATGGTAACTGTATCATCGCGCGCTTTCAGATGCGCTTTTGTGGGCGTCTGGAAAGCTCTTCCGACATTAGAAAGCCACTGGAGATGCGAACTTTTAAATCCAGATTGAAAACCAATTTCTTCACAACTGATTTTTGTCCTTAGTTGTCTGTTCCCCGCACCTGCGATTAGCACGGTTGGCTACGTGAGCTGCGAAAGAAGTTGAACATGCAGACCTAATGATTGCACTTTTCTTTGCAGATTGGTGCCAGTCATACCCCTGTCAAAATGGCGGCACCTGTACATTCTACTGGTGGTATCCCTACTACCAGTGCTTTTGCCCTCCAGGATCATATGGCAGCAACTGTGAATACGAAAGTAAGATAACTCCGTGTTCCTTGGTTATCCCTTTTCACGAACCAAGCATTGTCATGTATCTGCTCATATTAATGTGCACGTGGATGTATAAGTCTGTATACTTGTTCGTGTTTTTTCGAGCTTCTTGCAAGTGAAGACGTGCTTGGACACCTACATTCTTCCCGCAACTGATATTGGCACAACAACAAAAACCCTTATAAAATGGACTAAATAATACAGTAGTCGCCTTACCATGTTCAGGATGAAAATATAGCCATGAATCATTCATCAAGTTTATAGACTATTCTTAGAAGATCCTGCTTTGTCTTTGGAAAACTGATTATAAATGTTTACATCCTGGAGGAAACCATAGGGCACACGAATCATGCAAGCGTAGATGACACTTACACTCTGTATAGGTCAGAAAGACGCGTGTAAATATGAATTTATTATTGCAAAATGGTTGTAAAATTAACATATTTACACTTTGTATCTTTTCAAATAATTACGATCTGGATCAGCTACAACTCCTGGTAAGTAATGATTGTCAACATCAATGTCATCTCTGTGCATGGTATGGGTCGTTGTATAGAGACGACAACTCCTGCTAACTTACCACGAATTGGTGCTAATTATATTGACCTCAGATTGATGATCGGCGAATTGTTCCTTACATGGAATTTACATTGCAACTTTCTGAGTCAAACAATGTAGCCACTGTGCCATTCTGCCGACTTATAGAGTTTGTATATTTATAATCTTCTGTAAATAGGACTTGGTAGTTCAAGTATGAAAAGCAAGCCCTTGACAGAAAATTAACAACCCATTTATGCACATGGGTTTGGTCTGTTTTCAATTGCTTATCATTTGGTGTGGCCCTTTGCATTGCTGCTGCTACAATCACTATCATCATCATCTCTGTGCGATGATGGCTCATTAACTGCAGACAGCTCATCAAGTTACCACTGTGAACTTAACTAGCCAGATGTAGCAATTACAGTATTGTAGGTTACACATTTTGCTCACAACACTACTAAACAATTAATGTCCCTGTACGAGATGACCCTGTTATGGACATGTGGTCTGTATTACATATTTTAAGATTTTGAGACGCTCAATAACAATGATACAAGGACCCTGTTGATCACTTTGTTTTTGTCTTTTTCACGCCTTCTTATTTGTTTGCAGAAACTACTACTTACTCCACCTGTAAGTCATCACGCTGACACGTGACTCACAGTTCCATGTCCTGGTACCGGCAGCGCCTCCGTTTAGGCCCAGCCTCATAAGCAGTGCCCCAAGCTTGGGATGTCATCTTCAGAGATTGAGCTTCTTCCAAGTGAAGAAGTGATCAGACACATACGTTCTTCCCTCACCTGATACTGCCATGATAGCAAAAAACCTTTATTAAATTTACTAAATAATACAGTAGTCATGTAGCCATGTACAGGATAAAAATAAACCCATGACTCACCAAGTTCACACACAATTCTTAGAAGATCTTGCTTAGCCTTTGGAAAACTGATTGCAAATGTTTGTAAATGTTTGCATCTTGGTGGAAAGCAGAGGGCACACGGATCAAGTAAGCGTAGATGACACTTACACTGTCTATATAGTTCAGAAATACGATTGAAGTATCATCTAATACAGGCACGACATTGCCCTCTGGGTAAACCTCGAACACAAAACAGCTCCATCTCTCCGTTATCCACAAACCTCACCTCTGAGTTATTAAATTACAGTCATGCACAACCACAGCAAGTCCAGTGGTCTTTTAACGGATGGCTCCCATGACTGTAAAGTCTTTATTTAGTGCATGATTGTGTTATGATGTCACCATGACGTCATTGTTTATGTTTGTATGTGTTCTAGTGGTGCTATTACGAAAGGTCAACCGTCACCCAGCACAATAAATATTGCAATGATGACTCCTTTCTTAGAAAAGATGCATGTCGGTCATACCCCTGTCGTAATGGGGCACTAAGCTCTGCATGTTGCCAGTATGGAGCGGAGATGAGCGTCAAATTTTATTACCACATTCTGCCGGGCATGAAGACATTCGGGGCGATGGAATTGACTTGCCGTAGAAGGGTAGGGGACTGTTGTTTGAGGAAACCACGAAACAATATTGCGAGATGAAAGGTGACTTAATGCTATTATCTGAAACTAGTCTTGTGTCCCGTTTTTTTACTTTCATTCAGCATCATCTGGAGATGAGATCGAGGCACTGGGTGGCATCATGGGGGATATATTTAAAGAGAAAGCCTTGCTGTGAATCTGGATTTCAATACCAGGTTCCCAAGCGATATATTAGACCAGTTCATCTCATGCAGTGGTTTGATATGCCCAGCTAGATTAGCAATGACAAATTTGTGATTTTGCTGTGATGATTCTAATTTGGACCTAAGATTGTGAGTCATTGTCAACTACTAGATGTTTCAGAGTTTCTCATTTTGGAATCTTACATGCATTTGATTTGCATGCATCCATAGTTATACATTGATGTATGACTTAGTAATGAATGCGTGAAATAATGTGCATCTTATGCAACATAATACACGATAAAATTATAACAAATGCATGTTAAAAGCTTCAAAAAGTCAAAGAGTCCCCACTTGTTCGCCATCATTGTCAATATATAATTCTTCTCATATGTATTTGTTTTTGTCTCTTTCAAATGATCATGACCTGGCTCAGTGTCAACTACTGGTAAGTTACCAACATCAGCATCATCATGTTGGCCATGGCACGCGTCTTTGGTTCTATATTCTGTTCACTGTTAACCGCAATTGTTACAATAACACTGTTTTAACCATCAGATTACAACAGTAACAATGTATACATTTGATATTCCAATGAATTACTATACATTTATCTTTTTTTCACCTCTAACTTTCACTTTGGAGCAGAACCTGATCGCACAACTTCTCCTGGACCTGGTAAGAAGCCACGCCTCTCTTGTGTACATCACAGTGGTGCCACTGTCACATTTGTTTGTGGAACAAAACGTAAAAAAGTACCGTGCAACAAAGTCTTGAATTTTGTAGTTGCAAAACTTCCGATGAACAATTGAAGCACACGAGCCTCACCTGGTGCACGGCATAACGGTGATGTCTTTCTGCAGTCGGTTGCCAGTCCTACCCGTGCCTTAACGGTGGTACTTGTGAGGATCGGTGGTCCTACCCCAGCCACTGGTGCTACTGCAGCCCACCGTGGACCGGCAGCAACTGTGAATATGGTGAGAGGACATCGCTCTCTTTGTGCTTCTGTCCTTTCACCCACATTTATTTATGTCATCAGCCATGGTCAATGATCCCAGGTACACCACTACCTCGCCAACCCACTCTGACCAGTGTGGTGAGGTCTGATCTGACATGACTTACACAACGTGGGGAAGCCCCTCATCCATGTTTTATAATCCAATAACAGGTGGGGTTGTACTCGGCACAAATCTACATTGGCCCAAAATAGAAAGTGGTCTTTTTTCGCCATGGTGAAGAGTGACCGACAGTTTTGAAGCAAAGCACACGAGCCAGCCAATCACGAGCCCATGTTGAAGCAGTGAGCCATCCGGCCAGGAGTACTCACCTCTACACTCACTGTTACCCTGACCTCGGCTCCACCTGCCTTAACCACACTCCTACTTAACGTCCTGTTCACTTTTTCAGTTTTCATGTACGACACACAGCAAACACTTGTTAATTTTTATTATGATTAATGCGTTATGTGAATTTTCACTAAACAAAATGAGTGCTCATCCACAATAGAGCTAAACTATTACTAGAAACAAACAACCCTAATCTATATTTGTGTATGTTTGTCTCTTGTATGGCTGCAAATTCATCATCTGCAGTGATCACGACTGGTAAGTTATCACGTCAGCGCTCTTCACAAGGTGGTACTATTGGGTTGCCCTTGAACTAACGTTCGTGGAATGTCCGTTAGTAACATTGCTTGGTGAAATCCGTTGTTATGGTATAAACACAGTATAGCAAATCTTATGCATAAACCTTGACTTAAAGATTTCGTGACTGCAGGAATTAATATTCTTTGGGTCTTTTCGTAAAGTCACGTGGATAGGTTCAAAGGAAATAACAAAAACTACGACGTTTCGATCACAACGCAAGCGGTCGTCATCAGGAAAAGGTGGTTAGCCTCTAAAGGCAAACTGTTTATAAAGGTTTGAAATGGGCATAGCCCAAGTGTCATCAGCATGGGCGGGGCAGCTAATGTCAATGTAAGTGATGGTACTCGTAGAGGGCAACAACAACGCTGGTGGTGGGATTCCACCAATTAAAAGGCTGCCAAGTAATCATTGCACTTTGCTTTACACACTCACACTGTTGACGGTGAAGGTTGCTGCTAAAGCTGATGGTACTCGTAGAGGGCCATGACGGCACTGGTGGTGTGCTTCCACCAACAAAGGGCTGCCAGGTCGAAAATGGAAACATTACAGCCAGTTATAACTTAAACTGGTTGATAACGACCTTCCAGTGATTGCTGAGTTTGTACCCATCTTCTCGGTTGAAATTGTGTCTATGTCTTATATATGGATGGCTACATGAACAAATCTTTGTTGATAGCCAGTAGGTTTGCAAAGTATCTTCGTCTTAGAGAAATCAATTTCGTGTGAGCCCACCGCATTAAAACAATGATCATCCACGGCCAGGGTATTGGTCCTTCCGTGTTTCAGATCTGCCTTATGTTCATGAACACGGTCCGAGACATGTCGCTTAGTTTCCCAAATGTAATTACTGCTGCAGACACAGCTTAGTTTGTAGACCCCGGTGTATTGCATGTCAGGGCTCACATCCTTCACAGATGGGATCAGATCAGGAATTTTATGTACTGTGTTAAATATAACTTGGATCTTGTGTTTGCTTATGATTTTGGAAATATTTTTAGTGACCCCTGCTATGTATGGCAGGGTGATGGTTTTGATTGGGTCCTCAGATGGTTCTTTCCCAACGGTTGGAGTGATAGCTTTACGGATTGTGTAGTCTGAATATCCATTTGTCTTGAGAGCTTGGTGTACGTCTTCCAGTTCACTGGATAGGTGGTGATGGTCGGAAATACATCGAGCTCTATGGTGTAGAGTTTTGATGAGGGAATTCTTCTGCGATAAATGGTGGTGGGAGTCAGATTTTAGGTAGGCATCCGTATGGGTGGCTTTCCTGTAGACAGAGTGTCCCATTGAGCCATCTGGTCTCTTTTTGATTCAAACTTCCAAGATTGGTAGCTTGCCATCTATTTCCACCTCCATGGTGAATTTGATGGTTGGGTATATGGAATAAACATTTTGCCTTTAGAGGCTAATCGCCTTTTTCTGATGACGACCGCTTGTGTTGCGAGCGAAATGCCGTAGTTTTTGTTATTTTCTTTGAACCCATCTACGTGACTTTACCGAAAGACCCAAAGAGTATCTTACACATGCTTTAACAACATCTAATATTCCATAATTCAGACACGTAAGTATGATGATGTAATTTGTAAATTAAAGAGAATTGTGAAGATCTGGATCAAACATATGTGACAGTGATTGTGAACTGTGTTAGATACCATTCTTATGGCAAGAACTAAGTTCGCTAATATAAAACAGTAACAATGTGTAGTGACATCGCGGATGTCACTGTGCAATGCCGGCCCTAGAGAGGCACGGCGTGCGATGTAATGACATCGCGGACACCACGTGGATGTGAGTGCAGTACCAGCTCTCGAATGGCTCGGTGAGCGCTGGATGGCACCACACTCTGCGTGCAGTGCCGGCCTCTACAGGATAGGGTGTGAGAGTGCCGGCCACGGGAATGGGGTTACTAAGGGCCATGGCACTCTGGTTTACCCCAGAGGACACGTCACCAGTTGAGTCTACACAGGGGGCCCAAATGGGGGCTAAGGGTGGTCACGTGTCAGGTCTGAGATCCTGCTCGAGAATTCTCGAAGGTGGTCGTGACTAAGGGCGGAGCCAGCCACGCCGCAGAGGATCTAAGCCGGGTCCCCCAGATGGACCGGCTGCTGTTGTTCATCCTGAAGAAACCTTCGTCTACGTTCTATGTCCTCCAAGTCTCCAACACGTGGACCTGGACCAAAGCTGTGATCCGGTCCATTGTAGCCAGTTACGGTGTAATTAGTGTAGTTAGTCTGGTGGTCACGTAACTAGTTACGGTGTAATTAGTGTAGTTAGCCCTGTGGTCACGTAGCTAGTTACGGTGTAATTAGTGTAGTTAGTCTGGTGGTCATGTTGCTAGTTACGGTGTGACTAGTGTAGTTAGTCTGGTGGTCCACCACCATAGGTTGTTATCTGGTTAAGGGGCAGTTACCCCTTTGAGTTGGTGTTAATAAATGTGTTGCCTCCAAAGAGTACGTCTGCGACTCAGTTGAACTCACTACGGATGTATCAATTTCATCTCCCAATGACTAACTCTATTTTTGCCTTTCCCCCCCCTAACTTTCACTTTGGAGCAGAACTTGCTCATACGACTACTCCTGGACCTGGTAAGAAGCCACGCCTCTCTTGTGTACATCACAGTGGTGCCACTGTCACATTTGTTTGTGGAACAAAGCATAAAAAGTACCGTGCAACAAAGTATTGAATGTTGTAGTTGCAAAACTTCCGATGAACAAATGCAGCACGCGAGGCTCACCTGGTGCACGACATAACCGTGATGTCTTTCTGCAGTCGGTTGCCAGTCCTACCCGTGCCTTAACGGTGGTACTTGTGAGGATCGGTGGTCCTACCCCAGCCACTGGTGCTACTGCAGCCCACCGTGGACCGGCAGCAACTGTGATTATGGTGAGAGGACATCGCTCTCTTTGTGTTTCTGTCCTTGCACCCACATACTACGACGTTTCGATCGCAACACAAGCGGTCGTCATCAAGAAAAGGTGGTTAGCCTCTAAAGGCAAACTGTTTATAAAGATTTGAAATGGGCTTAGGCCAAGTGTCATCAGAATGGGCGGGGCAGCTAATGTTAATGTAAGTGGTGGTACTCGTAGAGGGCAACGACAGCACTGGTGGTGGGCTTCCACCAATAAAGGGCTACTGCTAGTGGTGATGGTAGTACTGGGCAGTGATGGTCCCGGTGGTGGGCTTCCACCAATTAAAGGTATGCCAGATCTAAAATGGAAACATTACAGCCAGTTATGACGTAAACTGATTGATAACGTCCTTCCAGTGATTGCTGAGTTGGTACCCATATTCTCGGTTGAAATTGTGTCCATGTCTGTATATATGGACGGCTTCATGAACGAATCTTTGTTGAAAGCCAGTGGGTTAGCGAAAGTACCTTCGTCTTAGAGAAATCAATTTCGTGTGAGCCCACCGCATTAAAACAATGATCAGCCACGGCCAGGTTATTGGTCCTTCCGTGTTTCAGATCTGCCTTATGTTCATGAACACGGTCCGAGACATGTCGCTTAGTTTCGCAAATGTAATTACTGCTGCAGACACAGCTTAGTTTGTAGACTCCGGTGTATTGCATGTCAGGGCTCACATCCTTGACAGATGGGATCAGATCAGGAATTTTACGTACTGTGTTAAATATAACTTGGATCTTGTGTTTGCTTATGATTTTGGAAATATTTTTAGTGACCCCTGCTATGTATGGCAAGGTGATGGTTTTGATTGGTTCCTCAGATGGTTCTTTCCCAACCTTTGGGGTGATAGCTTTACGGATTGTGTAGTCTGAATATCCATTTGTCTTGAGAGCTTGGTGTACGTCTTCCAGTTCACTGGATAGGTGGTGATGGTCGGAAATACATCGAGCTCTATGGTGTAGAGTTTTGATGAGGGAATTCTTCTGCGATAAATGGTGGTGGGAGTCATATTTTAGGTAGGCATCCGTATGGGTGGCTTTCCTGTAGACAGTGTCCCATTGAGCCATCTGGTCTCTTTTCGATTCAAACTTCCAAGATTGGTAGCTTGCCATCCTTTTCCATCTCCATGGTGAATTTGATGGTTGGGTGTATGGAATAAACATTTTGCCTTTAGAGGCTTACTGCCTTTTTCTGATCACGACCGCTTGTGTTGCGATCGAAACACTGTGCAATGCCGGCCCTAAAGAGGCACGGCATGCGATGTAATGACATCGCGGACACCACGTGGATGTGAGTGCAGTACGAGCTCTCGAGGGGTTCGGTGAGCGCTGGATGGCACCACGCTCTGCGTGCAGTGCCGGCCCCTACAGGATAGGGTGTGGGAGTGCCGGCCACGGGAATGGGGTTACTATAGACCGTGGCACTCTGGTTTACCCCAGAGGACACGTTACCAGTTGAGCCTACACAGGGGTCCCAAGTGGGGCTAAGGGTGGTCACGTGTCAGGTCTGAGTCCCTGCTCGAGAATTCTCGAAGGTGGTCGTGACTAAGGGCGGAGCCAGCCACGCCGCAGATGATGTAAGCCGGGTCCCCCAGAGGGACCGGCTGCTGTTGTTCATCCTGAAGAAACTTTCGTCTACGTTCCATGTCCTCCGAGTCTCCAACACGTGGACCTGGACCAAAGCTGTGATCCGGTCCATTGTAGCTAGTTACGGTGTAATTAGTGTAGTTAGTCTGGTGGTCACGTAGCTAGTTACGGTGTCATTAGTGTGGTTAGTCTGGTGGTCCACCACCATAGGTTGTTATCTGGTTAAGGGGCAGTTACCCCTTTGTGTTGGTATTAATAAATGTGTTGCCTTCAAAGAGTACGTCTGCGACTCAGTTGAACTCACTACGGATGTATCAATTTCATCTGCCAATGACTAACTATTCAATTGCCTTTTCCCCATCACTTTCACTTTGGAGCAGATCTTGCTCATACGACTACTCCTGGACCTGGTAAGAAGCCACGCCTCTCTTGTGTACATCACAGTGGTGCCACTGTCACATTTGTTTGTAGAACAAAACGTAAAAAAGTACCGTGCGACAAAGTCTTGAATTTTGTATTTGCTAAACTTCCGATGAACAATTGAAGCACACGAGCCTCACCTGGTGCACGGCATAACGGTGATGTCTTTCTGCAGTCGGTTGCCAGTCCTACCCGTGCCTTAACGGTGGTACTTGTAATGATCAGTGGTCCTACCCCGGCCACTGGTGCGACTGCAGCCCACCGTGGACCGGCAGCAACTGTGAATATGGTGAGAGAACATCGCTCTCTTTGTGCTTCTTTCCTTGCACCAACATTTATTTATGTCATCAGCCATGGTCAATGGTCCCAGGTACACCCCTACCTCGGCAACCCACTCTGACCAGTGTGGTGAGGTCTGATCTGACATGACTTACACATCGTGGGGAAGCCCCTCATCTAGCAGTGGACTTACAGTGAGCGGCTCATTGTTTTATAATCCAACAGCAGGTGGGGTTGTACTCGGCACAAATCTACATTGGCCCTAAATAGAAAGTGGTCGTTTTTCGCCATGGTGAAGAGTGACCGACAGTTTTGAAGCAAAGCACACGAGCCAGCCAATCACGAGCCCATGTTGAAGCAGCGAGCCATCCGGCCACGAGTACTCACCTCTACACTCACTGTAACCCTGACCTCTGCTCCACCTGCATTAACCACACTCCTACTTAACATCTTGTTCACTTTTTCAGTTTTCATGTATGCCACACAGCAAATACTTGTTAATTTTTATTGTGATTAATGCGTTGTTATGTGAATGTTCACTAAACAAAATGAGTGCTCATCAACCATAGAGCTAAACTATTACTAGAAACAAACAACCCTAATCTATATTTGTGTATGTTTGTCTCTTGTATGGCTGCAAATTCATCATCTGCAGTGATCACGACTGGTAAGTTATCACGTCAGCGCTCTTCACAAGGTGGTCCTATTGGGTTGCCCTTGAACTAACGTTCATGGAACGTCCGCTAGTAACATTGCTTGGTGAAATCGGTTGTTGTGGTATAAACACAGTATAGCATATCTTATGCATAAATCTTGACTTAAAGATTTCGTGACTGAAGGAATTCATATTCTTTGGGTCTTTTCGTAAAGTCACGTAGATAGGTTCAAAGGAAATAACAAAAACTACGACGTTTCGATCACAACGCAAGCGGTCGTCATCAGGAAAAGGTGGTTAGCCTCTAAAGGCAAACTGTTTATAAAGGTTTGAAATGGGCATAGCCCAAGTGTCATCAGCATGGGCGGGGCAGCTAATGTCAATGTAAGTGATGGTACTCGTAGAGGGCAACAACAACGCTGGTGGTGGGATTCCACCAATTAAAAGGCTGCCAAGTAATCATTGCACTTTGCTTTACACACTCACACTGTTGACGGTGAAGGTTGCTGCTAAAGCTGATGGTACTCGTAGAGGGCCATGACGGCACTGGTGGTGTGCTTCCACCAACAAAGGGCTGCCAGGTCGAAAATGGAAACATTACAGCCAGTTATGACGTAAACTGGTTGATAACGTCCTTCCAGTGATTGCTGAGTTTGTACCCATCTTCTCGGTTGAAATTGTGTCTATGTCTTATATATGGATGGCTACATGAACAAATCTTTGTTGATAGCCAGTAGGTTTGCAAAGTACCTTCGTCTTAGAGAAATCAATTTCGTGTGAGCCCACCGCATTAAAACAATGATCATCCACGGCCAGGGTATTGGTCCTTCCGTGTTTCAGATCTGCCTTATGTTCATGAACACGGTCCGAGACATGTCGCTTAGTTTCCCAAATGTAATTACTGCTGCAGACACAGCTTAGTTTGTAGACCCCGGTGTATTGCATGTCAGGGCTCACATCCTTCACAGATGGGATTAGATCAGGAATTTTATGTACTGTGTTAAATATAACTTGGATCTTGTGTTTGCTTATGATTTTGGAAATCTTTTTAGTGACCCCTGCTATGTATGGCAAGGTGATGGTTTTGATTGGGTCCTCAGATGGTTCTTTCCCAACGGTTGGAGTGATAGCTTTACGGATTGTGTAGTCTGAATATCCATTTGTCTTGAGAGCTTGGTGTACGTCTTCCAGTTCACTGGATAGGTGGTGATGGTCGGAAATACATCGAGCTCTATGGTGTAGAGTTTTGATGAGGGAATTCTTCTGCGATAAATGGTGGTGGGAGTCAGATTTTAGGTAGGCATCCGTATGGGTGGCTTTCCTGTAGACAGAGTGTCCCATTGAGCCATCTGGTCTCTTTTTGATTCAAACTTCCAAGATTGGTAGCTTGCCATCTATTTCCACCTCCATGGTGAATTTGATGGTTGGGTATATAGAATAAACATTTTGCCTTTAGAGGCTAATCGCCTTTTTCTGATGACGACCGCTTGTGTTGCGAGCGAAATGCCGTAGTTTTTGTTATTTTCTTTGAACCCATCTACGTGACTTTAGCGAAAGACCCAAAGAGTATCTTACACATGCTTTAACAACATCTAATATTCCATAATTCAGACACGTAAGTATGATGATGTAATTTGTAAATTACAGAGAATTGTGAAGATCTGGATCAAACATATGTGACAGTGATTGTGAACTGTGTTAGATACCATTCTTATGGCAAGAACTAAGTTCGCTAATATAAAACAGTAACAATGTGTGGTGACATCGCGTATGTCACTGTGCAATGCCGGCCCTAGAGAGGCACGGCGTGCGATGTAATGACATCGCGGACACCACGTGGATGTGAGTGCAGTACCAGCTCTCGAATGGCTCGGTGAGCGCTGGATGGCACCACACTCTGCGTGCAGTGCCGGCCTCTACAGGATAGGGTGTGGGAGTGCCGGCCATGGGAATGGGGTTACTAAGGGCCATGGCACTCTGGTTTACCCCAGAGGACACGTCACCAGTTGAGTCTACACAGGGGGCCCAAATGGGGGCTAAGGGTGGTCACGTGTCAGGTCTGAGATCCTGCTCGAGAATTCTCGAAGGTGGTCGTGACTAAGGGCGGAGCCAGCCACGCCGCAGAGGATCTAAGCCGGGTCCCCCAGATGGACCGGCTGCTGTTGTTCATCCTGAAGAAACCTTCGTCTACGTTCTATGTCCTCCGAGTCTCCAACACGTGGACCTGGACCAAAGCTGTGATCCGGTCCATTGTAGCCAGTTACGGTGTAATTAGTGTAGTTAGTCTGGTGGTCACGTAGCTAGTTACGGTGTAATTAGTGTAGTTAGCCTGGTGGTCACGTAGCTAGTTACGGTGTAATTAGTGTAGTTAATCTGGTGGTCACGTTGCTAGTTACGGTGTGACTAGTGTAGTTAGTCTGGTGGTCCACTACCATAGGTTGTTATCTGGTTAAGGGGCAGTTACCCCTTTGAGTTGGTGTTAATAAATGTGTTGCCTCCAAAGAGTACGTCTGCGACTCAGTTGAACTCACTACGGATGTATCAATTTCATCTCCCAATGACTAACTCTATTTTTGCCTTTCCCCCCCTAACTTTCACTTTGGAGCAGAACTTGCTCATACGACTACTCCTGGACCTGGTAAGAAGCCACGCCTCTCTTGTGTACATCACAGTGGTGCCACTGTCACATTTGTTTGTGGAACAAAGCATAAAAAGTACCGTGCAACAAAGTATTGAATGTTGTAGTTGCAAAACTTCCGATGAACAAATGCAGCACGCGAGCCTCACCTGGTGCACGACATAACCGTGATGTCTTTCTGCAGTCGGTTGCCAGTCCTACCCGTGCCTTAACGGTGGTACTTGTGAGGATCGGTGGTCCTACCCCAGCCACTGGTGCTACTGCAGCCCACCGTGGACCGGCAGCAACTGTGATTATGGTGAGAGGACATCGCTCTCTTTGTGTTTCTGTCCTTGCACCCACATACTACGACGTTTCGATCGCAACACAAGCGGTCGTCATCAAGAAAAGGTGGTTAGCCTCTAAAGGCAAACTGTTTATAAAGATTTGAAATGGGCTTAGTCCAAGTGTCATCAGAATGGGCGGGGCAGCTAATGTTAATGTAAGTGATGGTACTCGTAGAGGGCAACGACAGCACTGGTGGTGGGCTTCCACCAATAAAGGGCTACTGCTAGTGGTGATGGTAGTAGTGGACAGTGATGGTCCCGGTGGTGGGCTTCCACCAATTAAAGGTATGCCAGATCTAAAATGGAAACATTACAGCCAGTTATGACGTAAACTGGTTGATAACGTCCTTCCAGTGATTGCTGAGTTGGTACCCATATTCTCGGTTGAAATTGTGTCCATGTCTGTATATATGGACGGCTTCATGAACGAATCTTTGTTGAAAGCCAGTGGGTTAGCGAAGTACCTTCGTCTTAGAGAAATCAATTTCGTGTGAGCCCACCGCATTAAAACAATGATCAGCCATGGCCAGGTTATTGGTCCTTCCGTGTTTCAGATCTGCCTTATGTTCATGAACACGGTCCGAGACATGTCGCTTAGTTTCGCAAATGTAATTACTGCTGCAGACACAGCTTAGTTTGTAGACTCCGGTGTATTGCATGTCAGGGCTCACATCCTTGACAGATGGGATCAGATCAGGAATTTTACGTACTGTGTTAAATATAACTTGGATCTTGTGTTTGCTTATGATTTTGGAAATATTTTTAGTGACCCCTGCTATGTATGGCAAGGTGATGGTTTTGATTGGTTCCTCAGATGGTTCTTTCCCAACCTTTGGGGTGATAGCTTTACGGATTGTGTAGTCTGAATATCCATTTGTCTTGAGAGCTTGGTGTACGTCTTCCAGTTCACTGGATAGGTGGTGATGGTCGGAAATACATCGAGCTCTATGGTGTAGCATTTGGATGAGGGAATTCTTCTGCGATAAATGGTGGTGGGAGACATATTTTAGGTAGGCATCCATATGGGTGGCTTTCCTGTAGACAGTGTCCCATTGAGCCATCTGGTCTCTTTTCGATTCAAACTTCCAAGATTCGTAGCTTGCCATCCTTTTCCATCTCCATGGTGAATTTGATGGTTGGGTGTATGGAATAAACATTTTGCCTTTAGAGGCTAACTGCCTTTTTCTGATGACGACCGCTTGTGTTCTGATCGAAACACTGTGCAATGCCGGCCCTAAAGAGGCACGGCATGCGATGTAATGACATCGCGGACACCACGTGGATGTGAGTGCAGTACGAGCTCTCGAGGGGCTCGGTGAGTGCTGGATGGCACCACGCTCTGCGTGCAGTGCCGGCCCCTACAGGATAGGGTGTGGGAGTGCCGGTCACGGGAATGGGGTTACTATAGACCGTGGCACTCTGGTTTACCCCAGAGGACACGTTACCAGTTGAGCCTACACAGGGGTCCCAAGTGGGGCTAAGGGTGGTCACGTGTCAGGTCTGAGTCCCTGCTCGAGAATTCTCGAAGGTGGTCGTGACTAAGAGCGGAGCCAGCCACGCCGCAGATGATCTAAGCCGGGTCCCCCAGAGGGACCGGCTGCTGTTGTTCATCCTGAAGAAACTTTCGTCTACGTTCCATGTCCTCCGAGTCTCCAACACGTGGACCTGGACCAAAGCTGTGATCCGGTCCATTGTAGCTAGTTACGGTGTAATTAGTGTAGTTAGTCTGGTGGTCACGTAGCTAGTTACGGTGTCATTAGTGTGGTTAGTCTGGTGGTCCACCACCATAGGTTGTTATCTGGTTAAGGGGCAGTTACCCCTTTGTGTTGGTATTAATAAATGTGTTGCCTTCAAAGAGTACGTCTGCGACTCAGTTGAACTCACTACGGATGTATCAATTTCATCTGCCAATGACTTACTATTCAATTGCCTTTTCCCCATCACTTTCACTTTGGAGCAGATCTTGCTCATACGACTACTCCTGGACCTGGTAAGAAGCCACGCCTCTCTTGTGTACATCACAGTGGTGCCACTGTCACATTTGTTTGTGGAACAAAACGTAAAAAAGTACCGTGCGACAAAGTCTTGAATTTTGTATTTGCAAAACTTCCGATGAACAATTGAAGCACACGAGCCTCACCTGGTGCACGGCATAACGGTGATGTCTTTCTGCAGTCGGTTGCCAGTCCTACCCGTGCCTTAACGGTGGTACTTGTAATGATCAGTGGTCCTACCCCGGCCACTGGTGCGACTGCAGCCCACCGTGGACCGGCAGCAACTGTGAATATGGTGAGAGGACATCGCTCTCTTTGTGCTTCTGTCCTTGCACCCACATTTATTTATGTCATTAGCCATGGTCAATGATCCCAGGTACACCCCTACCTCGCCAACCCACTCTGACCAGTGTGGTGAGGTCTGATCTGACATGACTTACACAACGTGGGGAAGCCCCTCATCCATGTTTTATAATCCAACAGCAGGTGGGGTTGTACTCGGCACAAATCTACATTGGCCCTAAATAGAAAGTGGTCGTTTTTCGCCATGGTGAAGAGTAACCGACAGTTTTGAAGCAAAGCACATGAGCCAGCCAATCACGAGCCCATGTTGAAGCAGCGAGCCATCCGGCCACGAGTACTCACCTCTACACTCACTGTAACCCTGACCTCTGCTCCACCTGCCTTAACCACACTCCTACTTAACATCTTGTTCACTTTTTCAGTTTTCATGTATGCCACACAGCAAATACTTGTTAATTTTTATTGTGATTAATGCGTTGTTATGTGAATGTTCACTAAACAAAATGAGTGCTCATCAACCATAGAGCTAAACTATTACTAGAAACAAACAACCCTAATCTATATTTGTGTATGTTTGTCTCTTGTATGGCTGCAAATTCATCATCTGCAGTGATCACGACTGGTAAGTTATCACGTCAGCGCTCTTCACAAGGTGGTCCTATTGGGTTGCCCTTGAACTAACGTTCATGGAACGTCCGCTAGTAACATTGCTTGGTGAAATCGGTTGTTGTGGTATAAACACAGTATAGCATATCTTATGCATAAATCTTGACTTAAAGATTTCGTGACTGAAGGAATTCATATTCTTTGGGTCTTTTCGTAAAGTTACGTAGATAGGTTCAAAGGAAATAACAAAAACTACGACGTTTCGATCACAACACAAGCGGTCGTCATCAGGAAAAGGTGGTTAGCCTCTAAAGGCAAACTGTTTATAAAGGTTTGAAATGGGCATAGCCCAAGTGTCATCAGCATGGGCGGGGCAGCTAATGTCAATGTAAGTGATGGTACTCGTACAGGGCAACAACAACGCTGGTGGTGGGATTCTACCAATTAAAGGGCTGCCAAGTAATCATTGCACCTCGCTTTACACACTCACACTGTTGACGGTGAAGGTTGCTGCTAAAGCTGATGGTACTCGTAGAGGGCCATGACGGCACTGGTGGTGTGCTTCCACCAACAAAGGGCTGCCAGGTCGAAAATGGAAACATTACAGCCAGTTATGACGTAAACTGGTTGATAACGTCCTTCCAGTGATTGCTGAGTTTGTACCCATCTTCTCGATTGAAATTGTGTCTATGTCTGTATATATGGATGGCTACATGAACAAATCTTTGTTGATAGCCAGTGGGTTTGCAAAGTACCTTCGTCTTATAGAAATAAATTTCGTGTCAGCCCACCGCATTAAAACAATGATCATCCACGGCCAGGGTATTGGTCCTTCCGTGTTTCAGATCTGCCTTATGTTCATGAACACGGTCCGAGACATGTCGCTTAGTTTCCCAAATGTAATTCCTGCTGCAGACACAGCTTAGTTTGTAGACTCCAGTGTATTGCATGTCAGGGCTCACATCCTTCACAGATGGGATCAGATCAGGAATTGTACGTACTGTGTTAAATATAACTTGGATCTTGTGTTTGCTTATGATTTTGGAAATCTTTTTAGTGACCCCTGCTATGTATGGCAAGGTGATTGTTTTGATTGGGTCCTCAGATGGTTCTTTCCCAACGGTTGGAGTGATAGCTTTACGGATTGTGTAGTCTGAATATCCAATTGTCTTGAGAGCTTGGTGTACGTCTTCCAGTTCACTGGATAGGTGGTGATGGTCGGAAATACATCGAGCTCTATGGTGTACAGTTTTGATGAGGGAATTCTTCTGCGATAAATGGTGGTGGGAGTCAGATTTTAGGTAGGCATCCGTATGGGTGGCTTTCCTGTAGACAGAGTGTCCCATTGAGCCATCTGGTCTCTTTTCGATTCAAACTTCCAAGATTGGTAAATTTCCATCCTTTTCCACCTCCATGGTGAATTTGATGGTTTGGTGTATGGAATAAACATTTTGCCTTTAGAGGCTAACCGCCTTTTTCTGATGACGACCGCTTGTGTTGCGAGCGAAATGCCGTAGTTTTTGTTATTTTCTTTGAACCCATCTACGTGACTTTACCGAAAAACCCAAGGAATATCTTACGCATGCTTTAACAACATCTAATATTCCATAATTCAGACACGTAAGTATGATGATGTAATTTGTAAATTACAGAGAATTGTGAAGATCTGGATCAAACATATGTGACAGTGATTGTGAACTGTGTTAGATACCATTCTTATGGCAGGAAGTAAGTTCGCTAATATAAAACAGTAACAATGTGTAGTGACATCGCGTATGTCACTGTGCAATGCCGGCCCTAGAGAGGCACGGCGTGCGATGTAATGACATCGCGGACACCACGTGAATGTGAGTGCATTACCAGCTCTCGAATGGCTCGGTGAGCGCTGGATGGCACCACACTCTGCGTGCAGTGCCGGCCTCTACAGGATAGGGTGTGGGAGTGCCGGCCACGGGAATGGGGTTACTAAGGGCCATGGCACTCTGGTTTACCCCAGAGGACACGTCACCAGTTGAGTCTACACAGGGGTCCCAAGTGGGGGCTAAGGGTGGTCACGTGTCAGGTCTGAGATCCTGCTCGAGAATTCTAGAAGGTGGTCCTGACTAAGGGCGGAGCCAGCCACGCCGCAGAGGATCTAAGCCGGGTCCCCCAGAGGGACCGGCTGCTGTTGTTCATCCTGAAGAAACCTTCGTCTACGTTCTATGTCCTCCGAGTCTCCAACACGTGGACCTGGACCAAAGCTGTCATCCGGTCCATTGTAGCCAGTTACGGTGTAATTAGTGTAGTTAGTCTGGTGGTCACGTAGCTAGTTACGGTGTAATTAGTGTAGTTAGCCTGGTGGTCACGTAGCTAGTTACGATGTAATTAGTGTAGTTAGTCTGGTGGTCACGTAGCTAGTTACGATGTAATTAGTGTAGTTAGTCTGGTGGTCACGTTGCTAGTTACGGTGTGACTAGTGTAGTTAATCTGGTGGTCCACCACCATAGGTTGTTATCTGGTTAAGCGGCAGTTACCCCTTTGAGTTGGTATTAATAAATGTGTTGCCTCCAAAGAGTACGTCTGCGACTCAGTTGAACTCACTACAGATGTATCAATTTCATCTGCCAATGACTAACTCTATTATTGCCTTTTCCCCCTAATTTTCATTTTGGAGCAGAACCTTATCGCACAACCTCTCCTGGACCTGGTAAGAAGCCACGCCTCTCTTGTGTACATCACAGTGGTGCCACTGTCACATTTGTTTGTGGAACAAAACGTAAAAAGTACCGTGCAACAAAGTCTTGAATTTTGTAGTTGCAAAACTTCCGATGAACAAATGAAGCACGCGAGCCTCACCTGGTGCACGACATAACCGTGATGTCTTTCTGCAGTCGGTTGCCAGTCCTACCCGTGCCTTAACGGTGGTACTTGTGAGGATCGGTGGTCCTACCCCGACCACTGGTGCTACTGCAGCCCACCGTGGACCGGCAGCAACTGTGAATATGGTGAGAGGACATCGCTCTCTTTGTGTTTCTGTCCTTGCACCCACATACTACGACGTTTCGATCGCAACACAAGCGGTCGTCATCAAGAAAAGGTGGTTAGCCTCTAAAGGCAAACTGTTTATAAAGATTTGAAATGGGCTTAGTCCAAGTGTCATCAGAATGGGCGGGGCAGCTAATGTTAATGTAAGTGATGGTACTCGTAGAGGGCAACGACAGCACTAGTGGTGGGCTTCCACCAATAAAGGGCTACTGCTAGTGGTGATGGTAGTACTGGGCAGTGATGGTCCCGGTGGTGGGCTTCCACCAATTAAAGGTATGCCAGGTCTAAAATGGAAACATTACAGCCAGTTATGACTTAAACTGGTTGATAACGTCCTTCCAGTGATTGCTGAGTTTGTACCCATATTCTCTGTTGAAATTGTGTTCATGTCTGTATATATGGATGGCTTCATGAACGAATCTTTGTTGAAAGCCAGTGGGTTAGCAAAGTACCTTCGTCTTAGAGAAACCAATTTCGTGTGAGCCCACCACATTAAAACAATGATCAGCCACGGCCAGGGTATTGGTCCTTCCGTGTTTCAGATCTGCCTTATGTTCATGAACACGGTCCGAGACATGTCGCTTAGTTTCCCAAATGTAATTACTGCTGCAGACACAGCTTAGTTTGTAGACTCCGGTGTATTGCATGTCAGGGCTCACATCCTTGACAGATGGGATCAGATCAGGAATTTTATGTACTGTGTTAAATATAACTTGGATCTTGTGTTTGCTTATGATTTTGGAAATATTTTTAGTGACCCCTGCTATGTATGGCAAGGTGATGGTTTTGATTGGGTCCTCAGATGGTTCTTTCCCAACGGTTGGGGTGATAGCTTTACGGATTGTGTAGTCTGAATATCCATTTGTCTTGAGAGCTTGGTGTACGTCTTCCAGTTCACTGGATAGGTGGTGATGGTCGGAAATACATCGAGCTCTATGGTGTACAGTTTTGATGAGGGAATTCTTCTGCGATAAATGGTGGTGGGAGTCATATTTTAGGTAGGCATCCGTATGGGTGGCTTTCCTGTAGACAGTGTCCCATTGAGCCATCTGGTCTCTTTTCGATTCAAACTTCCAAGATTGGTAGCTTGCCATCCTTTTCCATCTCCATGGTGAATTTGATGGTTGGGTGTATGGAATAAACATTTTGCCTTTAGAGGCTAACCGCCTTTTTCTGATGACGACCGCTTGTGTTGTGATCGAAACGTCGTAGTTTTTGTTATTTTCTTTGAACCTATCTACGTGACTTTACCGAAAGACTCAAAGAATATCTTACGAATACTTTAACAACATCTAATATTCCATAATTCAGACACGTAAGTATGATGATGAAATTTGTAAATTACAGAGAATTGTGAAGATCTGGATCAAACATGTGACAGTGATTGTGAACTGTGTTAGATACCATTCTTATGGCAGGAAGTAAGTTCGCTAATATGAAACAGTAACAATGTGTAGTGACATCGCGGATGTCACTGTGCAATGCCGGCCCTAGAGAGGCACGGCGTGCGATGTACTGACATCGCGGACACCACGTGGATGTGAGTGCAGTACCAGCTCTCGAATGGCTCGGTGAGCGCTGGATGGCACCACGCTCTGCGTGCAGTGCCGCCCCCTACAGGATAGGGTGTGGGAGTGCCGGCCACGGGAATGGGGTTACTAAGGGCCATGGCACTCTGGTTTACCCCAGAGGACACGTCACTAGTTGAGTCTACACAGGGGTCCCAAGTGGGGGCTAAGGGTGGTCACGTGTCAGGTCTGCGATCCTGCTCGAGAATTCTCGAAGGTGGTCGTGACTAAGGGCGGAGCCAGCCATGCCGCAGAAGATATAAGCCGGGTCCCCCAGAGGGACTCGGGGTAAGCATCTACATCATTTGTTGCAAACAAAACGGGGAAAAACCCTATTCTTATATTTTGGTACTGGCAAAGGAGGTCTAATGATGTAGATGCTTACCCCAGCTCTCATTACTATGATAGTGCATTGTCTTTGAGCTGTACGCCTTTTGGCGTCCTCTGGTCTAGCACCAATTGAGACGAGGCTCAAAAGAAAGCTGTCTCTGGTGTGGACCAATCAGATTCAAGGACAATGCATATATTATCACAGTGTGTTTTTTGTTTGCATTTTGACCACAAGTATTGTGGTTAATGCAGACATGATTCCTCGTAAAAAGGTTTCAGTTTTGTTGCCAGAAAAGAGGGGAAAAACCACGTGCAATATTAATGTTTAATGTACCGTGTGTGTTGTTTCTCTGGAGGCCGGGAGATCGATGGCCGATGTTCGGTGGCCGCATCGACGCCGTTCGTCGGGATATTTTAACTGATCACCTCAAAGTTACTCATGAGCGGCATAGAACGTGTGCGGTCTGATTCTGTGTGTATCTCGTTCCATGTCTGCGTCACGCGGATCAGAACCACCTACCGCTCCACCCGGTAAGACTTCACTCGTTTCGCTTGGGCAAACAATAAAAAAGAATGGCCATCTCGCACGTTAAAATGCCACTCGAGATGTAGATTTATCTTTAACTTGTGGATAACCTCTCGAAAGAAAAATGGCATTTCCACAACTTGCTTAGGCACCGCGGTGGAGAGATGTTGACTACCTCGCCTGATATACGGGTGTTCGTAGGTTCGATCCCGAACCCTGACGACGCCTGCTGTATATTTTGAGATTGCATGTTGTCCCCGTGGTTGTCCACGTGGTTGTCCCCGTGGTTGTCCCCGTGGTCGCGTAGATTTTTCTCCGGGTCCTCCGGGTTTTCCCTTCACATTTAGAATCACGTGGTTGAGAGTATTTGGCTGCTATAGATTTCCACGTGATTTTCCACTTTGTTGAGCTGTCATTTGTGGCCAGATGGCTTCTGAAAAAGAGATAAATATCTCAGTGGGCCTTGCCTGGCAAAATAAATAAATAGAAAGTTAATGGTGACCCACAGATTAACCCAGCATTCAACATCAACGTTCGGCAACATCCGTAACACACTATTGTGTGCACATTCGCACACTTCTTGCAGCCGTGAAGCTGATGAACTGCACGTCGCGCTACATGGAGCTGCAGATCCCGCTGAGCGAACTGAGCGAGCTCGGCCTCTCGTCGTCCGACGTCCACCTGGAGGACCCCTCGTGCCTTGGCTCCATCTCGGGGCAGTACCTGGTCCTGCACACCGACCTGCACGGCTGTGGCTCCACGCTGGAGGTATCGATCAGCGCGGCCGAGAGGCCTGGAAGGCTGCTCTCACCTAGCGATTGAGCACGCGGGATGGGCAAAGAGACCGCGGTTGCGCACCCAGTTGTTTTTGGGCCCAGGCTGTGATGGATGGTTTGCAGGGGGTCGTCGGTTCGACCCCGACCCTGACGCCTGCGGTATATTTGGAGTTTGCGTGTCTCTCTCTCTCTCTCTCCCCGTGGCCGAGTGGATTTTTCCGCGGGTTCTCCGGTTTTTCCCTCCACATTTATAATCAATGTGCATTTAGTTATTTGGCTGCTATACATTCCACGAGATAAGCCACTTCATTGGGCTACCATTTGTGGCCAGGTCACTTCTCAAAACGAGCTTTTTAGCTCAGTGGGCCTTACCTGGTAAAATAAAAAAAAAGTTTAGTTTAAATCGTCGCAAACATCAGCAGCCAAGCGGCTACAGCTCCTCCTGGAGGCTCTACCATGGGTTTCAGCAAAGCAGGTCACCATGGGGGAAAAATGTCTGAGGCTTAAATCTCCAGACTTCCCAGAAGTGGTTGTGGCATCAAGGCACGAGGCTTAGGATATTATCTGCGCCTGACACCTCCTTGAAATCCATAAACTGTTCATCCAACTCAACTTGTATGATGTGGGTACGCACACCAGTATGTGCGGCTCTATAAATTGTCACAAAACACGCCTTTGTATTTTTCAATGCTGTTCTTTCTCTCTGCGTCTCTCCCCAGACAACCGATGCCAACACCATCGTGTACTCGAACACGGCCTACGGCTTCGTGCACGGAACCCGAGTCAAGAAACTGCGCGTCCCCATGCGCTGCTACATCGGCTCCGAGGGAAAGGTCATCGCGAGCTTCGCTCCCAGGTAACAAAAGCGGCAGCCACTCGCCAACAAGGCACAATCCCAGTTACTAATCCGCGATGAGTGACCGCACGAGCGCGGTACGCATCCGCAAAGGCACATGGCGATGCTTATTAGAGGGACATCGGATTATAAGACCTTCAGGCGGTGGTGGGTTTGTACGACGCGTGCGCTGACGTGTCACTGCGGGTGTCTGTGTGCCCTCCGTCTCGCTGCAGGGTGTACGACAAGTACAGCTCGGGCACCTTCGACCTGAGCATCGCCATCTACACCAGCCAGGCCTTCGGCCAGGCCGTCCGCGCGTACCCATTCCAGGTGGACCTCGGAGCCCCGATCTACGCAGAGGTTGGAGAGACGAGCTTGCGTTGCGCGCACCGCTCACGGTCGAACGGCAGTGGAACAACCTTGATTTGAAGCTCTCATAAATCCTTTTGCTCTTTCTCTCCCCCTGCCGCCGCAGGGTGGATTTCCACACAGCTCTCTCATTGACATGCTCATTTCTCTGCTCCAGCAGACCCACCTCTCTCTCTGCCCCCCCCTCTCTATTTAAGGCCACGACACAGAGGCATTGGGTCTCTGTGTGTCTATGTTGTGTGTCTCTCTCTGTGTGTCTCCGTGTTTGTGTTTGTCTCTCTCTCAAATTTAGTTCTACCTGATGACGATTGCTTGTGTTGCAATCGAAACGTCGTATTCTATTATTTAATTTATTTTCTTTCTACGTGACTTTACCCAAAGATCCAAAGAGTGTAACAAGTGGCACTGCCCACGGCTGCCTTCACATGGTTGCTGGATTGGTCGCGTAGGCCGGTGAAAGCCAAGGGCTCAACCGAAGTTGTCACAGCTACGTGAACGGCGTGCCGACTGTGTGCGTGGCTGACTCCCAAGTGGCCAAGTCACCCAATGACCACTTTCACTTCTACCCAATGACCACGCATTCCTCTTATTTCACCAGGTGCTGCTCAACTCCTACGATAACAGCCTGCAGCTCCTGCTGGAGACGTGCAAGGCTTCCCCGTACCCAGGCGCCACCGACAGCGAGTCCTACTTCATAATTCGAGATGGGTAAGAGAAGAATAACTAGAGAAACGCTTTTTTTTGTGAGTGACTAAAGCAGTCATAGACACGGTCCGGCTTTCCAACTGTGCCCCATGAGGTGGACAGCAGTTCCACTTTAAGTTCTTTTTTTTCTTTCTCTTCTCTCATCTGATAATGAACAAATGTCATTTCATTCCACGTTGCATCATTGGCAAGTTGACGGTCGGACAGAGAAGTTGAATGAAGGCATCCGCTCATCGCTCCTCCTGCCCAAGACCTGGATGACTTGAAAAACACTCAGAACTCGCTTGCCAGAATCTTACCAAAAGTCTCAGCATGAAAACATCTTAGTCCGGTCTTGGCCTATGTTCACTGCCTTCCTGTATAGATTGGAGTGGAGTTTAAGATTAGCTTTTTGACATATAATGTAGGTATGTAGGTTTAACTTATTTCGCACCGTACGTAGCCAACCATGCTGATCGGTGGTGCGGGATTAATTGTGACATGCCTAACAGTGGAATGCGGTTGTTGAAATTGCCACGGTGTAATTATGAATGTGTACGCTCGAACTTGCTCCTCTGAACTTGTGTTTTGTGGACTCTTTGTCTGCCAACTGCAGGTGCCAGGTGGATCCTTCCTACACCACCTACTACAGCGGCGACGAGAAGAGGCAGCACTTCAGCTTCCAGAGCGTGGAGTTCTTCAGCGGATCCCAGGTGCAAAATGCTCATCAGCCCTCATATGAGATGCCATTCGTAAATAAAATGGTCTCTCCAATGGTTGAAGTTGCACAGTGACAAGAGTGAAATATTGATCACTCAAGACATACACTGTGGTCTTGAATTTTTTTTAACAAATCGTGTTTTTACTGAATAAAAAAAAATCGCTCTTGTAATTTTGGTAGCCGACCGCTGGTGTTAATGTTCCGAATTTGAAAAAAAAACCCGAAAATTACTTCATTCCCACGTAGAAATATCGCCCTCTGTTGGCAGGATCTATCAATTTACAGGCCGGTGTGGATTACACCTTGAGCCCTGGGGGTCCCCTGCTCGTTACTGGGATACCTCCCCACCACACTCAAGGCGAGACTGCCAGGGGGAATTGAAATGATGGAGATAAAATGTTACATAAGGCACTTTGAAACGATGATGCATTGAAGCCCCACTACAAATGCAAGCCCTTATCCATTTCAGGAATTTGCAGCTTGGGATCTTAAGAGAATTCCTTTAAAAATAAATATGCGAGTGTCCTGATATAGACAAAACAACCCTTCAATATGAATATTAAAACATGCAGACTCCGAACATATAGCCTGTCAAAAATGGTTTGTACGTGGGTAAATACTTTGTACATGCACCAACCATTTTCCTCCGCCAATCATTCCGTCGAATTTTATTTGTTACGTTGAAAGTTCCCACTGCGTTGTAGACACGTGCCAGCAAAGCCCCAATAATGTGATGTGAACCTGAGCTGGGAAAGCCTTATGTATTTATTGATCTGACCACAAATGATAGCTTACCGAAGCGGCTTTTCACGGGGACTTTTCTCGCAGCCAAAATACTCGAAACGCAAGTTTCTAAATGTGGAGGGAAAAACCTGAGGACCCGGATAAAAATCGACGTGACCACGGGGAGAGGAAACAAGCAAACTTTAAATATACAACAGACGTTAAGAGTCGGGATGTAACACAAATAAACCTTGAAAAAGAGGAAAAGTAACATAATGTGTCTCAACATGCATGTATCTCATCTCCTGGTTAAACACGGGATACTACTACTACGACTACTGCATCAGCTCCTCCAGTTAGCACGGTTGGCTATGTATGGTGCGAAAGAAGTTCAAGCATACATACATAGATACATCGGGTGTCTGTTGCTGTCCCTGGGCAGGTGTACCTGGAGTGCAACGTGCGCGTGTGCAACATCTCGGACGTGAGCTCGCGCTGCCGGCGAGGGTGCGTGCGGTCCAAGCGGTCCGTGCGTGACCTCGTCAGCCGGGAGAATCGCGCCGAGCACAAAGTGGACCTCTCCCAGGGCCCCGTGCTGCTCCGCAAGTCGCGCCAGGGTGAGCTGACGTTGGTTCATCGGTCGATGATCTCCAGTATGCTGGTGGTACGGATGCCGTGGCCGCCACGGTGGCGAAGATGTTAACTACCTCGCCTGGTATACAGGAGATCGTGGATTCCATTCAGACCCGGACGCCTGATGTATGTTTGGAGTTTTCGTGTCTCTCTCTCTCCCCGTGGCAGCGTGGATTTTTCTCCGGGTGTTCCGGTTTTTCCCTCCACATTTAGAAACGTGCGTTTAGATAATTTGGCTGATATTAAATTCCACATGATAAGCCACTTTGTTGAGCTATCGTTTGTTGGCCGGGTCGCTTCTGAAAAAAAACTACATTCCTCAGTGTTCCTTACCTGGTAAATACAAAAATAGTTTATATATTTTGAACACATCTCGCCAACAATTGTTCAGTTCTTTTCAACGTTTCCTACTAAAATTGAGATTCACGTCCTCACCAGTATTTATTGGCCGTTCCTGTTCGGGGGCCTCTACAGTTGAAGTGGGTGGAGCAGGCCTGGTCGCGGGCGTGCCCACCCTTGATATTACGTCAAATGTAGTCATGAACTGAACGATGCCATTAAAGTGACCTGACTTTCAAATGCACAATTGCGATACGGTTAGCGACGTCATCAAGACATACACTTATGCACTTTGCACTTGTGTCCTTTTGTTACGTTATTAATTTTAGTGACTTACCTTTCCTCTACTCCGCACTCCTTATCATTTAGTTTGTTGTACTGTTGTTGTAACTTTCTGATCCGGTGCCCCCTACTGGACAGCTGTAAAAAAAAGAGCTTCACAGCTCATTGGATTCCTCCTCCGGGATAAATAAATATTCTGATTACGGCACGCAAGGCGCCGGTGAGACCCGTCCATCTGATGGGTGCGGGGTGGACTTGTTGTTGTTGTTGTGACTGCCGTGTTTACTATCCCCGCAGCTTCCGAAGTGAGCGGCTCGCTATCCGGAATGGTGTACGCGCTCGCTTCTGCTCTGACCGTGGCCGCTGTGTGCGTGGCCGTGGTGAAGATCTCCCGCATGCACAGCGCCGGCGCCCAGTACCAACTTCTCGTGCCCACCGAGGAGTGAAGAAGGGGCCAGAGGTCGCGCACTATTTAACCAGGGGCTCGCACCTTCCTTCCTAATCCTTCCTTCTGCCTAATTGCACATGTAATCTAATCGTTGGAGAGCGCTGATCAAATACTTTTTCGTGCGATCGAGAAGCACAACTGCTTTTTGTGTTTAGTTTGTTGTCCTTTCCCGGCAACTCCGATTGGCTACGAAAGAAGTTCAACGTACACTTTCATAACAACTTTGATTTGAACTCGCAAAGTCTCAGGTTTTATCACGAAGGTGGTTTGTGACGATCATGCACTGAATGATACCGGGGTGTACCATTAGGATGCGCTAACGCTCCGCGCGCGATAATATCCACAATCTCTGCTGAGTTGATGTAAGGATGAGCTGAGTGCTGTTCGCAGTGTGTGGTGTGTTCAGTGGTGTGATCGAGCACCAGGCGTAAAACATTTTGATTCCAACAATACGTATCGAGTGCCATATGTCAATAGGAGAGCACTTACATTTATATCTGATTAAGCAATTGTTTAAAAAATGTTGATTGCTCTGATTGAAGATGATGGACCTGACTGGGCGTGTCCGTGTTTAGATCTGCTCATTAAACGCACTTTTATCTGCAAAACTTGTCTCATTTTCAATGAACATGTCATCAATGGGAACGTATCGGTAGTACGCGTATAGACGTGTTGTCAACCCACTGCCGAATGAGGGTCTACCCATGGCCCTGCCTCACTTGGAGGTTAGTTTACCTTATTTCTCCAGGCTGGTGAGCATGGGCTGCCAGCTTTAACGTGTAGCACAACGATTTACTTTGCTCCACTGCCCACAATGTGTATATCCACAGAGCTCTGTCACAGAACCTGTGTGGTGATGTACATAGTGGTCACCCATCCAAGCACCATCCTGGCTCAGCCCTGCTTAGACTTCGAGATTGGACGCATTCCGGGCGATCTGGTCACAGACCTATGTTAGATAACCAACCGCAAGGGACCATTTGCAACTGTAAACATATAAATGTTCAGTACCATTTAAGGCATCGTCATTTCATATGGCACATGAAAAGCAACTGACACCCATTCTAACTCTATACATAAAGTAGAGTACATCCCAGACTATGGTAGAGTAAATGTATATTTTTTGTTATTTTTTGTTATTTTCTTTGCAACCTATCTACGTGACTTTACCGAAAGTCCCAAGAATATGAATTCCTGCAGTCATGAACGCTTTAAATCAAGATTGATATCTATCTTGTCTGGTATATACATCGAGTATATACCAAACTATATACACAGAGAGGCTCTACAACGCACTCCACCACTATCGAGTCGCGGCACAGCCAACACGGTCGCGTGCAGCATAGTATCGACAAGGCTCGATTGTTGCAACCGCGCTACTCTACGGGACGTCTGCCAAAAACATTATGAAGCTGCAGAAGCGTGTACAACATCCTCCGGCACGTGTCGTGTATGGGTGCTGTGAGATCCGACCGTGTCCGTCCAGTGCTCGTTGCGCTGCACTGACTGCCAGTTGCCGAACGAACACATTGTAAGGTGGCACGCATTACACACGAAGCATAAACCATCACCCGAACTCCGGTCATCCTCGCAACGGCTTACGGCGGGCCATCGAACAAAGACGGTCACAGCGTCGCATGCGGTCAGATGCGCTTCTGCGGCCGTCTGGAATGCTCTTCCGATATCAGGAAGCCACTGGAGCTACGCACTTCCAAGTCATCCTGATTGAAAACTCATTTTTTTGGGACTGTTTTTTTTGTATTTTTAGTTTGTTTTCCTTCCCCCCGCAACTCCGATTAGCACGGTTGGCTACGTACGGTGCGAAAAAGGTTCTACATATACACACAGATCACCGACCGCCGCTGATCTTTGTGAATACATTCTCATCTGGAAAAGAGCCGTGTCATAAGATGGACATTGCCCACACCAACAAGGTTACAACCAACAGGAACACTTTTCACAAAATCACGTCGCTCGTTCTGCTCTCTATGCAGAATCGGAATCTCTATTTAGAGTGCAGAAGGATGAATCCGATGAGCTGCGAGGCTCTTCGTCACAGACGTCCCGTATGCGCGGCGCATCTCCGCTCCGCACCGCCCTCTCCTACAGCCAACCCCGCCGTTAGGAAAGTGAACGATGGTTCACGTGGAACACGTTGCTTTTTTTTGGGTCAGGTATTTACACACCCACGCCCGGTACAGCCACTGGGTGTTACAGTTTACGTTCTAGACCCGTCCCAGTTTGTGTTTCAGCCCTCGCCACTCGCTCCCTGGACCATCGCGCCCACGACACTTTTCTTGTGAACTTTCTCCCACTCTGGCCCTCTTGAAAATGACACTTTAGAGAGTGGGTTTTGTTTCAAAAGGGGAAAATTGTGTTTATTGTATTTGTTGTTGTAAATGTACACGTCTATAACGATTCCAACTTTTTAGCCTTCTTCCCTGGATGTATATGGCACCGCTGGTTGTTTACCATCGAGAAACACTTCTGTTAATACTGTAACAAAAACACACGCACACAACCACATCCGCCTACGGCTTTCCCGTCTCCCCCATTCATTTAACATTGTAGAATCTTACAGAGGGAGCAAACCGCGTGCTCTCATGAATAACAGCACTGGGCTGAATGTTTGGTTTGTTTTAATTGTTCACATTTAAAAGTTTTTCCACTTACAAACTTTCTATCAATTTCCACCCCCCCCTCCTCCCTCCATTCATTCCCAATATGAAAGCAGTTAATGTCAAGCCGGCTGTATGCAAGCAAGATGTGTTTTATTTATGGCTCCGTGCCTATCTCCGCGTGGTTCCACGTCCTGTTTATACCCCCACTGGGGCCGCAAGAGCGGTGGAAGCCTCATATCAGACAGAGCCACGTGGTGTGCAGAGCCACGTGGTGTGCACAGCGACACGTGCGTGTGCATCGGCTGTGGGATGGGGAGCGGTGGCGCAATGGTTAGCGCACTGCACTACGAATCCGATTGGGAAGCTGTGACCCGGGTTCAACTCTCATCCCAAAATCGGTGCCGGATTAAGCTAGGGCGGGGCCTGTAGCAACTTTTTGGACTTCTGCAAGCCTCTTATAATTTTGTTGGAGCTTTCACGATTGCTTAGTATCTGTGTCTGTATATGTAAGGTTTTTAAGAGAAGTTGTGAAATGTATTTTTCGCCCGGGCAACGCCGGGTACTTCCCTTAAATAAAAAAACACGTAAATATTAAAACACAAATGTTTAACTTGCATAGTAAAGTAATTGTATTTTTTCATTTCCTATACAGCCTGATAATACGACAAATCGCTAACCTTAAACACCCAGTCGTTCATAACAGGCGATATAGTACTATAGTAATAGAGCAAGTGCAGAATCACTGAACCGGAATTGATAGCTTGAAAGCGTTTAGCGCGGGGCCCTTGAAAATGCGGGGCCCGTTACCCGTAGCATATGTAGTAGCTACTACATATGTAGTAGCTACTACATATGTAGTAAATGTAGTAGCTACTACATATGTAGTAAATGTAGTAGCTACTACATATGTAGTAAATGTAGTAGCTACTACATATGTAGTAGCTATGTAGCTTCTACTTTTGCTATTTGGATAATCCGGCACTGGCCAACATCGGTGACGAATATCTGAACCGGTCTTGGGCCTCCCCTAGGTCGACTCGGCCTCAAATGAGTAAGTGGTGCTGTGTGTGTAAATATCAGCACTGGGGAGACAAAGACGGCGGGGCGTTGTGTTGATCACCCACCCCTTTGTGCGCCGTGCCGGCCTTCAGAGGTGCTCGAAAACAGCACTTACCACCAACGTATGTTAAGGCTATGCGGGGGACCTTTGTCTTTGGTCCGGAGATTAATATCCCAACAGTTACAACAAACGCATTGTTCTAGTATCCTGAAAATTGACCTCTTGATTCCTAAGATACACACCACTATCATCACCATCATCATCCGCAGCAGAAATAGCATCTGAACCAGGAAGACGTGATCCTTGAAAAAAAAAACTCAACACATTCGTCGACAACACTGTAAGGCCTGGAAGGAAAGAAATATATAATCGGCGACGTTTCGGCCAACGGCTCTTCTTGGGAGCACATCGTCTCCTCTAGATCAGCACAGCTTTGATATCATGCTTGCTTCACGTTGTCGCGTTCACGTGGTCGCCGCATCGACCCGGGGCCACTGTGACCAGGACGCGCGTGCGTTGGTCTGTGGCCACTCTCCTCTCTCTCTGTGCGTCTCGATAGCTGCTGGCCAACATCACTTGCCACGCCGTCGCTCTTCGTCGGGCGCGACTTAAAAGGCAACGTGACATCATCCCGTCTCCGTTCACACGCGGGCAGGTCCATTGTACGCCGTCACAAAGAATCGCGCTCATCGTTCAAATCATAACAATGCAGTTGAAAAACAAACAAACACACAAGAGTAAACGCCACAGCTGATACGAGACTAAAATGTTTTCACTTTTACCAGGTGAGGCCAACTGGGGCTGCTGTACAGCTCTTGTCTTTTTTTCAGAAGAGACCTGGCCACAAGTGATAGCTCAATGAAGTGGCCTATCACGTGGAAATGTATAGCAGACAAATACTCCAAAGGCGCGTTTCTAAACGTGGAGGGGGAAAACCGGAGGGCCCGGATAAAAATCCACGCGACCACGGGGAGAGAGAGAGACACCGCAAACTCCAAATATACAGCAGCAGGCGTCGTCTGGGTCGAGATCGAACCCACCACCTCCTGTATACCAGGCGAGGTAGTCAACATCTCCTAGCGCAGCGCCCTGGCCCCGTGCCTGTGACGCGACCTCAATGGGCCCCCACGGGCCCCGTGCATCTGCTTAGCGCCAACCGCTCTCGGACTGCGCAGCAGCCAACGCGGAAGGCTGCAGCGTCACACCGCGGATGACGATTCAGCGATGGTGATGTCGACACGGGGGGTGGCCATGATGATGATGAGACACGAGAAACTCTGATCATTATGCTGGTAAGAGGTTGCAATATGATCACGATGATGTTGATACGTGAGGGGGTGGAGGGGCGGGGTAGGTAATATGCTGATGATTATGACGATTGTAAGAGTGATTGTGATAATGATGATGACACGTGGTGGTGGTGATTATAATGAGGACGAGAAGGCTTCATTGTGATGTTGGTATGAGAGTAGCGACTGTGATGGCAAGGACGACGAGAGTCTGCGTGACGCGCGGACGATCGTGGGAGATGTTTGTTCATAACGGTGATGACGGTGAAGACGACGACGTCAGTGTCACGTGGATAACTATGACGACCTTGATGACGTATGAAGGCCATGCACGGCCGATCCACGTAGGCCAGGGGTCAGCTTCCAAAGTAACAAGAAGTGAACATTTTTTTAATTCGGCAAAAAACCTCCCACCTCAATATTTCAAGAGCCGCAATGCACTGCGGTGGTGAATACGAGACGGTGGTGAATACGAGATGGCGGTGGTGAATACGAGATGGTGGTGAATACGAGACGGTGGTGAATACAAGATGGTGGTGAATACGAGAGGGTGGTGAATACGAGACGGTGGTGAATACGAGACGGTGGTGAATACGAGATGGTGGTGAATACGAGATGGTGGTGAATACGAGATGGTGGTGAATACGAGACGGTGGTGAATACGAGATGGTGGTGAATACGAGAGGGTGGTGAATACGAGACGGTGGTGAATACGAGACGGTGGTGAATACGAGATGGTGGTGAATACGAGAGGATGGTGAATACGAGAGGGTGGTGAATACGAGAGGGTGGTGAATACGAGATGGTGGTGAATACGAGATGGTGGTGAATACGAGAGGATGGTGAATACGAGAGGGTGGTGAATACGAGAGGGTGGTGAATACGAGATGGTGGTGAATACGAGATGGTGGTGAATACGAGGCGGTGGTGAATACAAGATGGTGGTGAATACGAGACGGTGGTGAATACGAGATGGTGGTGAATACGAGATGGTGGTGAATACGAGACGGTGGTGAATACGAGATGGTGGTGAATACGAGATGGTGGTGAATACGAGACGGTGGTGAATACGAGATGGTGGTGAATACGAGATGGTGGTGAATACGAGAGGGTGGTGAATACGAGATGGTGGTGAATACGAGACGGTGGTGAATACGAGATGGCGGTGGTGAATACGAGATGGTGGTGAATACGAGAGGGCGGTGAATACAAGATGGTGGTTAATACGAGATGGTGGTGAATACGAGAGGGTGGTGAATACGAGATGGTGGTGAATACGAGACGGTGGTGAATACGAGATGGTGGTGGTGAATACGAGACGGTGGTGAATACGAGATGGTGGTGAATACGAGATGGTGGTGAATACGAGACGGTGGTGAATACGAGATGGTGGTGAATACGAGACGGTGGTGAATACGAGATGGCGGTGAATACGAGATGGTGGTGAATACGAGACGGTGGTGAATACGAGACGGTGGTGAATACAAGATGGTGGTGAATACGAGACGGTGGTGAATACGAGATGGTGGTGAATACGAGATGGTGGTGAATACGAGACGGTGGTGAATACGAGATGGTGGTGAATACGAGATGGTGGTGAATACGAGACGGTGGTGAATACGAGATGGTGGTGAATACGAGATGGTGGTGAATACGAGAGGGTGGTGAATACGAGATGGTGGTGAATACGAGACGGTGGTGAATACGAGATGGCGGTGGTGAATACGAGATGGTGGTGAATACGAGAGGGTGGTGAATACAAGATGGTGGTGAATACGAGATGGTGGTGAATACGAGAGGGTGGTGAATACGAGATGGTGGTGAATACGAGACGGTGGTGAATACGAGATGGTGGTGGTGAATACGAGACGGTGGTGAATACGAGATGGTGGTGAATACGAGATGGTGGTGAATACGAGACGGTGGTGAATACGAGATGGTGGTGAATACGAGACGGTGGTGAATACGAGATGGTGGTGAATACGAGATGGTGGTGAATACGAGATGGTGGTGAATATGAGATGGTGGTGAATACGAGAGGGTGGTGAATACGAGACGATGGTGAATACGAGATGGTGGTGAATACGAGATGGTGGTGAATACGAGAGGGTGGTGAATACGAGACGGTGGTGAATACGAGATGGTGGTGAATACGAGATGGTGGTGAATACGAGACGGTGGTGAATACGAGAGGGTGGTGGTCCCCTAGTAAAGAACGCTTCACGGAGCGGCCCTTACAGCGTCACCTCACGCAGCTCCGGAGTCGCAGGTCGCCGACCCCCGACGTAGGCGATTGAGCGATCGATTTTATTGGCCGGTAGGCCTGTGACGTCACAGCCTCATCATCATCCATCCGCGTGCACGATGGCCCGAGGGTGGGGGTTTGTGGAGCCGCGTGGCCCCCCAATCCCCCACCTGCCCCCCTCGCCCGCAACAATCACAGCTCGGTACAGGGGATCGGCTTCCCCCTGGCGTCGCGCCCCTCCGTCGACGCCTCTGTGCCCTCCAGCCCCCCCGCGTGCACCGGTGCAGAGACGTTGGTGGAAGACGTCGCGATGCGGCGCAGGTTTTCCAGGGACTGTCGCGGGGAGAGAGATTGAGGGAGAGCGAGACAGAGAGTGCGTTACGTCGTCGGATGTGCAGAGGGAGACAGGGAGGCGAGTCGAATCCTGTTATTATCATCGCGCACCCTGCGTCGTTTAGTCGATAAAATGTAAGAATGCCGTGGCGAGCACAGCCGACGTGCTGCCATTCCGCTGCTGGATGAGGGCCGTGCGCCAACGTCGGCCCGGCGTTACCGCGTACCTTCATGAAGGACCGGTGGGCCCGCTCCTCGTCCAGCGGCGAGGCGCCCTCGTCCTCCGCCTCCAGGATCTCCTCGAAGGTGATGGGCTGCGTCTTGTGACGGCTGGCGCGCTGCTTGCGCAGGATACCGCCCCGCGGGATGGGGGGCGGGCTCGGGGGGGCCCTCACAGCCATCAGGGACGACGAGCCGGAGGCGGAGATTTTGGAGGAGGAGCTGCTGACGACGCTCGGGCACGTCGTGGCGAGCAGTCCGGCTCCAGGGTCACAAACATCCATCGCTGAGTGCAGGGCTGCGACGGAAACAAAGCAGGCGCGGGGTGTAAGGCGGCACCTGGGGGCGCCACGGTGGCTAGGAGATGTTGACTACCTCGCCTGGTATGCAGGAGGCGGTTGGTTCGACACCCGACCCTGACGCCTGTTTTGTATTTGGAGTTTGCGTGTTGGCTATCACCGTGGTCGTGTGGAAGTTTACTCCGGGATCCCCCAGAGAAATGATAAGCCACTTCGCTGAACTACCATTTGTTGGCCAGGTCACCTCTGAAAAATAGCTCTATAGCTCAGTGGGCCTTACCTGCTAAAATAAATAGATGTAGTGTTAGTTTAACTCATGCACTGCTACTGCCGTGTGTGCAGTGTGCCCGACGCTCACACCGACCGACGATTTAGCAGCGGAGTGAGGGCCGTGCAATTTCGCACGTGCCAGTCAACTTCGAGTGAAGGCGCGTGTTGACAGTTTTGGTTCGTTATGGGGATTTTTTTTAAGTGGCTGTTGAGGGTAAGGCTCATTAATTCAAAACGCCTCTGGTTTTGATCCTACCCCCGACAGGACCGATTCTGAGCCTAAATATGGGTTAGGACGAACAGAACCTCGCCTTCAGCACTCACGCCACAAGATAGACTCACAAAGGGGCACATGTTTGGCTGCGGTCATGAAAACATTCCTACACACAGCTGCAATGCCAAAACATTCAAAGAACATGAACTTATGAACAACGTGTCGCGTTTACAGCTGGTTTACAGGCCTAAAGACACTTACCAGAGACTCGACGTGCACGTAACATACTGTTCATTGTTTACTCTTGTATATCCAATAGATATCACAGAAGCAAATAAGTTTGTTTTAAAAACAGAAAACCAGCACGTAACTTAATATTGAATTTAAAAAATATACAATTCATAAAATAAATGTCCCTCCACCGCCTTTCTCTCAGGCAGTCATTAGCCGGGCATCCAATCGCAAATCGCTGCGGTGGTGAGATGGTACGTAACTACCTCGTCTGGTATACAGGGAGTCGTGGGTTCGCTTCCAACCCTGACGCTTGTATGTATTTGGAGTTTGCGAGTCTCTCTCCCCGTGGTCGCGTGGATTTTTCTCAGGGTCCTCCGGATTTTCCCTTCACGTTTAGAATCAACTTGCGTTGAGAGTATTTGGTGGCTACACATTGACACGCGATAAGCCACTTCGTTGGGCTATCATTTGTGGCCAGGTCGCTTCTGAAAAAGGGCTATATAGCTCAGTGAGCCTTAGCTGGTAACATTTGTAAAAGTTTAGTTTCGTTTAAATCGAAGCAAATTTCAGCAGCCGGACTGCGACAGCTCCTCCTGGAGGCTCTGTCAGAACCGAAGGACCAAGCGATGATCAAATCTGCGTTGTGTTCTACGCCACCCCCACTGCCCTCCCCCCATACCCCACCCCCATGTCTCTTCTGTGAGATATGTTCCCAAATATATACGTGTATGTATGTTGGATTTCTTTAGCACTATATGTAGCCAGCCATGATGATTGGAGGTGCGGGGGAAGGACAACTAATAACACACAAAAAGCAGTTCTAAAGAAATTAGTTTTCAATATAGATCATGACTTAAAAGTGCACAGCTCCCAATGGATTCCTAATATCGGAATGAAGAGCGTTCCAGACGGCCGCAGAAGCGCATCTGAAAGCGCCACGCGATGATGCAGTGACCGTCTTTGTTCAATGGTGAGCCAAACGCCGCTGCTGCGGGGATGACCGGAGTTCGTGTGATGATGGTTTATGTTCCTTGACGAGATCGGCAAGGTATTGTGGGTCATTTTGGCAAGCACTTTGTGTGTGATGAGTGCGATATTATGATTCGTTCGTCAACCGCAAGCGGGGGTATGGGACTGCCACCACATTGTCAGCTTTATCAAACGTCAAAATATTCAAAGTTTCAGGGCAAACTGAACTCCGTACTGATCGTGTCCTGTGAACAACGTCTATCAGCATCGTGCTCACTTTGAATGCGTCCCGGCATGGCAAGGCTTACATGTTGGTGGCCTAGAGGCAGCAATTAGGGACATCTTACCAAGTGGTGACACTGCACCATTGATGTTGAAACCTGTAAGTGACGAGAAACCGTCTGGTCCACAGAACGAAACCGGTCTGCAGTTTGTCGACCACTGCATTACTGCTGCTGCTGTTGTCAGCCATGTCGCATTGGCACTTTGATCGTGACTCTTAAGAATGCCACGATGCACTTCTTCAGGAAGTGCTCATGGCGCTTTTTCAACATGAAAAATGTACTTTTAAAAAACCTAAATGTTGGATCTTGTTCGAAGCACGCACAAGACACCACAATACGCAGATACCGTATCGAGGAATCTATTACTCAATCACATATTTAATTTGCAGAGGTGTCGCTTGTACACCGTGGATGAGGCTGGCCATGTTCGTGACGAGTCTCATGTCGTACATGGGCAGCTTCCTTGCCGCGTGAGGGCGAGCGTGGGGGGTAGGGAGGGCCCAGCTCAGTGGCCCAAATTACAGCGACGGAAATTTGGCAGAGTCACCGTTGGACCAAACCCCATCTGCAGTTGCGCAAGCGGGAATGTAACGCCGCTGAAATTTATTTTTTTGCAACAAGTCAACAGCGCCACGGCTCTGAACAAGCGCCCATTAAACGCTGCTGTGGCGAACGCCCACGCACCGTGTTTTCTGGGTCACAATCGGCCCCATTTATAAAATGCACGGATGTACGTTGAACTTGGTTCGCAGCGTACGAGGCCAATCGTGGCTAATCGGAGGCGCGGGGGGAAAAGGGCAACAAACTGAACACAACAACAAGCAGGTTCTAAAGAAATGAGTTTGTCAATTTAGATGATGATGATTTAAAAGTGCACAGCCCCCAATGGCTTCCTAATATCGGAAGGAAGAGCATTCCAGATGGCCGCAGAAGCGCGCCTGAAAGCGCCGCGCACCATGACACAAGCATTAGTGCACAAGGAATGCAACGTGGGGTCCGCTCTCTCAGCACCGCTTCAACGAACGCTTTAGCGCGCAACTCACTTACAAGTGAAGATGCTCACGGTGTTCACCAACGAAAGTCGGTAAACGCGCTTCGGTTTGCCGTGCTGTATTGTGAATAGGGTTTACGACGCCGACTCCATGGCACACGGCAGCTTGACTACTGCACAGCTTTTGGCCTCCGGATGTTGTGCCGATTCGTGACGCCGTTGTGTCTCGAGCTGCCTCTAGCAGCTCGAGACACAACGACGTCCGTCCACCCAACGCGCGCGTGCGTGTGTGTGGGCGCGTGTCGACAGGGCACCAATGAGCCAAATCCTGAGAGGATCATTGGAGGACAGACGGGCTTTAAAAGATCCTTGGATGATCCTTGGAGGACAGACGGGCTTTAAAAGATCCTTGGATGATCCTTGGAGGACAGACGGGCTTTAAAAGATCCTTGGATGATCCTTGGAGGACAGACGGACTTTAAAAGATCCTTGGATGATCCTTGGAGGACAGACGGGCTTTAAAAGATCCTTGGATGATCCTTGGAGGACAGATGGGCTTTAAAAGATCCTTGGATGATCCTTGGAGGACAGATGGGCTTTAAAAGATCCTTGGATGATCCTTCGAGGACAGACGGGCTTTAAAAGATCATTGGATGATCCTTGGAGGACAGACGGGCTTTAAAAGATCCTTAGATGATCCTTGGAGGACAGACGGGCTTTAAAAGATCCTTGGATGATCCTTGGAGGACAAACGGGCTTTAAAAGATTATTGTATGATCCTTGGAGGACAGACGGGATTTAAAAGATCCTTGGATGATCCTTGGAGGACAGACGGGCTTTAAAAGATCCTTGGATGATCCTTGGAGGACAGACGGGCTTTAAAAGATCCTTGGATGATCCTTGGAGGACAGACTGGCTTTAAAATATCCTTGTATGATCTTTGGAGGAGAGACGGGCTTTAAAAGATCCTTGGATGATCCTTGAAGGACAGACGGACCTTAAAAGGTCATTGTATGATCCTTGGAGGAGAGACGGGCTTTAAAATATAATTGTATGATCCTTGGAGGAGATACGGGCTTTAAAAGATAATTGGATGATCCTTGGAGGACAGACGGGCCTTTAAAGAGGGTCGCCGTATGTCATTAGATATCGCTTTCTAAAGTCGCAGAAAATTGTCACTCCCACACACGCTCACACACACATAAGCACACAAAGACAAACATGTGTTTTTTAACACTGAGTTTAACATGTTTAATTGTAATTAGTACGTTTAATTGATTGAACAATCTGTTTTGTAAATATTTATCCTTAATTTTTTGGTGTGGTTTTCATAGAAGCCCTCTTGGATTCCCAACCTCACCTGTACACATTTTTAACCTTATTTTCATTTGCACTGTTTGTTTTCACTTTGTCTTTTCTGTGCGAATAATAAAATAAAATCCACTGCTGGACGACTGACCAAGACGTCAAACGTCGTGAACTGATCCGGACTCCACAGCGTCTACCGCATACCGTGGCTGGAATCCCTCTGCTGCATCTGCACAATCGGGGGGGGGGGGGGGGGGTGTTGGGAATACCCCCCTCGGTTCCTGAAAGTCCCCAAGAGAGAGAGGGTGTTCACGCGAATCGATAAGATCGCCCAGTTGGCAACGCACGCAAGCGACGCGCGAGCCGTTATCGTTCGGCCGCCACTGCAGCGTTGCTTCCTCTGGCCTGTGAGAAGCCAACTTCAAATCCATAGCGCACGCTGCTCGCCGAGCTGTGGTGGCGATTCCGGTTGCTGAACGAATTTCGTTGTTAGAAGGATCGCGCTCATTACAGACACACACAGTGCTTGACGCAAAACGAATCACAAAAACCCCTCTGCTGATGTGGTCAAGGAGGATAAAGCATCGCGCGAAGTCCGCTCATCCTCGTCGCGGCGGCTTTCGGCTGCCAGCCTTCGGGCAAAGACGGCGGTCAATGCGTCGTCGCCGCGCGCTTTCAGATGTGTGGGTTGCGATGTTGCTGGGTCTCATCAGTGGACCACAGCGTGTGTGTGGGTTACGATGTTGCTGGGTCTCATCAGTAGAGCCCAGTGTGTGTGTGGGTTACGATGTTGCTGGGTCTCATCAGTAGAGCCCAGCGTGTGTGTGGGTTACGATGTTGTGGGTCTCATCAGTAGAGCCCAGTGTGTGTGTGGGTTACGATGTTGCTGGGTCTCATCAGTAGAGCCCAGTGTGTGTGTGTGGGTTGCGATGTTGCTGGGTCTCATCAGTAGAGCCCAGTGTGTGTGTGGGTTACGATGTTGCTGGGTCTCATCAGTAGAGCCCAGTGTGTGTGTGGGTTACGATGTTGCTGGGTCTCATCAGTAGACCCCAGTGTGTGTGTGGGTTACGATGTTGCTGGGTCTCATCAGTAGAGCCCAGTGTGTGTGTGGGTTACGATGTTGCTGGGTCTCATCAGTAGAGCCCAGTGTGTGTGTGGGTTACGATGTTGCTGGGTCTCATCAGTAGAGCCCAGCGTGTGTGTGGGTTACGATGTTGCTGGGTCTCATCAGTAGACCACAGTGTGTGTGTTAAACGCCTGCTGCTGCATAGAGTTGATCACGGAAGCCCATGCATAGGCTGATATAATCAAGAAAACGAATTGTATTGACATTATTAGGTTATAAATCAGCGGACGTCTGTTGTTTCTATAAACCCATAACTATACTCCGACGCAACAACGCCTGCGTTGTATGCATCCGATATACACAGCAGCTTTGTACTCCACAACTCGCAAGTTGTTTGTACTGCACAGTTACGAGGTAGTATCCGGCGTGAACATATAGCTGGCTACTCGGGGGAGACAAAGGCGGCCGGGCGTGGTGCTGGCCACCCATCCCCTCGTGTGCCGTTCCGGCCTTCATAGCTGCCGCTCGCTAACAGCACTTGCCCCTGCAGTCTGTTATGGGCCATACGGGGGATCTTTGTCTTTGTATGTTTACTACGCTGCCGACATGGGCGACACGCCGTGCGGCAGCGTAACGATGCAGCACCCTTCCCATACAGCACGAGAGGCTGAGAGGATTTGAATGAGCATCGTGCGGGGCCCGAAAGAGAGAGAGCTGAGCGGTCACAACGTGCCGCCTGTAACGCACCCACGGCAAAAGTCCACAACATGCGAATATAAAACAAAGATATAGGCCTGTATGATGCGTGTGTGTATTCAGTATCATTAAGGCCGTGGAGGAGGAGGAGGCTCGTGAAGGACGCTGCCACTGATCAGTTGTTGGCGGCAGTCGCCCTCCAGCAACAACGGAGGGCAGAGGAACGACGCTCACAACAACGAGCGGAGCGCCGGGCGGCTAAAACGCATGGAGTTGGCACAATAGGGGGCACAGGCGGTGCATCGGCCACTCATCTTAGTCGACCCATGGCACCTGCTGGGTCTGCCCCGTGACCTCCTGCCAGCGAGCGTTCGACACTGCACGTGGATTTAAAGTGCACGTGACCTGGCACAAGCGCCGCGGTGACGTCACCGCCACTTAGTGGCGAATGGCGGTTGTTATTATTACTAAGACTATTACCGATACACAAATATTAGCCCTCAAATATTGCTCATAGGTTAAACAGATATAGCGCTGTCGGTACGCATCTCCATCGGAACCGTGTTATAGTGAACTCCTATAGCGCCGTTTCGCACAGCGCTCCGTTTACCAAGAACGCATCCCTGAGCGCTATTCGAAGTATGCCTGTATATGTGCACATTGGGGGTGGTGCGGGTGGCGGATCGGTTAACGCAGCACTGCGCAACCAACCCGGCCCCGCCTGAGTGGAATTCCTTACCACTGCTAACAAGACGCCAGCTGACGTCGGGGGAGATATTTAAACCGCTTCTGGTGGCCCCCATTTCACCAACCTATCTGCACTGACGAACGTGGTGAAGTATGGTCACCCAAGTTGCCCGTGGCCAGCAACACGGCGTGGGGAGGAGGCATTCATATCCAGCAGCGGATTGACCGTCAATGACAGCTCACACGGCTTACGTTTGCGCCGTTGAAAATCTATTGCGTAGCCGGCAGCAGGCTTCTAGACTGCCCGTAACTCCCGCGGTAATAAACCGCGCGACACCGCGGGCACCGCTGCTGCAGCGCCAGCGCTACCTCCCGGTAGGCGTTCACGTACCCGTACGTAGCTCCGTCTCTCTCCCCTCGCTGCGTGTCCGTGGTGGCTCTCGGGTGACGAAATTCTTGCAAACAGCGGCAGCAAACAGGCGCTGGGGGCACCACTCCACCGATCAAGAAAGTCAGAAAAAAAGCTATCCCACGGTGGCGGTGAGGGTTCGCGGTCTAAAGAGAGCTGGCGACGATCTGCAGGGCTCCGCTGTCCCTCTGGTGGGCCGCCTTTCTCTTCTCGCTCGCCGCCTGCCCCATCCACTCTGACGATCCCCAGGCCAACAGGTCACCTCGAGTTCCCCTCCCCCTCCTCTCTCTCTCTCGAGATCTTCCACGCGCGCGTCGCCAGTTCGCGCTTGTCGCAGCGGCAACTGAGGCCGTCGTCACACCGAGCTACGCCGAGGCCACCGCTCATGCAGAACCGACCCCTCTGTTACGGAGCGAGAGGAGGGGGTCCTTCCTTACCCTCCGGCACGCCGCCTTCAGCAAGCAAATGCGTAAAAGTCACAAAAAGCGAGTTCCTTCCAGAACCCGCCCGAGGCTAATTGCTCATTAGCCGCAGCGCGCGCGTACACGGCCGCTTCGCTTCGGGGTTGTTTCGGCCTCCCTCTCAACGGGAACCTGAAGCCACGAATCGAGAAGTCGTCAAAGAGTCCCATTGAGGACTCCTGGCACGGCCACGCCCCCCCACGCGGCCCCCCCTCTCAGTGGCGTCACGCGAAGCGCCGCAGCGCCGCCTCGGGCCGGTTGACACGGGGAGGGGGGGGGGTGGCGATGATATTGAGCAGAGCAGTTCAAGAGGGTACACACAGAGACATACACAGAGACACACACACAGACACAGACACACGCAGAGACACAGAGACACACAGAGACACACAGACACACACACACAGACACACAGACATACACAGAGACACACAGACACACACAGAGACACACAGACACACAGAGACACACAGAGACACACACACAGAGACACACAGACACACAGAGACACACATGCCCGATGCGGAGACGCAGCCATCGACTCGGACGCAGGTGCCACGTGGATTGCTACAGGGGAGAGGCATTCATCCAGCAGTGGAGTTAGCATGTCTGATGATGGCTATGGTGAATCCATGCTTAAAGAACACATAGAGTTATGAACTTGCTGCTTTTTTGTGCGTAGTGTTATCCATGATTATTAAAGCAAAATACTCGTGTATGAACCTCGCAGTCAAGTAGCATTAGCGAGCACTTGATACAGCAAGAATCGTGCACATGGCTTCTTTGTTGACTTGTACAAATACCTACTGACGTGTACGCGAAAGAAGTTCAACGTACATACATAGACTCACACAGAGACCCATAGACTCACACAGAGACCCATAGACTCACGCAGAGACCCATAGACTCACACAGAGACCCATAGACTCACACAGAGACCCATAGACTCACACAGAGACCCATAGACTCACACAGAGACCCATAGACTCACACAGAGAACCATAGACTCACACAGAGCCCATAGACTCACACAGAGACCCATAGACTCACACAGAGAACCATAGACTCACACAGAGACCTATAGACTCACACAGAGACCCATAGACTCACACACAGACCCATAGACTCACACACAGACCCATAGACTCACACACAGACCCGTAGACTCACACAGAGACCCATAGACTCACACACAGACCCATAGACTCACACACAGACCCATAGACTCACACAGAGACCCATAGACTCACACAGAGAACCATAGACTCACACAGAGACCCATAGACTCACACAGAGACCCATAGACTCACACACAGACCCATAGACTCACACACAGACCCATAGACTCACACACAGACCCATAGACTCACACACAGACCCATAGACTCACACACAGACCCATAGACTCACACAGAGACCCATAGACTCACACACAGACCCATATACTCACACACCGACCCATAGACTCACGCAGAGACCCATATACTCACACACAGACCCATAGACTCACACAGAGACCCATAGACTCACACAGATACCCATATACTCACACACAGACCCATATACTCACACAGACCCATAGACTCACACAGAGACCCATATACTCACACACAGAACCATATACTCACACACAGACCCATATACTCACACACAGACCCATATACTCACACACAGACCCATAGACTCACACAGAGACCCATAGACTCACACACAGACCCATAGACTCACACACAGACCCATATACTCACACACAGACCCATAGACTCACACACAGACCCATAGACTCACACAGAGACCATATACTCACACACAGACACATAGTTTGTTATCCTTCCCCGCACTTCCGATTCACACGGTTGGCTACGTACGGTGCGACTGAAGTCCGACGTACGTAGGCACACATCATTCGAGGTGAATCGTTAGAACACGGCGCTAGTTGGTCGCAGTTTTACGCCAATTGCCAGGCGCTAGAGCCATGAATGTGAAATGTGAATCAAGAGAATTAAACCCTCGAGTGGATGACTTACGATTGCGAGAACCAGATGCTTGCACGACCAAATAACTGATGGTGTGAAGCTAAAAACATATCAATGTGGGGATGTAAACGCCCCATCAATTTGGTATTTGAATTCAGATTCGGTATTTTATATGGACTTTGTAATCAATACCTAGATATTTGAATTCAGACTCGGTCTAGTATATGGACTTTGTAATCAATACCTAGATATTTGAATTCAGACTCGGTCTAGTATATGGACTTTGTAATCAATAACTGGACATTTGAATTCAGACTCGGTCTAGTATATGGACTTTGTAATCAATACCTGGACATTTGAAGTCAGACTCGGTCTAGTATATGGACTTTGTAATCAATACCTGGACATTTGAAGTCAGACGCGGACTAGCATGGACTTAGATGTATGATAAACTGTGGACAACACGACTCACACTCGACGTGAGACGTTTATTGTTACGGCTTCTCACCGCTAAATGCTGCCATGCTGTAAACATGGGCGGCAGGCCGAACACGTCGTGTTTTGTTTACGCGTTGGTTTTATTTTTTTTCCCGTAAGTCGAGGATTTTGAAACCGAGCGGCTATCAAGCAAGTTGCTGACCACCCCACCGAGTCCCCATTGCTAATCCGCGCTCTCATCAGCGCGCCTTCCGGTGTTGCTCAGTGTGCTGCCCGCCCGGCGTCACGAACCCACGCCTTGCAGGACAGCGACAGACGCATTTAGAAGCAGAACCGCAGTGACCGTAATTCAAGCGACTCACTTGTTCACACCCTTGTAGCCGCCGCCTCCACGCGTCGACAACCGAGCCGCGGATCGCTGTCACGGCAGCTTGACGCGGGCAGCAGCAGCAGCTGCAGCAGGCTGGCCTGCCTGCCTGCTGCTGCTGCTGCTGCACTTTGTCAGCAGAGCGCAGGCAGCTGCATGAGTCGCAGTCGTCGTACCGTGCTGGTTGCGACGGCCGGCGTTTACGAAACCGCGCTGACGGGTGTGGTGAAGTATGGCGAAACGACGGCCACGGCGTGAAAAGGCTGCAACAAAGACAAAGATCTCCAGGATAGCCTGCAACAGGCTGTTGGGGCAAGTGCTGTTAGCGAGCACCTATGAAGGCCGGCACGGCATACGAGGGGGTGTGTGGCTAGCACCACGCCCGACCGCCTTTGTCTCCCCCAGCGGCGATGTTTACACACCGCACTCGTTTGAGGCTGAGTCGACCTCGGGGACGTCCAGGACCGGTTTAGATAATCGTCACTGTTGTTGGTGGCTGGGAGCGGAAATCAAACCCGGGTCCTCGGGTTCGTAGCGCAGCATAGCGCGACCACTGCACCACCGCTCCACGCACACGTCCACAAATACCGTGCAGGTGAGTGGTGCAGGTGAGTGGTGCAGGTGAGTGGTGCAAATATAGACAATTACAGCGCACTACGTGGACTGATAACCGCGCATTTGTCGAGAGTGAAAACTGACTTATGACAAAGTCCTTTTTGTGTTCGTGTTCTTCCCCCCGCACCTCCCATTAGCGCGCTTGTCTACGTACGGTGCGAAAGAAGTTCAACACACGCACACACATGTTGGGCAAGCGGGTGAAGCAAATATTAGAGGCGCGTGCCGGTACACACGTACACGCAAATTAATAAGGATAACAAATATAGAACTGTGTTGCCAGTGGGGTACAAATAGGCAAATATGAAATACTCACTACCTACACTACCTGTAGAGAATTGCAAAGCAATCGTTGGCGCCGCCTCTCCGCCTGGCAGACTTCCAGCATTGGTTTGCGGTTCTTACTCAGGGATTGTGATCTGCAGTTTGCATGAACTAATGCAATTTTACATCAACAATTTGATCACATTACGTATTTAAAAAAAAAATCTCACTTCGCTTCATGGTTAACACTGCCTTTCTACCATAAATACAGAACGCTGCAATAGGCTGCCGTTTCGAGTGACAACCCTTTCCCGTGGTGACTCTGCACGGTAACTATAAATGTGTTCAGCCGCAGGAAGGCAGTGTGCTCTGTCATTGGCGGTGGTGCTGGGTGACCAACTGGGGACAGAGTTGGCAGTGGCGGCCCCGCTGTGCCATGCTCGTGAACACACAGACGGCGTCGTTTGTTGCACCCACCCTGTCGTGCGTAACAAACCCAGAACTGTTGAGCCTCGCGTGTCATTTCTTCCACAAACCGGCCCAATGATCCACACACACACAACCGACCGCGCCGCGCTCTCTCGTTACAACAACCCCGGACTTGGACGGCACGACACCCAGCCAGCCCAACACGCACAGCGGGGCCGACGCCCTGGCGACACATTCAACACGGCACGGCGATCCCATTGGCGAGGTGCTGTCACCCGCTCTCTGCATGCTGGGGGGCGGCAGGGCCGATGGGGTGGGTTAAACAATAAAAATGTGTGCGAGGTGTGTGGCTGGGCTTGCCAGGCAAGGAGGAGGAGGAGGCCAGCGACTGGCGTGGCGGGGTGGTGGATCACGCAGTGAAGGAACCCGCGGGACTTCTCATACGCATCCACGTGGTTAACCGGGTTTTAATAAGAAGCTTTACACTAAACAATTGTTTTTATTTTACGGGGTAAGGCCCACTGGGCTATACAGTATAGCTCTGTTCCAGAGGCGACCTGGCCACAAATGATAGCTCAATGAAGTGGCTGATCGTGTGGAAATGTAGAGCGACCAAATCGCTCTAAACGCACGTTTGTAATTGTAGATGGGGGGGGGGGGGAAGAGAAACACAAACTCCAAATATACAGCAGGCGTCAGAGTTGGGATCGAACCCGCGACCTCCTGCATACCAGGCGACGTGGTTAACATCTCGTCACGCTCACGGCCAACATCAGTGATGATGATCTGTCTTAAGTGCCTGGTGCGGTGTGTAAACATCACGACTGGGGAGACAAAGGCGGCCGGGCGTGGTGCTGGCAACCTACCCCCTCGTGGGCCGTGCGGGCTTTCACAGGTGCTACTCGCTAACAGCACTTGCCCCAACAGTCTGTTAAGGCTGCACGGGAAATCTTTACCTTTGCCTGTGGACATCAGGTGGCTTCATCTGTGCGGCGATTTGACGTCGGCTGAATTCCAATCAAATTCGGCTGATGGACCTTCCCCTCCTCCATCCACTTCACGCGCGTCTATACACTGCACACACATTCTGTATACACATATACACACATTCCTGTGTGTATATACACACAGGAATGTATATAATATATACATACACATTCGTGTGTATGTGTACATTAATATTCGCAAAATACATTGGTCAAACATTGGGATAGACGTCACAATGAGCATAAGTGTGGCCCCTCCCCCAAAAGGCAAACAGAATAAATCCGCAGCTCCTTGCCCCCCGCGGCCCGATGTAAGCGGGCGGTGATTCAGTTTGTTGAACGGACTGGGAATGTACCGGTTGGGGGCCGTCCATAAATGACGTCACGCGATTTTGGACGGTTTTTGACCCCCCCCCCCTCTCGTCACACGGCGTCACAAAAAGTCAGACCCCCCTCATATATGACGTCACAAAGCTCTGCCCCCCCCCCTCCCAAAAAAATAAAACATGCTTCAAATCGCTTTAAACTATTGTCATTGTAGTGCGTATTTAACGTGGCACTGCACTCTGATGTAGAAGAGAACATTTATTAAAAAGTATTTAATTAAGTAGAACGTGTTGTCAACCCCCCCCCCCCCCCCCCTCGTCACACATCGTCACAAATGTCTGATCCCCCCCTAAGTGCGTGACGTCATTTATGGACGTCTCCTTGCCCCCCCGGGGCCCGATGTAAGAGGGCGGTGATTAAGTTTGTTGAACAGCCTGGGAATGTAGCGGTTGGGTGAGAGCATCACTCAGAGCGCACCGCGCAACTCCTCAAGAAGAAGAAGAAGCAGAATCCCTCGGAAGCCGAGCCCCAGGTGAGTGTGGGCAGTGTTCCAGGTGAGTGTGGGCAGTGCCCCAGGTGAGTGAGGGCAGTGCCCCAGGTGAGTGAGGGCAGTGCCCCAGGTGAGTGTGGGCAGTGTCCCAGGTGGGTGTGGGCAGTGCCCCAGGTGAGTGTGGGCAGTGCCCCAGGTGGGTGTGGGCAGTGCCCCAGGTGAGTGTGGGCAGTGTCCCAGGTGAGTGTGGGCAGTGCCCCAGGTGAGTGTGGGCAGTGCCCCAGGTGAGTGTGGGCAGTGCCCCAGGTGGGTGTGGGCAGTGTCCCAGGTGAGTGAGGGCAGTGCCCCAGGTGGGTGTGGGCAGTGCCCCAGGTGAGTGTGGGCAGTGTCCCAGGTGAGTGTGGGCAGTGCCCCAGGTGAGTGTGGGCAGTGTCCCAGGTGGGTGTGGGCAGTGCCCCAGGTGGGTGTGGGCAGTGCCCCCAGGTGGGTGTGGGCAGTGTCCCAGGTGAGTGAGGGCAGTGCCTACAGGTGAGTGAGGGCAGTGCCCCAGGTGAGTGTGGGCAGTGCCCCAGGTGAGTGAGGGCAGTGCCCCAGGTGAGTGAGGGCAGTGTCCCAGGTGGGTGTGGGCAGTGTCCCAGGTGGGTGTGGGCAGTGTCCCAGGTGAGTGAGGGCAGTGTCCCAGGTGAGTGAGGGCAGTGCCCCAGGTGAGTGAGGGCAGTGTCCCAGGTGGGTGTGGGCAGTGTCCCAGGTGGGTGTGGGCAGTGCCCCAGGTGAGTGAGGGCAGTGTCCCAGGTGAGTGAGGGCAGTGTCCCAGGTGAGTGTGGGCAGTGTCCCAGGTGAGTGTGGGCAGTGTTCCAGGTGAGTGTGGGCAGTGCCCCAGGTGAGTGTGGGCAGTGCCCCAGGTGGGTGTGGGCAGTGTCCCAGGTGGGTGTGGGCAGTGTTCCAGGTGAGTGTGGGCAGTGCCCCAGGTGAGTGAGGGCAGTGCCCCAGGTGAGTGAGGGCAGTGCCCCAGGTGAGTGTGGGCAGTGTCCCAGGTGGGTGTGGGCAGTGCCCCAGGTGAGTGTGGGCAGTGCCCCAGGTGGGTGTGGGCAGTGCCCCAGGTGAGTGTGGGCAGTGTCCCAGGTGAGTGTGGGCAGTGCCCCAGGTGAGTGTGGGCAGTGCCCCAGGTGAGTGTGGGCAGTGCCCCAGGTGGGTGTGGGCAGTGTCCCAGGTGAGTGAGGGCAGTGCCCCAGGTGGGTGTGGGCAGTGCCCCAGGTGAGTGTGGGCAGTGTCCCAGGTGAGTGTGGGCAGTGCCCCAGGTGAGTGTGGGCAGTGTCCCAGGTGGGTGTGGGCAGTGCCCCAGGTGGGTGTGGGCAGTGCCCCCAGGTGGGTGTGGGCAGTGTCCCAGATGAGTGAGGGCAGTGCCTACAGGTGAGTGAGGGCAGTGCCCCAGGTGAGTGTGGGCAGTGCCCCAGGTGAGTGAGGGCAGTGCCCCAGGTGAGTGAGGGCAGTGTCCCAGGTGGGTGTGGGCAGTGTCCCAGGTGGGTGTGGGCAGTGTCCCAGGTGAGTGAGGGCAGTGTCCCAGGTGAGTGAGGGCAGTGCCCCAGGTGAGTGAGGGCAGTGTCCCAGGTGGGTGTGGGCAGTGTCCCAGGTGGGTGTGGGCAGTGCCCCAGGTGAGTGAGGGCAGTGTCCCAGGTGAGTGAGGGCAGTGTCCCAGGTGAGTGTGGGCAGTGCCCCAGGTGAGTGTGGGCAGTGTCCCAGGTGGGTGTGGGCAGTGTCCCAGGTGAGTGAGGGCAGTGTCCCAGGTGAGTGAGGGCAGTGCCCCAGGTGGGTGTGGGCAATACCCCAGGTGGGTGTGGGCAGTGCCCCAGGTGAGTGTGGGCAGTGCCCCAGGTGAGTGTGGGTAGTGTCCCAGGTGGGTGTGGGCAGTGCCCCAGGTGAGTTAGGGCAGTGCCCCAGGTGAGTGTGGGCAGTGCCCCAGGTGAGTGAGGGCAGTGCCCCAGGTGAGTGAGGGCAGTGTCCCAGGTGGGTGTGGGCAGTGTCCCAGGTGGGTGTGGGCAGTGCCCCAGGTGAGTGAGGGCAGTGTCCCAGGTGAGTGAGGGCAGTGTCCCAGGTGAGTGTGGGCAGTGCCCCAGGTGAGTGTGGGCAGTGTCCCAGGTGGGTGTGGGCAGTGTCCCAGGTGAGTGAGGGCAGTGTCCCAGGTGAGTGAGGGCAGTGCCCCAGGTGGGTGTGGGCAATACCCCAGGTGGGTGTGGGCAGTGCCCCAGGTGAGTGTGGGCAGTGCCCCAGGTGAGTGTGGGTAGTGTCCCAGGTGGGTGTGGGCAGTGCCCCAGGTGAGTTAGGGCAGTGCCCCAGGTGAGTGTGGGCAGTGCCCCAGGTGAGTGAGGGCAGTGCCCCAGGTGAGTGAGGGCAGTGCCCCAGGTGAGTGTGGGCAGTGCCCCAGGTGAGTGAGGGCAGTGCCCCAGGTGAGTGAGGGCAGTGCCCCAGGTGAGTGTGGGCAGTGCCCCAGGTGAGTGTGGGCAGTGCCCCAGGTGAGTGAGGGCAGTGCCCCAGGTGAGTGTGGGCAGTGTCCCACAAGTGGACGGGCGACCGTCACGCATCCCGCATGCGTCGGGAGGGAGAGGCAATGCGGAGATGCAAAGGTAATAATACCACACGCAGTTAAAGTAGCTCATCACATGAAGTCACTTTAAGCGAATCAAATACTACACAAAGCCAGTGAATTATTGCCAAAAGAGAGAATAGCACTCAGATGTAAATGTTGTGGATTTGCTCTCCAACACACCTGTGTGTTGTACTAGTGACGAATTGGCACGTTCTGTTTACGTGAGACTAAACCTTGCTGATTGGCTGTGTCGGGTGGTGGAGGGTGTAACGACACAACGGGTGTATATATTGACGCGATCTGACACCAAAAAAAACTGAATTGTGGCTCTCATTCTGGGAATGGAATCGAAACCGTGATTGGAGCGACATGCTGTGAATCGGAATCGAGGGTGTAAGTGCTGCCGCTGGAACAGCTGAGGCCGCCCTTCAACTTAGCGCGGGAAACTCCACGGCGCGCTGCTGCGCTCCTCCAACTCCGCGTTATGGCAACAGCGGCGGCGGCGGCGGCGGCGATGTCATCCGCGGCGTCGGAGCGCTGCTACCGAGAGGCGGCGGTCTTCGGGCGCGGACGGGAGGCCACGGCGGGGCCCGAGATCCTCGTGGAGCTGGGTAGGCCGCGCCGCCGTACGGGCCCTAGCCGCTTGCCTCGTTGACTCCTGTCCCGGCCGCGCCGCTAGCCGAGACGTGGGTGTCTCCAAACTGCGGGTTGTGATTTCAAGGCGTTATTTGAATTAAAAACGTGGCACATGTTGCGTTTGTTTTCAACCAAAGCGTGACATATTTTACCAGAACTCTGATAATTGACTGGCCTTGTGTCTGATTAAGGGGGTGGTGGTGGTGGAGCACCCGCTACTGCTCAGTGAGCCAGAGTTCCATTCCCACATGCAGCTACCGTCCCATTTCACGGCCGAAAGTTGTAGCGATGCCTTCATCCAGCAGTGGATAACGGGGTACACATTACAAAGTTGCATTGAGCTGTTTATCAAGTGCGACTTTACACACACACACGTGTGTGTATACAGTATATTTCGTTACACGTGTTGTGCACACTTCACAAATCTACACTTGCAGTCTGGGAACTGACTCGTTCGACTTAACAGCAGGGTCTTCCCAGTTGTCAAATCCACTGCTGGATGAAAGCATTGCCGCGTTGCGTGAGGCCGTGGTAGCGCGAGCGAACGTGAACACGCTGACGGGAGAGACCCACGATCGCGTCACGTGTCGCTGTTCGCAGTGGCCGGGAATCAAACTCAGGTGGCCGGGTTCACAGCGCAGTGCGTGATGCAGCAGCACTCCTCAAGTAGGCGATAGTGCAAGTCTCAGTCCGTCTCGCCAGGGTTTCTTTAACCACTCCGTCGTCGCCGTGCTCTGTAAGACGAGCACTGACACAAATTTCGATTTAAAGCTTTCGTGACTGCAATGATTCATCTTCTTTGGTTCTTTCGGTAAAGTCACGTAGAATGAGAATAAAATAATAAATTGATAAAATAAAATAACACAATAATATTCTCACGACGTTTCGGCCACAACACAACGAGACTGTCTGGTAGGACAGCGCTGTCCTACCAGACAGTCTCGCCCCCTTCACCTGATGAAGGCCGCTTGTGTTGTGGCCGAAACGTCGTGAGAATATTATTGTGTTATTTTATTTTATCAATTTATTATTTTATTCTCATTCTACGTGACTTTACCGAAAGAACCAAAGAAGAGCACTGACACAGTTAAACCGGACCACTTGGGTTCAACAGAGATTGTCCTGTCGATGGAACGTGGAACTTCAACAACTAATTGAAGAGCGCCAGTTGAGATGAGACAATCCCCGATGCGCACACAAGCATGGTGACGCCATAATTTAGAAGCGACGTGCACGATTTTCACGCGTTTTATTTAAAATATCACATTTCAAGCGGAAAATGTCATCTCAAGTTGGACCTAAATACAAGTGATGAAGCTCAATGGAGCCTTGCAATGCATGTTTGTGTGTTTTTTTATAACACAATCTCAATCGGTCGCCGCATTGATGGAAACCTGAACGCGTGCAGTTCAGGCGGATGCTTTCAGCTTTGTCCCATATTTCATGAAAACGTAAATCACGATTCGGAAATTTAGGTTGCTCAATAATGCCTAACAACGTGGGGATTATCTGCTTGTTTTTCACGCGTGCGTGCGTGGTTTCTGCGTGTCAATGCAGGCTTGCCATCTCTCCCCGGAGGGGCAGGGTATCAGGATTGGGCAGGCGGCTTCTGCTACGAGGAGAGCGCCAAACTTCAATCCTCGACGAGAAACCGCTTTATACACTGGTGTGTACCCCTGCTATATGAAGCATAATTGTTACCGAATTTAATGACATAAAATAAAGAAAACTCCGGTTCTTTCTAAAACAATGGAAATTTCATGGAATTTTAATTCGGCAGCCTCTTTGTCTTGTCATACCCTTAACATGTCTGACCTGAGCCTCATGACCCTTTATGTACTTTCATTTTATATCACGTCACTCATGCCACAACGCTGCACATTAATTATATTCATGGACCAAATCCCATATAGAGCCACTACCAAGCTAATGAAGCCCCTACTACCAAGCAAAATAAAATATGAATGAACAAATGTAAGAAATGGCACCGAAACAAAAAGTACAAACAACAAGACAGTTATCGCAAGAAAGAAAGGAGTCCATTAGGTCGACTACACATCCCAGGCCACAAACGCAACTTCCCAAACCAAGCCAGGAAACCTTCACAGGAGGGGCGGTGGTGGAGTGCCAATAAACAATCTCCCGCATTCCCCACCACCCCTGCCCACTTTCGGGAACCTCTCACCAGGTGGGTCAGCAAGGACGTGCTGCACCTGCAGGAGCACTGGCTCGACGGACGCCTCTCCGGGAGCTTCCTGCGCATCCGCTTTGGCGGCGGCCCCGGGTCCGGGCCGGTCCCCGGTGGGGTTCACGTGCACGAGAACCCACAGGGGCACCTGGCGCTGCTGGTGCTGGCGCCGAGCAGCGCCCATCGCCTGCTGCTCGCTCACCCCGATGCTGCGCTCACGCCTGTGAGCGACTCCTCGCGCTCTGATTTCTTTTCTCGGGTTGAGTGAGTGGCCCCTTGGTTTACGGTGGGAGACGTTCGGGGTGGAAACGGAGACAGATTTTTTTTTTGTTTGGGTAAAGTCAGAAAGATTATGTCAAGGAAAGGTGTTTTGTGCCTGGCTATTCCTATTGTCAGTCCTTGATTTAAAGCAAGTGTATGTATGTATGTATGCTGAACTTCTTTCGTATACTCTTTCGTTCTTTCGGTAAAGTCACGTAGGTAGAAAAATAAAATAAAAAACAATATATCACGACGTTTCGATCGCATAACAAGCGGTCGTCCTCAGGCGGAAAAAAATAATCCAGCAGTGGAACTGCTGAACCAGGAAGAAACACAGCGAGAGAGCTGTTACAAAAACAAGAGGTTATATATGTGGCGATGGGCAAGCAGGCGGGGTCTGAGCTGGAAAGGAATTCCATCCCCGCACGCAAGCACCTCGGTTGTGTTAATGGGGGAGATTAGGGAGAGAGATTGGGGAGAGAGATTAGATTATTTTGCATCTTACATAGCCTGCTGTGGTCATCGGAGGTACGGGCTTATTAAAAGTAAAGGGCCTAATTTTGTTTAAGGAGACCTTACAGAATACGAGGAAAAATACTCAACACAGAAGGAAACCAACGTGAAAAGAATGCTGAAATAAAATTGGTGACATTTTACACGCAATGTAAAATGAGGTATAATTCAAGAGCACCTATGATCATGCTGACTATCACGCTGACCGAACAGTAAATCCAGTCGTCCATTAAAACAATCGGGTTATTTCAAAATACGCATTGTTCCTATTCTGATGAATGAAGCATTTGTTCAGAATAAGTCTCCTTGTGCAAACAAAACTTTTCACTAAACACGACCGTTGATCTTCCAACCCTGGTAACCAGGAATTCTCGTCCCAGGAGTTCTCGTCCGACCGTCACGCCCGCTCGGTGCTGTCGGACATAGGGCGGTATTCACTGACGACACCTGACAGCTGCTTCGTGTTTGGGGGCCCCACTGGGGTGGCACCGCGTGGAGCTGGCGCCGGAAGCTGCGCGTGGGTGAACTGGCGCGACGAAGCCCAGTTTGCCTTCGCCTCGCCGAGCGGTGGCATCGTGGTGGTGACGCTGCCACCTCCCAACGTGCCGGGTGAGGGGCGTGCCTGCAGCACTCTCGTATCCCTGCCTGCACGCTCACTTGCATACGCCCGTCTCTGTGCAGGAACCGAATCACCCGGAATGTGCTCAATATTGTCAGATCTGGGAAGCTAAGCAGGTTTTGACCCGCCTAGTGCTTGAATGGACAATCATCGTCCTTACCAGGTTGTCATAGACGGCAGCGGGGTTGTGCTACGTGTTTGACAGCGGCATGCGGTGCAGCAAAGTCCTTTTTTGAACACTGCTCCAAATGTCTGTAAACTCCACCTTTACTGACCAGCGCTGGCCAGCATCGTGAAGTATGGTCAGAAATCCTCCATGACCCGCAAGGCATGGGGAGGCCCTCATCCCGCAGTGGATTGACAAAAGGGCTTTATATGTGGTGCATACAATTCAATATTTTGTACACGTCCAAGTACAGTGAGTGCTGAGACATTCTTTGTGTGTGAGGCTGGGTCATGTGTTGTCGACCACCTCACCCTTAATTTGTCCAGTGCCATTCCTACTAAGTGTGTGTCTTTGCATGTGTCTGTGTGTATCGTGGGTGCACGTGTTACAGGTGTGGGTACCTCCATTGAGTTGAAGCAGAGCTCCATGGTGCAGAGGCTGACCGGTTGGGTGCCTTCAGTCATGTGCGTACACCTAAACTCACATGCTCAGCTGTGTGCTATTGCGTGAACACCCGCAATCAAATATGCTTTCACAGTTGTGCATCCACACTCGCAGACAATACCAGGTTCCTCGTGCATCAACGCACGTGTACATGTTGTGTATCCGTGCAGTGGCCTCGTATTGGTTGGCACCGTGTACGGCAATCTTGGTGTTACTGTAGTTCATCTCGTGACCTTAATGCACTTGACGAATGGGAAATGGAATCTCGAGTCTAACCTTGGCATTGGTTAAGTTGATTGTATCTTAAATAAACACCGGGAGCTGTGTGGTCACGTGCATTATCAATGGTGGCCAGACGTGCATTGTGTTAGCTGCACTACCTTCCGATATGCTACGCTATCTTCAATTGGCTGGTTTATTAAGACAAAAGCGGCCAAGTTTATGGCGCTGCCTCCACCATTGCCCCCCTCAAGTGCGTACTGTGCCGCACTAAAAGCGTTGTGGGGATTGGTCGTGTGGTGATTTATGTGCCCGGCATGAATCCCAACAGCGTGGATTTGATTCTTGTTCGCGATGAACGACACCGTTTGCACTTGGTATCGGAACCTGGCCTGGGACTACTTAATGTAGACTCGGCTTTAAATGGGTAACTAAAGGTGGTGTGGTTCGTCTTTGTTCCGACAGACGTGGTGACCAGACCCCGGCACACATGCCCGTGTCTATGGCGGCTCACGTCTGGAACGAGGACGTGTCCCTCTTTGCTCTCTGTCAAGACAACAAACTGCGTGTTTGGTCTATCAAGGTGTGTGTGTGTCTCCGTCGTGATATCACTGTCACTTCGTGGCGAATGGCGGGTATCGGTGTTGGTCTCAGTGGTAGTGAGCGATTAGCACGCTGCGCTACGAACCCGGCGACTCGAGTTCGATTCCAGCTTACAGCCACCAACGCCAGTAACGATTATTTGAACCCCGTTCTTGGCCTCCTCTAGGTCGACTCGCCCTCATGAGTACTTGGTGCGATGTGTAAACATTGCCATTGGGGAGACAAAGGAGGCCGAGCGTGGTGCTGGCCACCCACCCCCTCGTTTGCCGTGCCGACCTTCATAAGTGCTCGCGAACAGCACTTTCTCTTGTGCTCTTCACAAGTCCGTCTCTCTGTCTGTTTCCTTCTCTGTTAGTAGAACCAGTTGTTAGCGTATTGCAAATGTTGCGTGCCTGTCTCTGTTTTGCGTCGCAAGTGTTTAATTAAGCGTTGCTTGAAACTGTCAAAAGAGTAACTGGCAATAATTTTATTTCTAGGTTTCTTTTAAAAGGGTGTAAGTGGGTGGTCTGTGCCTCCACGCGTCTCCGTGCGACTGGGCGGGCGTCTTGGGTCTGTGCCTCCACGCGTCTCCGTGCGACTGGGCGGGCGTCTTGGGTCTGTGCCTCGACGCGTCTCCGTGCGACTGGGCGGGCGTCTTAGGCCTGTGCCTCGACGCGTCTCCGTGTGACTGGGCGGACGTCTTAGGTCTGTGCCTCGACGCGTCTCCGTGTGACTGGGCGGACGTCTTAGGTCTGTGCCTCGACGCGTCTCCGTGTGACTGGGCGGGCGTCTTAGGTCTGTGCCTCCACGCGTCTCCGTGTGACTGGGCGGGCGTCTTGGGTCTGTGCCTCGACGCGTCTCCGTGCGACTGGGCGGGCGTCTTAGGTCTGTGGCTCCACGCGTCTCCGTGCGACTGGGTGGGCGTCTTAGGTCTGTGGCTCCACGCGTCTCCGTGCGACTGGGCGGACGTCTTAGGTCTGTGCCTCGACGCGTCTCCGTGTGACTGGGCGGGCGTCTTGGGTCTGTGCCTCGACGCGTCTCCGTGCGACTGGGCGGGCGTCTTAGGTCTGTGCCTCGACGCGTCTCCGTGCGACTGGGCGGGCGTCTTGGGTCTGTGCCTCGACGCGTCTCCGTGTGCCAACAGGACCAGGTGTGCCAGCTGGAGTGCAATCTGAGTGAGCTGGTGCCACGAGTCCCCGACGTGCGCCACTCTCCGGGGCCGCGCCACCTGCTGCGCCTGTGCCACAGCAGCACAGCCGGGCTGCAGCTTGCCGCTCACCTGTGCTGGGACAGTCACAGCCAGGCACGGCTCCCCTGCCCCATCTGCCAGCTTCACTTGTGCACGTTGCCGGCTCTCGATGAATCGGAATCCGAATCTTTATTTATCCTGGAGAAATCCGATGAGCCTGTGAAGCTCTTTTTTTTTTCTCGCAGATGTCCAGTCTGGGCGGTTCAAAAAGTTACAACAACAAATCATGCAAAAAATTATAGGAATACAAAGTATAGGGAAGGTAAGCAAATCACTAAGAATAAATACATGAAATAGATAAAGTATGTAAGTTCAAATTGCATAATTACACCAATTCCCAAGCTTGGGCAAGGCAGTAATACAACAGCAAAAGGAGTCCCAGACCACACCAAGACAACGACACACACTCCCTCAATACAATTGCACATTTAAAGTGAACTATTTAAAGTAATTTTTGTATGAATGATTCGTGCGTGTACCAGCGGATTTATTTTCAATTCACGTATGGTGTATGTAAATTTGTTCATGTGACTCGGGCATTAGAGGGTACTACATTGCGCCACAATGTATTTTTTTGACTGATATCAATTGCCTATGCAGGTAGTACAATTTACATTTCTGTAACTGTCTTGTCAACACAGTTGGTACCGGTAGCACACGCACACACACCTATCCGTAACATTCGGCACCTTTTGCCCCCCATGCCCAGTTCTGCGTGCTGCGGATGACGGAGGACCGTGCCCACCTCAAGTGCCTCGCCACCCTGCTGGGCAATCAGGTGAGAGAGAGGAGGTGCGACGGGGTGTGTGCGCGTCGCACGTGCGCATGCGTAACGTCGTGTACGTCGTTTTAATTGTATTGCAAAATAAATGTGTTCCTGAATATGTGCTTGTTCTCTTTTCAGTGCATGCATGTTGTGATTATTCGAGTCTGCCAGGGATAAGGGCTAGATTTTTTAACCTGCGCCGCCAATATTTTACCTCTCTGTGGCCTAGAGGCTGACCTGTGAATCCTTCACCTTGGTTGAGCAGGGATATAAGCACAATTATGGATGTCACATTGTAACACTTCCCCCCGCCCATCGTTACAGCAATTCGATGTGATGTTGTGATTAGGTGTCTTGATGTTATACCATGCTTTGCCAAGAGAACGTGGTACAGCAAAATGAAGACTCATCTCCATCTGTTCCATCTTTTCCATCTGTATGGCATTGAATGTTCCTCTCTAGCATGTGCGAGTCTTTTTCCAGGTGCTCTGATGTCCACTGACGTGTATAAACTCATAACAGGTTTCCCTCTCTTCAATCCGGTTCGATTTGTGCGATTCCCCGTATTTGCGGTTAACCTATATCTACCCAAAATGTACTCTATGCGGTTTGAATTCACTCGTACGCGGCTTTGCTGTCGGACGTGGGACAACATCGCATGCGTCTCGTGGTGTTTCGCTTTGTGCTCCCTTTCTTTTTGGAACGCATCTTCTACCGCATAAAGCCAGTGGAACCTGTAATTAATATATAGAGGACCGCAAAGCTCGGATAATTGTTGAGACCGGATCACCGCCTGGCTGCCTTCCCCGCTTGTGTGTGGCTCCTTACACTCTTTCTTGGATGGTGTGTATACTGTGTGCGTTGCAAGTTGAAATTATTATTAAATACATTTTTATGTCGTCCGATTTAAATGTCACTATCTTCGCAAAGAGACACAGGCACCAGCGTGTGTCTTGCGAATGATAGTGTAAACTTTTTCGTGATGCTGTCAAGTAGGGTATTGTTTCTCTGGTACCTTTGTCGACGCTCTACAAATATAATATGCACAATAGTATCTCAAATGTCATTTGAGAATCTGCATGGCTTAGTTATCGGCAGATGGTATGGGGTTCACGGTCTGAAAGCTACACCCGACGTAACGACTATATTTGTGGTCGGCCATCATGAGCCTGAGGCCTATTTTGTTGTTGCTCAACAGCCAGTGGTGCCGAGTGACAGGCCTCGTGCGTGACACCGTCAACATCGCTTTAGAAAGTCATCTTTGTGTCGGGGCTGGCAGTGTAAAGTTATGGAGACCAGACTCGTTCGTCACTGCTGGTGTGCACGTGTGCCTGTGCACGTGTGTGTGCGTGTGCGAACGTGGGGTGCCAGGAATCCCTTAGGGATTTCGCCATCACCCCCACGGAGCTGTGGGCGCTGTGGATCTCGGAGGAAGGGGATGCGCACGCGTCGTGCACAGGATTTCTCCCGTGAGACATTTTCGCTCGCACAAGCACCCGTATTGTTCGTGCGCGCAACGCAATGTATGTTTTCGAGAATCTTAACGATGCTTAGAATTAGACAACGTACGCAGGTTGAAATACATCAATTAATTTGATTGCTCAGTATGTACGTATGTTGAACTTCTTTCGCACCGTACGTAGCCAACCGTGCTAATCGGTGGTGTGGGGGAAGTACAACAAACGAAACACAAAAAGCAGTTTAGAGAAATTAGTTTGTCAATCTAGATGATTTAAAAGTGCATTGATCCAGTGGCTTCTTAATATCGGACGGAAGAGCGTTCCAGACGGCCACAGAAGCGCATATGAAAGCCCGCGATGCACACAGTGCTTGCCGCAAATGAACCACAGTACCTTGCAGATAAACCCTCACGCAAACTCCGGTCATCCTCGCAACGGCTTTTGGCTAACCGTGGAACAAAGACGGTCACCGCATCCCTATGGTTGCGTGAATTTTTCTCCGGGTCCTCTGGTTCTTCTCTCCACATTTAGAATCGACGTGCGTGAAGAGTATTTGCCTGCTATCAATTTCCACGTGATAGGCTACTTTGTTGAGCTATCATTTGTGGCAAGGTGGCCTCTGCAAAAAAAAAGCCAATAGCTCAGTGGGCCTTGGTGTGGTAAAATAAAAATAGTTTCGTAAAATAGTTTATAATGGAAAGGAATTTTACATTGACGTCAATGCAGGGGCGTGTGTGGCTCACGTTGCGTGTTGCTGCAGAGGGGACAACCACACGTGCGCATGGAGCCCCGTGCTCATGCAACCGCTGCCCAGTGCCGATCTTCAGGTGTCAGCGCACCTGGACCCCAAGGTAATGTCGGTGACGAAGCACACTGGTGGCACAGAACCCAACAGGGTATGGGGACAAATGAGGCTTTCTGGTGTTGGCCATGAGATGTGCGACAATACCGGGCATCCCGGTTATTTACGTCCATGCACAGCCTCTTTGTCCATTCGCTGCTGGACCATACTTCACCCCACGCTGATCAGTGCGGGTTTGGTAAAGGTGGGGGGGGCAGAGATGTGGCAGCATAGCTAAACAGAACAAAAATGGATTTTGCTGCACTGCAAACCCTATGACAACTTGAGAGTGCAAGCTGGTCGTTGACCCATCCAAACACTGTCCAGGGTCAACCCCCGCTTAGTTCCTGCCATCTGATGAGATCCGACGCATTTGGGGCCATTAGGTCATCGATATATGATGATAGTTCAGGACAACTATGACAGACTGGATGGGACGGGTTAGACACAAGGCGCAGGGAGCACACGGCCTTTCCATATGAGATGCAGGACATTTGGTGTTTAAGGTATTGGAGGCACGGAGAATTGTGGGTACACAGTACACAGGGCGTGTAATATGCCAATGTGTAGACCACGTATGGGATATACAGACTTTGATTACGGGGGTACACAGGGCATTGTGGAACGGGCGTACACGCATTTATCGAAACACAAGGCAATTGAGCACGGTGTGCGCACAGGGTCTTAAGATATATGTGGATAATGGAACATGATGCTAGATGTGCAAGTGAAACCACTAAATCCTAACAAATGTCGCTGCATGCATTCAAATGAACCCTCTCTCATCTGTTCCTTTCTGCGTGCATTCAGGAGGTGTTTCTCCGTTACATATTCCACCCAGGCAGGTTTTCCTTGGAGGCCATCGTGAAAGCCCTGCACGTAAGTTTTAGGGCAATTTGTTCCTCCTGTCAGCATGCTGCGTTTGCAGTTCATCTGTCACATAGTGTCAAGCTTATCTCGCTGCGTGCCCTGAGGTGAGCACCACGAGGCGTGCGTGTGTGCAACTGCAGTGGGGAGCGGTAGTGTAGCGGTTGGCGCGTTGCGCTACGAACCCAGCCGCCCGAGTTTGATACCCGCTCACAGTTAACACGGGTGACGCTCATCGCAGCCGGTCCTGAGTCTGCCCTAGGTCGATTCGGCCTCAAATGGGTACCTGGTGTGCTGTGTAAACATCTCTGCTCTAGAGGAGTTGTACACCCCTAGCTGCCACTGCTATTCAGTGGCCTAAAATATGGCTCTAGATTTTGGTGTTATAATTTATTTATGTAGTTTATTGTAAAAAATTCGGTCACAGTCCCTATGATCACTGTTACATTGCATTTATGGCTTTTATTTTGGTGATTTCGAAAAGTTTTTTTGTTTTTGGCCATGTTTTTGTTTATTGTAGCACAGAGTTAGACTTATGGCCTTAATCTTAGTTGTCTTGTGGTTGTTGTTGTTATTTGACTTGCATCCCACTGGGATTTTTGCACACAGCGTTGGTGTACGGTGCTATTTCAGGAATATTTTGATTGTTTTTTTCCTGGATTTTTTGTTTGCACAGTGACATAATCACTTTAAGATGTTTTCTTGTTCATGTTTTTTGTTTGTTGAGGTTGCACCCGATTCAAGAGCCGAATGGCTCACAGGGCTATACCAAATAAATAAACTATGAAACTATGAAACTGTCTCCACTGGGGAGACAAAGGTTGCCGGGTGTGGTACTGGCCACGCACCCCCTCGTGCGCCGTGCCGGCCTTCATAGGTGCTGCTCGCTAACAGCACTTGCCCCAACAGTCTGTTAAAGGCTATACGGGGGATCTTGACCATTGTCCTTTGTGTAACTGCCCACACAGGTGTACCGGAGAGGGGCGGACCATTCCACAGGGTCAGCAGGGCTGCAGCATCAGGTGGTGCTCGCTGTGGAGCGAGAGGTAAGATTGCTGTCCTTCCTTCCTCCCCATACGTCCGTCTCCTTTTCACGTACATACAGATATATATATATATTTTGTGCGTGTTATTGCCATTAAAAATGTTTTCCTGCTGTGGTGGCTCAGGGGTAAGAGGACCGAGCTAGCGTCACTATGTTGAACTTCTTTCGCACCGTACGTAGCCAACTGCTAATCGGATGTGTGGGGGAAGAACAAAGAACTAAACACAAAAAGCAGTTCTCGAAAAATGAGTTTTCAGTCTAGATCCCAAGTGTAGCAAGTTGGTGGTCACAGCCTGTTCAGCGTCCACCGCACTATAACAACCGACGCTATGGTAAAGTACTAAATTATTCACTCAAGAAGTTCTCACGGAGTGTGCCAGGTTACTTTTTTTTAAAGTAGGTTACTGCTTTGATATTGTTAGGTCACTCTTTTTGAGGTTTTCTTCGTGTAGACATTCCCACCAATAAGAGTGGAGAACGCGCACTCTGGACTCCGCTTGCCCTTGTGGTGCCACCTAGAGACAGCCATCGCATCCTCACAGTTGGGAGACTTCACCGTTGTCCACGAGACCTGCGCTTTTATTTGCCACCCGTGTGGACAGTCTTAACATTGAGATGATTTGAGTCTTGAGTCTTTATGTAAGCCTGTGAGGTGTCTCTCTGTGTGAGTTTATTAATCTCTGTCCAAGTCTCACTGACCAAATAACCCAGAATGTGGCACATCTTGGAAGCTTAGCAGGAATTTTGAGGCCTGCATAATGGTTGGATGGGGGAATCACCATGTACAGAGAGGTTGTCACAGGGCTGGGTGACTGCATGATGGACAGCAGAGGGCAGTCCAGCAAAATCATTGTTGATTCCCTACTCCTGCGCTCTCTTGTATATGCTCCCCACCCTCACTGATTCGCACCGACCAGCGTGGGAAAGCATGGTCAAACGCCCGGCTTTGCGAGGACCTCGTCCACCAGTGGGTGAGCAAAGTGAGCTGCACGTGTTCACTCATATGCATGCCCTGTGTGCCCTTGGTGCAGGTGAGCGGACTGGTGGCAGTAGGTGGAGGCATTGGGGCTGATGCTGAGGGTGTTTCCGAAAGCTGCTGGCGTCGTTTGCTGGCCTGCGTGTGCCAGTATCAAGACGTTTTGGCACGGCCGCTGGGCATCTTGGCCAATGCGCCTACCAGCCTGGTCTGCCTGCTCAAGCCGGTAACGCTTCATCACAGCTAGCACGCCTTCTCCTTCAGTATATGTGGCAGAGTGCTTGCTGCATGGGTGCCTTAAAGTATTAACCAGCTCTTTTTCAGAAGCCGCCTGGCCACATCATAGCTCAACGAAGTGGCTTATCACATGGAATTTTATAGCAGCCAAATACTCTAAATGCGTGATTTATTCTCCCCCCTTGCGGCCAAGGGGGGAGAACATGCCAACTCCAAATATACAGGCATTGGGGTTGGGATCAAACCCACAACCTCCTGCATACCAGGCGAGGGAGTTAACATCTCGCCACAACAGCACCTTGTGCTGATGTTGGTGGGGAGTGGTAGTGTAGCGGTTAGCACGCTGTGCTATGAACCCGGCGACCCGAGTTCGATTTCCACTCACGGCCAACACCAGCGACGAATATCTGAATCGGTCCTCCCCGTGGTCGACTCGGCCTCAAATGAGTACCTGGTGCGGTGTGTAAACATCGCCACTGGGGAGACAAAAGCGGTCGGGCGTGGTGCTGGCCACCCCCCACCCCCTCGTGTACCTTGCCGGCCTTCATAGGTTTTCGCTAACAGCTCTTTCCCCCCACAGTCTGTAAAGGTTGTATGGGGTGTCTTTGTGGTCATGTTATTTCTGGTTAAGTGACCCGGGTGTTGGCGCTGTCCGCTGTGCAATGCGTGCAGGGCTCGCTGTCCCTGCTTGTGCCTTGTGCACCCATCGAGCAGCTGTTCCTGTCTTCTCCCACCAGGGCGAGTGCCTACCACCTGGGAGACATTGTGGATGGTCAGCTGCTGCACTTGCACCTGTTGTCCGATCCACCTACGCCTGTATCCGATCCTACCTACACCTATATCCGATCCACCTACTCTTATATCTGCTCCATCTACACCTCTATCCTCTTTGAATACAACTGTAGCCACACACTAATTTTACGTGGTGTACCAGAACCTTTCTAAAAGTACCCTGAACTAAGTAATCAAACAACCTCTGTTATTGTAAATAACAAAATACATAAGCAGACAATACAAGATAGCGGTGTCTCCACATAACAAATTAAAGTATTTCTTACGCAACCCATCGGCCTCTGTCATCAACAGTCAGGGTTGCTTGAATCTAAGCTGGTGAACTGCCAGATGTTATCGGCAAGGAGCACCCTTTAAGATACGCCTCCTGGTTCGACAAAAAATAATTATAAAACGCTACGTAAACGTTACTTTAAATGCTTTGACGCTGGTTTGCGGGCGCGCGCGTTCCGTGCGTGTGTGTGGGCGTGCTGCAGACCCGGACACACTGGGCGACATGTGCGTGCTGCTGGAGTGCGTGCGCTGCGTTTGCGAGCGTCTTGGGCCCGAGCTCACTTGGGTCACCGACATGGAACTAGGTCCCCCGTGCAACGCTGAAATCCTGGCCCAGGAGTTTGCGCACGGCCTGGTGCAGCAAACGTGGGTCCCACGCACGCGCACGCGGGCACGCACCATGCAAAATACAAAGACAAAGATCTCCCGTATAGACTTTTAACAGACTGTAGGAGCAAGTGCTGTTGTCGAGCATCTAATGAATGTTGGCACGGCGCACGAGGGGGTGGGTGGCCAATACCACGCCGGGCCGCCTTTGTCTCCCAAGTGGCGATATTTACACACGGCACCAGGTACTCATTTGAGGCTGAGTCCACCAAGTGGAGGCCCAGGACCGGTTTAGCTAATCGTCACTGGTGTTGGCCGTGAGCGGGAATCGAACTCAGGTCAACAGGTTCATAGCGCAGCGTGCTAACCACTACACTATCGCGCATGCACCTGGGTTAAATACTTGGCCATAGATAATATCAATGGCAAGAACTAAACTGATGCTGTCCCGCTCCCAAGTCAATTTATGTATGTATTTTGAACTTCTTTTGCTTTGTACGTAGCCACCCGTGCTATTTGGAGGTGCGGGGAAAATGTTGCCTTAAATGAGTGTACACGTCAGTAGTTATACGTAGAAGTCAACAAAGAAACCATGCGCAGAATACCTGCTTTTTCAAGTGCTCGCTAATGGTACTTGACTGTTGTACATGTTTGCAGGTACGTGTGTATGCATGTGTAACTTTGTTGTGTGTGTTGTCTCGGGATTGCCCAACACATTGCAAGTGCACGAGTATTGGCGAAACAGCCACACCTCACCCCCATTTTGTGCTGTGCTAGCCCTTAATTGGAGCTCTCAAACAGGATTTAAACAGGCAGGCAGTCTGCAAACATAATATTTTTTGTTCACCTGTCCCTTCGTTGCCATTGTCCGAAATGTCGCCGATTATATATTTTTATCTTTTAAGGCGGTGTTGTTGACGAGTGTGTTTTGACGTTTTTTTAAATATATATTTTTAAATGAATTCTGCCTATGCAGGGATGATGACGTAGATCTGCCGTCCCGATTGTTGGCGCTGGGGGATCTGACCGGGGCCCTCCGCCTCGTGCTAGCTCAACTTGACCTCGGCGGCCGCGACCTCCCGACCTCCGACCACTCCTCCGGTTCGTCCCCACGCTTCGCACGATCCTATCGTTGTCATCGTTGTCGCAGCCCGAGGCGACGCCTGCACACGCGCTTGTTTTGCACGTCTTGCCACGATGTGCAACGTGTACGGCCCGATTGCTGCTACGATAAATTTCCACGTGATAAGCCACTTCGTGGATCTATCACTTGTGGCCAGGTCGCTTTTTAAAAATAAACAAAGAGCTCAGTGGGCTTTACTTGATAAGATGAAAATTACTTGAGTTTTATTAGTATATATTTGTAAATGGTTTGTTTATCTTCCGTATCCTTATCTTCCCTCCTATCGCGTTTTTGTATTGTTTGTTGGAACGTTCTGAGCTGCCCCGACTGGTCACCTGTGGAAAGGAGCTTCCATAGCTCATCGGATTCTTCCAGTCAAAATTAAGATTCTGATTCTGTTGTCAATCCACTGTGCGATTGAGGGGCCTCCGCACGCCGTGCAGTTCACGGGAGCTATTTGACCGTACTTCACCATTGGGGGGTGGCGGTTGACAAAGGCAGTAAGCGATAGGCGTGCGAGCAGAGAAGTAAGAGTACAGCAATGGCTTTTGCTGCGCTGCCTTCTGACCACAATGCAACCCCCCCCATGCAGTCTGCAACAGCTGTATGCATTGGGGTTTGCGTATGTATGTTTGTTGAACTTTTATCACACCGTACGTAGCCAACCGTGCTAATCGGAGGTGCGGGGGAAGGACAACAAACTAAGCACGAAAAGCAGTTCTAAAGTAAAATGAGCTTTAAATCTAGATGTAAAAGTGCATAGCTCCAGTGACTTCCTGATATTGGAAATAAGAGCGTTTCAGATGGTCGCAGAAGCGCATCTGAAAGTGTGCGATGCAGTGACCATCTTTGTTCGATGCTTGGCCAGAAGCTGCTGCGAGGATGAGTGGAGTTCGCGTGGTGATGGTTTATGCTCCGAGCCAAGCACTGTCATGGTGAAATCCCTGTTTAGCTTCCAAGAGCTGATAGGAACGGGCACATTTGGTCAAAGGCTGTTTCCCTAATAGGATAAACTAATAAAATACACTGCACAATTTTTTGATACACACGATATAATTCAAGGAGGTTATTCTATGTTTGCTAGGTCTTCCTTGCAGAAGGGATTTTTCTTCGTGGAATCTCACTGCCTTCTAAATAGTAGATACAAGCCTGCTACAAATGTATTTATTTGCTCAGAAAATATCCTCTGCTTGGCTTTAAGATTAGTTTACCAGTGATTCCGAGAATGACAGTGATTCCTACTTAGGAATGTTTTGTCCATTTTTGTGCTTTTGTCGATTTGGTTCGAGGGTGCTGCGCTACGAACCTGGTGACCCAAGTTCAATTCCCGCTCATCGGCAACATGAGTGACGATTATCTGAATCAGTTCTAGGCATACCCTAGGTCGACTCGGCCTCAAATTAGTACCTGGTGCGGTGTTTAAACTTCGCCACTTGGGAGACAAAGGCGGCCGGGCTTCGTGCTGGCCACCCACCCCCTCGTGTGTTGTGCCGGCCTTCAGTAAGTGCTCGCTTACAGCACTTGCCCCAACAGTCTGTTAAGGTTCTAGATTTAAAGCTTTCGTGACTCCAGCGCTGTCCTCTAGACAGTCTGGTCCCTTCACTTGATGAAGGCCACTTGTGTTGTGGTCGAAACGTCGTGAATTTTTTATTTTTTGTTGTTTTTTTACGTGACTTTACCGAATAGAACCAAAGAGTCTGTTAAGGCTATACAGAGGATCTTTGTCTTTGTCGATACAGAGGCCGCGATGATGTTAGGCGTCTACGCGGGAGACCTTGGCTTGATGGCTCTAGCGCAAGCTGCCCATCAGTCAGCCCTAACTCGCCTAGAGATGTGCTGGGGCCTCCTGGTATTGCAAGCTATGCTTCACGAGCATTCCTCTGGGGTGAGAATTCGCACGCCCCGCCGCACCCCACTGCACGCCGCGTACATCACGCTGCGCTATACACACGACACCTGCCTGCTCAAGTCATACAAACCATATGTTACACCACATGCCACACACCACATTGCACGCCACATACATGAGTCTACACCAGTAGGTTCTCAACCTTTTTGGTACGGCGGCCCCCCAGTTCAGACCACTGGACCCCACGTCACTCCCCCAACCCCAGAAACACAACTAAGGTTACAAAGGTCACAATACAGAGATATCACGTGTCTACGACTCGAGTCAACGTGATGGCGGTGTTTGTAAGCCGTTGCGTATTAGTGCTTTTTGAATTGGCAAGGCATTTGTTTCATGTTGTCTATGCTCATACAGGGTCATGGACAGAGACACAAAGATATGAGACAGGCAGTAAGAGAAAGAGACAGAGAAAGAATGTGATGAGCAGAGAGATACCGAGAGAGACGCAGATCTACAAAGAGAGAGGGACAGGGAGTTGCAGAAAAATGTAGACGGAGAAAAAAATAGAGACGCTTGTCCCGCTCGTTGGGGAGACAGAGACGGCTGAAAGGGGCACTGGCCAAGCCATTCTGAAGAGGCACTCTCAAGCAGCAGCACTTGTCCACAACAATCCTTTACACTCAACTCGGGATGCCTTCCTCCCCGTGTGTGTGCATGTGCGTGCGTGCGTGTGTGCGTGCGTGCGCACGGTGTGCAGATTGGAAGAGACACGGGCGAGCTGTTTGAGAGCTGGAACGAGCTGCGCCCTCACACGGTCACGCTGCTGTACTGCTACAGCGTGCTGGTCTGGGCCGGACAGTGCCTCTCCACCGTCGTCCCGGCCAACGCGCTGTACGGGCCGCCGCCACCGCCTCTAAAAAATTCCCCCTGCCCGTTCCCTGCTTGCCCATCTCGTCTCGATGATGATGATGATGATGATTCTTTCATATTATATAGCAGCCATTCATGTGAACAAGCATCCCACAACACTGTATATTAATTCTATATAAGGGGACCAAGTCCCATATACAGGCACTACCTAGCAAATGTAAACTCTTACTAACGAACGAAATCGAAAATTAACAAACGAATGAAGGAATGGCACCAAAACAAAGACCGCGATGATGCCCTCTCGGCCTCGTTGTTTAACTCCAGGATTCCCCAAACTCGTTTCTCGCTCCCCACCAGTGCCGCACGCTTTCATTTCTGTAAATCGCCAGATGCTTCTTATACTTTGTAACTCGATGTCTAACTCGTTTATTTTGGCTGAGATCGTGTCGGTGTAATGTCAGTTGTTTTTGTTTAACTATAATCCTCCACCCACCCAGCGACAGAGCCGATAAAATCAAGCTGTGCCACGTGAGCAAATGTGCCGACTGATTTGGTTAATTCCGACAATTGGAGGTATGTTGAAAAGGCAGGAATAGTGTTATCCTTGTGGGATGATGTTCATTTGAGTGCATGTAAAGGTTCTAACACCCATAGGTCCGCACATGTGTGCTTTCCAATTGACACGTTATACTTCCAACTCCTGACCACACTCGCAACCCAGTGAGTTTGGGAAATTCACAAATATTTGAGGATTGCCCAACGCTTATCTCCAAAGAGCTGGATTACTGCCGTTGGCCCCCTGTGCGCGTGTGTGCTCATGTGTCCCATGTACTGTATGCGTGTATTTCTGATGGTGTGTGCACGCACCTGTGTGTGTGTGTGTACGTAACTCTTGTGTGGGGAGCGGTAGTCTAGCGGTTAGCGCTTTGCACTACGAACCCGGCGGCCCGAGTTCGATTCCCGCTTACGGCCAACACCGGTGACGATTATCTGAACCGCTCCTGGGCCTCTGTACCTGGTGTGGTGTGTGAACATCGCTACTCGGGAGACAAAGGCGGTCGGGCGTTGGTGCTGGCCACCCACTCCCTCGTGTGCCGTGCCGGCCTTCGTATGTGCTTGCTATCAGCACTTGCTCCTGCAGTCTGTTAAGGGTATATGGGGGATATTTGTCTTCTGTGTGTGTGTGTGTGCGTACCGGTGTGCCTTAGGGAGTGCAACCTTCGGAGTCTATCTGTGCTGGACATCTCCGGACTCCCCGCTGTCAGCATGGACACTTCCAGCGGTGAGTGGACACTGATCCCAGCAAGCCCAGGTTCACATCTTGGCCCCGCGCAACTCCAGTAACGATTCAAATTGAATTATGCTCATGGCCTCCTCCAGGATCACCTCGGCCTAATATGGGCATCTGCTGAGGTAGTGTAGTTAAGGGCATTCGCAATGGGGGGGACAAAGCTCGAGCGGAGTACTGTGAACCTGCCGCCACCTTTTGTGTCGTGCCGGCCCTCGGGCTTCAAATGGACCTGCTGCCACCTTGGGGTTAGGGGTGATTCGGCCATACGCTCCACCAAGGTGATCTGTTGAGGCCTGTCGAATCGTGCCCTACCCAACGTTGACCGCGCTCCAGGCTACGGACCTGGCTCGACCGAGATTTCGTCGGCACGGCGACTCTGGAATACCCTCCACTTGGCGATTGGGAACTCGCAGTTGTTGGAGACTTATTTAAGACCCCACTCTAGTTCTCTCTCTCCGGTTCTCAATTTATTATTAATCGGAGCTCGCTTACAACATTCGCCCTACGACATACTCTGTAAGGCTTTCATGTATGGATGTATGTTGAACTTCTTTCGCACCATACATAGCCAACCGTGCTAATCGGAGATGCGGGGCGGGGGGGAGGACAAACTAAACGCAAAAAGCAGTTCTGAAGAAATTCGTTTTCAATCTAGACGATTTAAAAGTTCATAGCTCCAGTGGCTTCCTAATATCGGAAGGAGGAGCGTTCCAGACGGCCGCAGAAGCGCACCTGAAAGTGCGCGCGTCGCAGTTACCGTGTTTGTTTGACGGCGAGCCAAAAGCCGCCGGCTGCTTGGAGGATGAGAGATCGTCTCTCTGCTTTCCTCCCCGTCACCACCCTCCCCCCCTCCCCACAAATTCCTCCCCCAGGGCCTTCCGCCATGGTGCTGACGGAGCTGCTGCTCGGCTCCTCGTCGCGTGCCAGGGCCCTGGCGGCCCGGGCCCCCCGATCCTGCTGCCTCACTTGGCCGCAGCTGTCGGCCGCCGTCGTGGCCGACCTCCTCCACGACCTGCATCCCTTTTTTTGGCCTCAACCGCCGGCTCTCGGCGGGCCAGTTGTGATTAGCTACGGGCAAAAGAGATGGGGAGAGGTCGTACGGGGGGCAGCACCCCCCCCACCCACCCTTGGGGAACTCTTCGTTAATCGGGACGCAGTAATGTACACAACGATGTACCGCACCTCCGATGGTCTTGAATTACACCTCGTTTTATATTGCGTGTGAAACGTGCAACTACATTTATTTCGGCGTTCTTTTCACTTTGGCTTCCTTCTGTGTTTCGTAATTTTGCTCTTATTCTGTAAGGTCTCCTTTAAAAATTAGACTTTTTACTTTTAATAGGCCTGTACCTCCGATTAGCACAGTTGGCTCCGTATCATGCAATAGAAATTAAACATACGCGCATACTGTCGTGGTTATAAATGTGTTACGTTTCAAAATAAAAATTAATAACCTATGGAAGCTCGTTCATGAGTGCGGGCGTTCATAAGTCAGGGTCTGCCTGTATTAGTTGTGCATGTTAACGGGAGCATAGGTGGTGCAATCGCTGATGATTTGTGGAAACCGTCGCTTTAGTTGCTGTCGTTGTTGCCGTTGCTGCTGCATGCACCGCCCCTTTTTCCTTAACGTTTCCTCAGGTGGCCGCTGGGGGGTGAATTCATTTTTGGCGAGTTCCTGTCGCTTCACTGCCAGAACATGCAGCTGCAGGTGCAAACCTCACGTGTGCATACTGTACACACACTGTACACCTGCACATGCTCACCTGCGCGATAATACATCGCTCGCTTTTGTATTGTCTTAACAGTTTGTGTCTACGGTAGTGTAGTAGTTAGCACTATGCTGCGCTACGAACCCAGCGAGCCGAGTTCGATTCCCGCTCAAGGCCAACACCAGTGCCGATTTTTTATACCGGTCCTGGGCTTCCCCTAAGTCGACTCAACCTCAAATGAGTACCTGGTGCGGTGTTTAAACATCGCCACTGGGGAGACAATGGCAGTCGGGCGTGGTGCTGGCCATCCACCCCCTCGTGTGCCGTGCCGGCCTTGATTGGTGCTCGCTAACAGCTCTTGGCCCTCACAGTAATATGGGGGAACGTTGTCTTTGTCTCTCTCTCTTTGCACGTCTCTCTGGCACCAGAGGTACTGCAACCTCCTGGAGGCCTGGTGTCGTGCCCACGAAGGCTCGCGCAGCTTCCTGCTCGGGCAGTCCTACCTGGTCTGCGGAGAGCCTCACAAGGTGCGCTGGGTCACCCGTGGTCTGTGCAGCCGATGGCGCTTGCTCTGAGGAATCCGTGGAGACTGCAATGGGAGATTGATTCTTTTGTTGTTGTGCTCGTGCCTGCCCATGCAGGCTGTGGACTGCTTCATCAAGGCAGCCGGGGAGGTGGAGAAGGAACCGTTCCTCCGAAAGTTCCTCTCGCTCGACACCCAGCCGTCGGCATGCAGCCCTCGCATGGAGTACTTCAGCAAGGTGATCGCCCGCCCACCTCGGCCCCAACTCCTCTGGCACCCTGTTCCAAGTGGCATTCAATATTAAAACACCTAGAGCATCGGTCGGCAACCAAAATAACAAGAAGAGCCGCAATGCACGTTGTGAACACGAGAGACGGTGGTGGTCCTTAATAAAGAATGCGTCACGAAGCAGTTCCTTAAAGAGCCACCGCAAGCGGTTCCGGAGCTGCAGGTTGCCGACCCCTGACCTAGAGGATTTTTGTTTTTGTGGACATTAAGGGCGCTGTGTTCATGGCTCTGTAATTTAGCATTTACCAGAATTGTGTTTTACCCGATTACAGCTATGTTGAGTGTAAAAGGGAAGAACTCGAATGAGGATGGGGAGTTTATGCAGAGAAGCAGCAGTAAAGGAACTTGTTTTTATCTAAAATGATGTTTCCGTTTTTACAAAGACATTGGTTGGGATAGTTTATTTTAAGCAGCTAAGGAACAGTTTACAATATTCTACCGTGTCTCAAGATGCTGTACAGAAACGGTGGGCTTATCCGATAGAAAAAGACGGTCGTAGGCAGAGGAAAGCATAAAGACCTTGAGCCCTGGATGTAAAGAGGGGCCAGGAGTCAACAGCGCAGGCGGCTGGGGAAAGGGGCGTTCCAGACTTTGGTGACAGTGGAGGGAAACTGAGCGACCTCCCACTGGGCAAAGATGAACTATGTGGGGGCTTTGATAGAAAGCCTTTGGTGTCTCGAGCGCAGAGTGAGTAAAGGGGTGGGGGAGGAGTAGAGTGAGATGACAGGGAGGGAGGTCGCCAGGGGCGAGTCCAACAGAATAATGGCGGGCAACGTGGGATTTTTAAATTGTTCCGGGATTGTATTGGCAGTGGGAGTGATGGGGATGTTCTTTCACAAGCGGTTGTTACCCCATGTGAGACTTGGTAGATTTCCTGTCAGTTGCGCCTCCTAAGTAACTGTGGATGTCGCCCCCTCCCCTCCGTGACGCGTTGCAGGTGGTTCGTTTGCTTGAGAACCTCCAGCTGGCGGAGCAGGTGATCGACGTGGCCGGTCTGGCTGTAGCCACGGCAACCGAGGGGGATGCAGCGTACATTGTACGAGCGCACTTACGCAACAAACACGCGCACACACACATGGGCATGCACGCATGCCACCAACAGCACCCCACCAATCGTACCCCAACAAGCACACAACTCGGCATGCACACACCTCAACACACGCACCCTCACCATGCACGCACACATCACCACTCATCACAAGAAATACATACACACCTGGGCATGCACGCACACCACCACTCACACCCCAACAAGCAGACACATCAACACACGCACACACCATCACTCACTTCAACACACAGAAATAACCAAACACGAGCACTCCAAATAGATATGCACTTGCCGATAATTATAATTCTGTATTAGTGATATGGCATCCTCCGATACGCCAATGCATCTTAGTGCAAGCACTTGAAACCTTAATTGTCCTCTTTTTAAATGTGACTTTCTTTGTACTTAAAAAAAATAGTATTTCATGTTATTAATGTATTTTTTCCCGATTGAAATTGATACTTTATATCATTTGCATGTTCTGCATCCGCACTTAGAAACGAACTTCCACTTTGTTATTTTTTTTTGTTATTTTATTTTCACCTACGTGACTTTACCCAATAGAACCAAAGAGTATGGATCCTAGCAGTCACGAAAGCTTTAAATCTAGAATTGAACTTCCACAAGTTATTTATTTTTTAGCCATCCGATTTGCAAACGAGGAACTCGCCCTTGCGAACCGAACTGCGGAACCATTTACAGCGTTATGTGCAAATATACAATATTTATTCTTATTCATGAGTTTAACAAAGTTTTCCTTTGTTTAACTGTAATGACGCATTTTATAACGCTGACCGTATGTGTACATTTAAATACGGTACATTATTGTGTTCCGACTTACGAACCTTTCGACTTGCGAATGGGTTTTGGGAACAGAATCTGTTCGGAAGTTGGAGACTTCCCGTAGATAAACTAAAACTAAACTAAAACAATTTTTTTTATTTTACCAGGTAAGGCCCACTGAGCTATATAGTTATTTTTCAGAAGCGCCCTGCCCACAAATCATAGTTTCACCAAGTGGCTTATCACGTGGAAATTTTTGTCGGCTAAATGCTCTTAAACGCATGTGGAGGCGAAAACGCGGAGAATATCGCGGAAAATGCCACGCGACCACGGGGAGAGAGACGCGCAAACTCCAAATATACAGCGGCAGGCGTTAGCGTCGGGATCGAACCCACGACCCCCTGTAAACCAGGCGAGGTAGCCAACATCTTCGAGCCACGCAACACTGCCACACGCCCGTTGGCCTCGGCTTGACGACGGCGGCCGTTGTTCCCGCAGGCCTCCTTGCAGACGCGCATTTTCCGGCAGCACCTGGAGTTGGGCCACTACGCCGAGGCGTTCCAGTGCATGATGGCCAATGTGGACACCGCAGAGTGAGAGAACGCTTTACACTGCAAACGCAAACTCCTCTGTCCATCGCTGTCAACGGAATTTTTTTACGATGTCACCGAGGTGGCTTTGGGTGAGAGGACCCGCCAGTGGATCTTGTCTGAGCACGGAACCAGAGTTGTTCAGTTCTCGTAGTCGCAGCTGGCAGTCACCTGTAGCTGGTTTTGGCGGTCGTCGTCGTTGTTGTCACGAATGCCGTAACAACAACGACAACCCTAATCATATGCGTTTATCTTTTAAATTAGGGTTGTCTTGCACAGCACTGAGTTTTAAAGTGTATAAATATCCAAAAAATGAGTTCGTTTGGCTTGGGCTCATTGTGTACCACAGATATATTATATGTACCAAGTATTAAGACACTTTTAGAATTTTTTATGATCTTGCTCGTATAGAATTTTTGCCGAATTCCACATGGTCATTCTTCCCCTTGTGTTGTTAAATTGCTTTCAATGAAGAATTTTCTTTCAATCGAAGCGCTGGTGATGTGAGATACGTATGACGTACATTTGAGATACGTATGATGAATGCGGTGTTGTGCTTACTTGCCTGCGTGTGCCAGCCGGAAGAACTGCTTGCGGGCCCTGACCGTGCGGCTCTTGGAGCGGTCGCAGTTGTACGAGATCGTCAGTCTGCCCTTTGAGGACCTGGAGGGAGAGGTGCCAATCGCGACACAACCCGTTACGAACCCTGGGGACCCAACCCCACGCACGACAAATCAAGCTCGACAACGGCGCGACGTCTGACACGGCGGACAATAGCGGTCACCGTGGCCTAACGGCGGCGAAGCGTGCGTGTCGTGTAGCCCCGCACCTCAGATTAGCACGGTTGGCTACGCACGGGGCGAAAGAAGTTCAACGCGCGTACACGTGCGTGCGACAGGGGCTCGCAAAAACGAGGGGGTTCGACCCCTTGGGCGCTCTGCTTCCTAAACCGTTCCCTCGGTGGTGAGCGCACTGCAGTCTGAATCCCTCGCGGCCATGCCACTGGTCCACCACGTCGTACCTTTGACGAATTACGGTTCTAGCAGTCGTTTATTTAGTTGAGGTAACAGATGCACCTGTGCACGTTTGCGTACGTATATTTGCATGTATTTGTGCACTGTATATCTTGAGCAAGTGCGTGCGTGCGTGCGCGTGTTGGTGGTGAGCGTTTCAGTCTGTGCGTGAGCTTTGCGCTGCAACTTGCATTATGTATTCGTCATAATCACAATAACAATGTTTAGTTTTGTCTGTAGCGTCGTTCATGCAAATTGCATCTCACAGTTGCTGAGGAACCCCGGACAAGCTGGACGGCAGCCAGCCAGTGAGCCGGCACTGTCAATTATTGTGGGGTCCCCCGAGATAATAATGAATGAGTGGAGGGGATATGCGCCCGTACGTGCATTTTAACGCACAGCAAGGGGGTAGAGCTGGTGGTGCATCTACCGCTCATCTCAGTCAGCCAACCCATGGCACCTGCTGGGTCTGTCAGCGAGCCTTCGACACTCCACGTGGCCTCAAAAGTGTGCACCTGGCCTGGCACAGGCGCCGTGGTGACGTCACCGTCACTTAGTGGCGAATTGCGGTTGTATTTGTGTCTCTGTATGCTGCTTTGTGCGTGCGTGTGGAGAGCGGTGCTCTACATTCCTGGTGACCCGAGTTCGATTCCCACTCAGGGCCAACACCAATGGCCATTATCTGAGCCGGTCCTCCGCCTCGCCGAGGTCAACTCAGCCTTAAATGAGTACCTGGTGCAGTGTGTAAACATCACCATTATGGAGACAAAGGTGGCCGGGCGTGGTGCTGGCCCACCCACCCCCTCGTGTGCCGTTCCGGCCTTCGTAGGTGCTCGCCAACAGCACGTGGGGGGATCTTTGTTATCTTCGTGTGTCCGTGCGTGCGTGTACCAGGTGGTGGGTATTTTGGAGGAGCGCGCGCGCTCCATGGACCTTCTCTCTCACAACACCTACGAGCTGCTCTACGCTTTCCACGTGCGACGCAAGAACCTGCGCAAGGGTGCGGTGCTCAGCAGCGGTCCCCCTCCTCCGTCGATCTCACCTCGACGACCGTCACCCCATCGCGTCACTATCGCCGACCGGCTCCTCCGTTCCGCAATCGCCGCCAACCACACTTTTCGCGGGCAATCTCCCTCGCGTACGGCTGCAAAAAATCCTAACTTGAAAGAGTCTTACGTGCCCATGTTAGTTATCGAGGAAATGGATTCTGGTTGATTTGCGGTGCGTTGATTCTCAGTTAAAAGGTAAGCAAGCAAAACCCTGCGGTGGCATGGTTGAATGTTCTCGAATTCAGGTCGGTTCGCGGCTGTGTTGTTGAAGGTCTGGCCGCTGTTGCTGCAACCGCACGCCTGGGTTTTCTGTGAATTTGATCGTTGTTGTTGTGTTTGCGTGCGTGCGTGCACGCGCAGCCGGCAGCGCCATGCTAGAGTACGCCCGCCGTCTGGGCAGGGAGTTGCCCACGCTGGCCGGGCTGCGCAAGCAGGTGCCCGCGCTGCTGGTCACCCTCACGTGCCTGCGTCTCACGCCGGCCAAGTACGCCTGGATCGCCTTTCCCTGCGCGTCGCACACGCCCGTAAGCTCCTACGCACGCATGCGCACACAGAACAACCACAACAGACGCCATTCGCCACTTCAGGGGCGGTGCAGTCACCACGGCATTTGTCCCAGGCCCAGTAAACGTTGAGGCTATCGCGTGAAGTGCGAAGGCTCGCTACTGACAGGAGGTCCCGGGACATACCCAGGTGCCATGGATTGATTGACTGAAATGACTAGCAGATGCACCACCTGTACTCCCCTCGATGCCAAGTTGCTGCGTTTTAGCTGCTCGGCGCTCCAAAGACAAAGATCCGCCGTATAGCCTGTAACAGTCTGTTGGGGCAAGTGCTGTTAGCAAGCACCTACGGAGGCCAGCGCGGCACACGGTGGGTTGCGAGCACCGCGCCCATCCGCCTTTGTCTTCCCAGTGGCGATGTTGACACACTGCACCAGGTACTCATTTGAGGCTGAGTCGACATAGGGTGGCCCATGACCGGTTCACCTAATCGTCACTGGCGTTGACCGTGAGCGGGAATCGAATTTGGGTTAGCGCAGTGCGCTAACCGTAACGCCACCGCTCCCCACGACTTGAGCGCCAGAAAAGACAACTTTGTCTTCACGTCACTCTTCCCCGGGCACCGGCCACCAGTTTAATCCTTGCGCTGGAGCCAGGTGACGCCTGCGGTGGCAAAGTCTGTCGCCAGCAATGAGCCCCGACCTGGTGTCTAACCTGCGTGCGCTTGTCTCGTGTGCCGACGCTGCAGAGCGAGAGGCCGGGAGCCTCGCCGAAGCGGGACCACGACGGAGAGACGGTGCAGCCTCCGCGTGAGCCTCGCTTTGTGAACTCAGCCACCGCCGACGCGACCGCCGTGACCGCGGCTCGAGCCACCCGGGCGAAATGCCCAACGACGCAAATAGTCGCAACGACACTCGCCCCAACGCCACGGCTACAAAGACAAAGATATCCCCCACCTCCCCTCGTATAGTCTTCACAGACTTTTTGGGGCAAGTTGGGACGGGTGTCAACGATCGGTATTGGTGGTGGCGATGGTGTTGATGGTGTTGTCGGTGTGTGCAGCGAGGCACCGGGTGGAGGTGGTGGAGGTGGAAGACGTGCAGCGCGAACTCTCTCTGGCGAAGGCGCGGTTGCGGCTTGCGGAGTTACACCCCGATGTGACGCACTTGTCTGGTAGGAACACTCACGTGCACACGCACGCACACACACACGCACACACGCACGTGTCCGGTAGGAACACGCGGGTACGTTACTGCAGGTCGCACGTACGTAGGCACACGACCACACTACTGGGGCACATTTACACTTGCCTCTTTTTCCACTGTACAACCAGCTGCACCCTGGCTGTGCCAAGCCAGTCCGGCGTGATTCAGGAGACGCCAGATTGATTTTTCCTCCATAGAACCAACAATAAATTCTGGATAAGTGATTAAAGATTAATAGAAAACAGCCTGCGTGCATTCTCCGTTTGTGATGGGTTTTCTCATCATTTACAGAAACCTTTTGATCCTTGAAGCAAGTGTGTGTACCATCTGATGTTCAACTATAACGAAAATTATTTACCTAGCCCCTTTGGCCCTGATTCTATATAAGCGGGGATGGATATTTTGTCTTTGCGCCGATATTGCAGCGAGTGGCAGCAGCGCAGAGGAGCTGGTGCCGCTCTTGGTCCAGGCTGGGCTGATGGATGTGGCGCTCAGCCTCTCGCGATCACACAGCCTGAGCCTCGAGGCCGTGTTCACGGGCCTCGCGTTCAAGTGAGTCCCGCCGTGTGGTGGTAAGGGCCCGGGGCCCCCACCGTCGCCGTACCTCCGATGAGCACGCTTGTCCAAGCACGGTTCGAAAGAAGTTCATCTTGCATACATGTGTATGGTTGCTGGTTGTTAAAAGTAAACTAAACTATTTTAATGTTGCCTTGTAAGGCCCACTGAGCTTTTACAGCTCTTTTTCATAAGCGACCTGTCCACAAACGGTAGCTAAACGGAAGTGGTCACGTGGATAATTTATAGCGGCCAAATACTCAAACGCTTGATGTTGATTCTAAATGTGAAGGGAAAAACCGGAGAACAGCAGGTGTCGGGGTTAGGATCGAACCCACGACCTCCTGCATAGCAGCCAAGGGAGTTAACATCTCGCCGAAACGAGAAATTCAGAAAAAGAATCGCACACGAGTATGGGTCGCGTGACGCTTTACAAAATGCAACCGTCCTTGGGTTCATATTCTTAGTTCTTTCGGTAAAGTCCTTGGGATTTTTTAATTTACAGTCCAGAAACCAATGGGCTAGCTGCCGTGGCAGAATGTGTTTGCACGTTTGCAAGTAGCGCTTCCCGCTGTGGTTAGCGGTGCAAGTTTATGGCAGCCCTTTTGATGAGGTTGGCCAGTTTTCAATTAAGTGGGTCCCGAGTAGCAGCACAACTTTGCACGAAAGTTATCTTCACGATGCAATATCTGTCCATTATCAACAGGAAGAGCTACATTTCCGCGATATCATTTTCACAGTGTGACAAATATTGTATTTCACATTTTTATCATCTTTTCTTTTGCTTTTATGTATTTCAAGCATGAATTGCTTGGAAATTATTTGAACTTTAATTCGATCAACAAGAGCTTGCCGTCAATCTTTTCATGTACGTGTTTGAATGCAGGTGTGTGATGCTTCAGAATGATGTGGGTGATGAGCAGGAGGAGGCATGGAATTGGCTATCTCTAAACGAACTACCCACCAGCTGCAACTTCAAGGAGACCACCAGGTGAAACATAGCGTGCACGTCTTTCAGCGCTGTATACCAGCCCCTCCATTCCGGAGATGGTATCACGAGGTCTAGTTGGTACGGTTATGGGTTAGATACGGAATTCCTTGGAATATCAATTCTAGAATCACATTTCAGGTGAACAGAAGACACACCGACATTTCTGACTCCACGTATCTAATGAACAACACTATAAAGTCCCATTCCATTTTATGAGCAATTCCTGAGTTTCTGAGCAAGTCGGTGCGTATTAAATGCGATTCCAGAATTGCGTATCGAGAATACGCGCGTGTGCGCGTTCGATTTTCGCTCACGGCCAACCAACACCAGCAGTGACGATTGTCTGAACCGGTCCTGGGCCTCCCCTAGGTCGACTGAGGCTTGAATGAGTACCTGGTGCGGTGTGTAAACATCGCCACAGGGGAGACAAAGGCGGTCGGCCGTGGTTCTCGCCACCGACCCTCATGTGTGCCGTGCTGGCCTTCGCAGCTGCTCGCTAACGACACTCGCTCCAACAGTCCGTTAAGGCTCCACGGGGTGCGGGGGGCGTCTTGGTTTCGTGTGTGCGGGGGGTGTCTTGGTGCGTGTGTGTGGGGGGTGTCTTGGTGCGTGTGTGTGGGGGGTGTCTTGGTGCGTGTGTGTGGGGGGTGTCTTAGTGCGTGTGTGTGGGGGGTGTCTTGGTGCGTGTGTGTGGGGGGTGTCTTAGTGTGTGTGTGTGGGGGGTGTCTTGGTGCGTGTGTGTGGGGGGTGTCTTGGTGCGTGTGTGTGGGGGGTGTCTTAGTGCGTGTGTGTGGGGGGGTGTCTTGGTGCGTGTGTGTGGGGGGTGTCTTGGTGCGTGTGTGTGGGGGGTGTCTTAGTGCGTGTGTGTGGGGGGTGGCTTAGTGCGTGTGTGTGGGGGGTGTCTTGGTTCGTGTGTCTGGGGGGTGTCTTGGTGTGTGTGTGTGGGGGGTGTCTTAGTGCGTGTGTGTGGGGGGTGTCTTGATGCGTGTGTGTGGGGGGTGTCTTAGTGCGTGTGTGTGGGGGGTGTCTTAGTGCGTGTGTGTGGGGGGGTGTCTTGGTGCGTGTGGGAGGTGTCTTGTTGCGTGTGTGTGGGGGGGTGTCTTAGTGCGTGTGTGGGGGGGTGTCTTAGTGCGTGTGGGGGGGTGTCTTAGTGTGTGTGTGGGGGGGTGTCTTAGTGCGTGTGTGTGGGGGGTGTCTTAGTGCGTGTGTGTGGGGGGTGTCTTAGTGCGTGTGTGTGGGGGGTGTCTTAGTGCGTGTGTGGGGGGGTGTCTTAGTGCGTGTGTGTGGGGGGTGTCTTAGTGTGTGTGTGTGGGGGGTGTCTTGATGCGTGTGTGTGGGGGGTGTCTTAGTGTGTGTGTGGGGGGGTGTCTTAGTGCGTGTGTGTGGGGGGTGTCTTAGTGCGTGTGTGTGGGGGGTGTCTTAGTGCGTGTGTGTGGGGGATGTCTTAGTGCGTGTGTGGGGGGTGTCTTAGTGCGTGTGTGTGGGGGGTGTCTTGATGCGTGTGTGTGGGGGGTGCCTTGGTGCGTGTGTGTGGGGGGTGTCTTGGGGCGTGTGTGTGGGGGGTGTCTTGGGGCGTGTGTGTGGGGGGTGTCTTGGTGTGTGTGTGTGGGGGGTGTCTTGGGGCGTGTGTGTGGGGGGTGTCTTGGGGCGTGTGTGTGGGGGGTGTCTTGGTGCGTGTGTGTGGGGGGTGTCTTGATGCGTGTGTCTGGGGGGTGTCTTAGTGCGTGTGTGTGGGGGGTGTCTTAGTGCGTGTGTTTGGGGGGTGTCTTGATGTGTGTGCCCGCGTAGCCCTGCGGACGAGGCGTGGCGCCTGCTCGCCTGCTACCTGGAGAAGCACGGCGACCCCACGCGCCGCGCCCACCACGCGGTCATCGGCAAGCTGCTCTCCCTCGGGGCCGCGTTGCCCACGTGGCTGGTCAACGTGTACAAGGTGTGTCCGCGTTCACGTTGACGTGCGTGCGTGCGTGGGTGCGTACAAGCGATGCATTCGGCCTGCGAGCAAGACGATGCGTTCACGCCAGTACCCAGGCACGTGTCTGCACCTAGGCGTGTGTGTTTGCATGCGCAGGCCTGTCCCCCCCGCCTTGTGTGTGTCCGTGTGTCTGTGTGTACGTGTGTCGACTCAGCCTCCAGCGAGTACCCCGGTGCGATGTGTAAATGTCGCCACTAGGGAGATTAACTCAACCGGGCGTGGTGCTGGCCACCCACCCCCTTCGTTTGCCCTGCCGGCCTTAATAGGTGCTCGCTGACAGCACTTGCCCCAAAAGTCTTCAGGCTTTACGGGGAGGTCTTTGTGTGTGTCTGTGTGTGACTGGTGAGTGGGCACAATGGTTAGCGCGCTGCGCTATGAACCCAGAGAGTCGAGTTTGCTTTCCGAAAGCTCACGACCATTAACATTGGGGAACATCTGAACCCTGTCCTGGGCCTTCTCTTGGTTCGACTCCGCCTCAAATGAGTACCTGGTGCGGTGTGTACAACATCAGCACTGGGGAGACAAAGGCGGCCGGGCGTGGTGATGGCCACCCACCCCCCCCTTGTGTGCCGTGCCAGCCTTTATAGGTGCACGCTAACAGCACTTGCCCCCAACAGTCTGTGAAAGCCTATATGGGGAATCTTTGTATTTTCTTGTGACCCTGCACCTTGTGATCAGCTATTGGCCAGTGTTAAGAATGGGAAGGGATTAGGTGGCCAGGTGGTGGAAAGGGTTGGACCACGATCTTGGCACTGCGGGAATCCCAGGATTTGAAACCGTGCGTCCACTTGTGATTCAACCAGGTTCTCAAGTGTAATGTTCTCAAGTCTGAAGCCGGGCACCAACGACTACACACCAAACCAAAAAACTTGTCACATTAAATTTGCTTTTAGTGTTTAGTTTCTCTTTGCCCCATACCTCCGATAATTATCACAGTTGGCTACGTACGGTGCGAAATGAGTTCAATCTACACACACACACACGCAGCAGCAGCACATCCAGGTGCATGCACATCCACACTTGGGCTTGCGTGTTCGTGCAGGCGTACGACACGCCGGCGCTGCTGCGCCTTTACCTGCGCTACGACCTTCTCGAAGAAGCGGCCGAGCTGTCCCTTGACCTGCTGGACGCCGTGCAGGGCAGCGGCCACACGTACTTCGGCATCCAGGTGCGTTGACAAAGACGAAGACGCACACGGGGACATGCACAGGCCCGATGCCCTGCTTGGCTCTCGAGATTCAATTCGTTTTTGGCGCTTTGGCTTTCCATGCTGCTTCTGTGTAATTGTACGTGCAGTCAATCCACTGCTGTATGAAGGCCTCCCCACGGCGTATGGGGGTCGTGGGGTCAGTTAAATGTACTCGCACCCACGCGGTGTGGGTTTGTGAAGGCAGGGAAGCATACACCGTGTGAGCACAGTACATCACAACAGTGGATTCTGGTGCAATTCCCATATTAGCTCCACACCCTACACCATCCGTTTCATACATGTGGGTCGGCCATCCAAGCACTATTGAAGCTCAACCCTGCTGTGCTTCTAACATGTGACATTGAGCACATTCCGGGTGATTTGGCCATAGTGCAGGAGTGGTCTAAAGGAACCACAGCACAGGACCCTAACCCTCTAGTTCTAACCTAACCCTAACCTTCCAGTCCTGACCTAAGCCTAACCCTAACGCTCTAGTTCTAACCTAACCCTAACCTTCCAGTCCTGACCTAAGCCTAACCCTAACCCTCTAGTTCTAACCTAACCCTAACCTTCCAGTCCTGACCTAAGCCTAACCCTCCAGTCCTGACAAAGGCGGCTGGGCGTAGTGTTGGCCATCCACCCCCTCGTGAACCGTGCCGGCCTTCATAGGTGCTCACAATCAGCACTTGCCCCCAACAGTCTGTTAAGGCTACACGGGGGACCTTTGTGTGCATATCCCTCCTCTCAGGATCCCCTGTCAGCCACCGCTCCCCCCGTGTGGGTGCCCTACTCCACCATCGACCAGCTGCTCTTCGCGCTGCAGGAGGGCTCAAGTCCGTCGAACATGGAGGTGCTAAGCAGCAGCAGCAGCAGCAGCACTCATCGGCAGTGCAAGAGGCGGCCGAGTGAATCGGGGCAGCTCTCCTACACTTGGCCCGGGTCACAGCGCTGAGCCCAGCACCGCTAAGGCCCTGGTTCCAGTGAGAGCGAACTAGCGTTTTGTCAATTCTGGACAGAACTATGGGGGCTCTGCCGCTTCCGGGTTTTACCGTATCCTGGGTTCTGCTCTCATGGGCCCACGTGACGGCAACATTGCTGGTTGGAGGCCATGGGAAGGGTGTCCATGGTAACATTTTCCCCATCAACCACCACATTAGGCACTTTGATGGCTGATGTCCTCTCGTGGCCAGGTAGCACTGTGGCTTCGTGTGCTCCAGCCGCAGCATGAATATTGCAGGCTCACGTCCTGCTCAGCGGGTTGACTTGACCCATCATCTTTGCTGGTTCATTAGAATTCATGTTGACGAGATGTTAACTACCTCGCATGGTGCACAGGAGGTCTTGGGTGGTATCCCGACCCTGACGCCTGTATATTTGGAGTGTACATGGTTCTCTCCCCTTCATTGCGTTGATTTTTCTCCGGGTCCTCCGGGTTTTCCCTCCATATTTATAATCAACGTGCGTTTAGAGTATTTGGCTGCTTTAAATTTCCATGCGATAAGCCACTTGGTTGAGCTAGCATTTGTGGCCAGGTCATTTCTGAAAATGAGCTATATAGCTCAGTGGGCCTTACCTGCTAAAATAAAAATAGTAGTAGTGGAATGAGTACAGCTTAGAGTGGTTCTTAACCTGGGGTGTACACTGCCCCCCTGGGTGTGCGATATGCCCTTTGTAGGGGTGCAAGACATGGCCAGATTTTTTTTTAGAAGGTAAATCATCAAAAACACCAATTAAGCACGGGCACGTAAGTACAACTACTTTGTTTCATCAAACCCCTCTGTATTAACGTAATTGTTGTTACGATTTATAACCAAAGGGGGGATGCAAGGCTGCAGTAAAGGTTAAAAACCACTGGCTTAGAGGCTTAAACACCGTGTAATGGATGCGAATGACCCTTGCTGCCAGTGGCTCTTAATGTATTGAAGAAATATCAACGATCCCATCAGAGGGCACACTCACGCACGGGTAACATCAGCATGATCGTGAGTGGAGAGAGAGGGGGGGGGCGGTGTGCCTTCTGGGGGGGCTTTCGCTGCCACTGGCTTTCAACACGAGGTGCAATGTGAATACGTTGTAACGTACGATTCCCCGATTCGCTTATCACCACGTCCCGTTGTTAATTGTAACGTGCGTGCACTTAACATTTTTGTTGTTAACGATTTCTTTTCTCTCTCTCTCTCTCACAGCTACGGGAAAGGCTTCTGGGTAAAATCCACGCCTACCATGAGCGGGTGGAAGGGGTGTCCCGCGATATGCTGCACCTGGCCAATCAGAGGGCTTGCCTGCAACATCAGCAGTGAAAACACAAGCCTCTTGTCTCGCGTGTCTTCATTATTTTTATTGCTTCTGTGTGATACAAAAGCTGCTGTGCTAAATGGCGTTTTTGTTAAACGTTTATTAACAAAATATGAACCTTGAGTAATTTACAAATAAACTCTTTGACTATACAAATTGTTTATCTGTGCATATTTTCTTTGTCTACGTCATATACGCACACACATCACATTGGTATAGCGTACAAATATATGTTTTTGTTTAAGATAATTCTTACACGTAATAGCAAAAATGTGTCGCTTGGCAAGAACCCATTTAGACCCAGGCCTTGGGTGAGATAATAACCACAACACAGGGATGTGGGAAATATCACACGGCACAAATTGGCTGCAACTAAATCGCTAAGCAATTTCTTTTCGGCATTCACGATATTGCAGTGGTGTTAAAACACATTCCCAGTGGGCTCTTGCCTGTTTTGCACATCCATATTTAGAACGGTGGCGTGTCGTGGTTGGCCACCGTGCCGTGAACCTGGCGATGCGAGTTCGACTCTTGGCCCACAGCCGATGTCTTGAACCGATCTTGGGCACCTCATTTACCGACCGGTGAAGTATGGTCAAACAACCCTTGTGATGGAAATAGAATGGGGGGGATCCTTCACACCTGCAGTGGGTGAATAAATGGCCGTCATCTTTTGTTTTAAATTATAGTCCATATATAAAGCGTTCGTGTTCAGATTTAGCCCTGCGCACGCGTTTCAAGTGTTTCATGAGGTTCAAATGATTTAATGTTTCACAATTTGCATTGCTTACCGTGGAGGTGCCCGCAAAGGTCTGTGGGCTTGTTGGGAGGGATTGCCCACCATACGGTTTCTGTAGAAGCCTCACATCAGTGGTGGTTTTTCTTCTTAACCTGGGGTGCATGCACCCCTTGGGGGTGCGAGACATGGCCAGATTTTTGTTTTAGAAGCTAAATCTTCAAGTTAAGTACGGGCACGTAAGTACAACTACTTTGTTGCATCAAACCTCTCTATTTATTAACATTGAAAATGTCTGTCACGATTGAGAGCCAATTGGGTGCAAGGCTGCAGGGAAGGTGAAGAACCACTGCCTCATCCCCTGCGTACGAGAATGTCTTGCCTTGTCCTGTGGGGTTGCGAAGGGCAGAGTCCAGCGAATTGGTTTTATTTATTTATTTGAGCAGTCTTCAGGCACTGGTGGTTTTGTTTGTGCGTCTCTCTCCCCTTGAGCTGAACGAGCGAGGATGGAACTTGAGCAGCCCCGCTTGAAGCCGAGGCTTTGTTGCTGCTGCTGCTGCTGCGCCGTAACATTTCGTGAGCGTGGCGAAAGGTCATCGCGGTGGAGCGGGGTCACATGTTGATGCACGGGCCTCAGCGAGGCAGTTCGCACCATCGGTCTCACTTCACCCGAGGCGCTCCGTTTGCTCTATCGGGCCACTTCGGGGAGGGGGGGGGGGGGGCTCTGGCGTCTTTGGCAATGTCCCAGCACACAATTTGCAGGGCCGCGGTTTAATTTCCTTTCTGCCTGCGACGTTTTGGAACGGGGAGTGATCGGCGCTTTTTACCGTCGTCGTTACAAGAGAAAAAAAAAGGTCTTGTGTTTCTCCAACGTGTGGATATTGTCAGGGGACGCGACGAATCCCCATTGGATCCTCGTGAATAAAGGGCGCGGAAGTAATCTTGCGAGGACGGTACGGTCTCCCAAGGTGAACGCAGGGAGGCACGGGCGGGTGCCTGAGAACACCACGAGTCGCTGTGCTAAGGCGAAGCCGGGTCACAAAGTATGGGCGATGAGACGGTTGCACTAAATAGCATAACATGTGAAAGTTAAGTAAAGTCACCCAATAAGTCACACGGTCCAAAAACACGTGCACAAACCATAGAGCGTAGCTCGCAAAAATTGGAGACATTCATTATGACTGCATCGCCCATATTGCAATCCCAATGCTGGATGAAGACATGCCTGCGTACTGTATTGGTTATGAGCGGGGGTAAGGGGGGGGGGTTGTTTAACCATACTTCACCATGCCGGTTAGTGCAGGTTGGTGAATGGCTTGCTCAGCCAAGGTCCGTTTCAGATATCGCTCGCATATCCACGGGGTCAACAACTGTGGGCGATCATCGAACTGATCGCCGCCGCCGGGTTCACAGCGCAGCGCGCTAACTACTGCGCCACCGCTCCATCCGAGCGTTTTGTGCGAGAGAAAAAAATATGAACGAAGGGGGGAGGAGGGGGAGGGAGGGGAGGTTTCATCCAACAGCGGATTGACCACGGCGGAAGGGTGATGATGATGAACACCAATCATCACACGAAGGAAGAAACAGAGACACACAGAGACACAGAGAGACACACAGACACACACACAGAGACACAGAGAGACACACAGAAAGAGACACGGAGAGACACACAGACACACACAGAGACACAGAGAGACACACAGAGAGAGACACACGGAGAGACACACATAGACACAAACGCAGACACACACAGAGACACAGAGAGAGAGAGCCACAGAGAGAGAGATGTAGGCAGCACGTGACGTCACGTGACAAAGGAGCCACTCGGTATTCCGCGCGCGTCCCCGCGCGTCTTTGTCTCCCCCCCCCCGGCAACCCCCAAAGACTCCGTGAGCAGCACGGCGCTCAACCACTGCCCCCCCCCCCTCCTGACACCCCTCCTCCTGACACCCTCACTGCTGACACCCTCACTGCTGACACCCTCACTGCTGACACCCTCACTGCTGACACCCTCACTGCTGACACCCTCACTGCCACTGCTGCCGGCCAGCAGCAGCAGCAGTGAGCCAGCGACGACGGCGGCGGCGGCTGCAGGAGACTTCGCTGCAGCAGCAGCAGCAGCAGCGAGGCGCTCCCGTCCAAGGTACCGGCTCCCAGACAATTCACGGATCGCGCTCTCCGTTCTGTGTGTGCTCTGCCTTGGCGCGTTAATGCGTGCCGCGCGTGTTGTTGTTGTTGTTGTGCACGGGCGTGCTGTTGTCCTGTGCACGGGCGTGCTGTTGTTCTTGTGCACGCGCGTGCTGTTGTTGTTGTGCACGCGCGTGCTGTTGTTGTTGTGCACGTGCGTGCTGTTGTGTACGCGCGTGTGTTCAGTAATGAATGCTTTCACCACCACCACCACCTTAGTCCTATGGTCTATGCGCCTGTATGGGAGACCGTGTTTATGTGTTAATCTGTTCTCGCATGTACACATGTCATCACTGCACGTGTACACGCGCGCGTGTGTGTACGCACGCATGTATGTGTGCACGCGTGTGTGTATGCATGTATGTGTGTGTACGTGTGTGTGTACGTGTGTGTGTGTACGCGCGCGTGTGTACGCGTGTGTGTGTGTGTGTACGCTCGTGTGTGTGTGTACGCTCGTGTGTGTGTACGCACGCATGTATGTGTGTACGTGTGTGTGTACGCGTGTGTGTGTACGTGTGTGTACGCACGCATGTATGTGTGTGTACGCGCGTGTGTGTACGTGTGTGTGTACGCGTGTGTGTGTGTACGTGTGTGTACGCGTGTGTGTGGACGTGTGCGTGTGTACGGGTGTGTGTACGTGTGTGTACGCGCGTGTGTGTACGCGCGTGTGTGTGTACGCGCGTGTGTGTACGCGCGCGTGTGTGTACGCGTGTGTGTGTACGCGCGTGTGTGTACGTGTGTGTGTACGTGTGTGTACGCGCGCGTGTGTGTGTACGCGTGCGTGTGTGTGCGTGTGTGTACGTGTGTGTGTACGGGCGTGTGTGTGTACATGTGCGAAGGGCGAGCGGTAGTGTAGCGGTTAGCGCACAGCGCTATGAACCTGGCGCACCGGGTTCGATTCCCGCTCACGGCCAACACCAGTGACGATTATTTGAACCGGTCCTGGTCCTCCCCTAGGTCGACGCAGCCTCAAATTAGTACCTGGTGCGGTGGATAAAAACATTGCCACTGGGGAGACAAAGGCGGTCGGGCGTGGTACTGGCCACCCACCCCCTCGTGTACCGTTCCGGCCTTCATAGGTGCTCGCTAACAGCACTTGCCCCTACAATCTGTTAAGGCTATACGGGGGATCTTTGTCTTTTATCTTTGTGCGTGTATGTACGCGTGTGTGTATGTGCGTGTGTGTAGCGGTTAGCGCGCTGCTCTACGACCACTGCCACCCGAGTTCGATTCCCGCTCACGGCCACCAACACCGCCAGTGACGATTATCTTAACCGGTCCTGGCCCTCCTCTAGGTCGACTCAGCCTCAAATGAGTACCTGGTGTGGTGTGTAAACGTCGCCACCGGTGAGACAAAGGCGGCCGTGCGCGGTGTTGGCCACCCACCCCCTCGTGTGCCGTGCCAACCTTCATAGGTGCTACTCGTAAACAGCACTTGCCCCAGCAGTCTGTTACAGGCTATACGGGGGATCTTTGTCTCTGTATACGGCACAGTAATGATGATCGCGTGTTACATGCATCGTCTGCGGATACCTCGCGTGCCATGTTAGACCCGACCTGTCCCTCCCTCTACCCAACGTCTCTAGATCGACTCGACCTTAAATGAGTGCCTGGCGCCGCGCGTGTAAACAACGACACTGGGGAGATAAAGGCGGCCGGGCGCGACACCGCCCTTTATTAAAAAAAATATAAAAAATATATGGTGCTCGCTCACGCCACTTGCCCGAACAATCTGTGCAGCCTATACGGGGGATCTTTGTTGCTGGTGTGCTGTCGGGCAGGCGTGGCGCGCGGAGCGAACATGGCGAGTGTGGGCAGCGGTGGCGTCGCGGTTAGCGCTACGCTGCGTTACCAACCCCGCCACCCCCGGGTTCGATTCCCGCTCACGGCCACCAACACCAGTGACGATTATCCGAACCGGTTCTGGGCCTCGCCTAGGTCGACTCAGCCTCGAATGAGTGCCTGGTGCGGTGTGTAAACATTGGGGAGACGAATGCGGCCGGGCGTGGTGCCGGCCACCCTCGTGTGCCGTGTCGGCCTTCCTAGGTGCTGCTCGCTAACAGCACTTGCCCCAACAGTCTGTCGAGGCTACACGGGGGAGCTGTGTCTTTGTGCGTACTGCATACGTGCACGCGCGGTGTGTGTGTGCTCGACAACACGACGCGTGGGCGCTCCTTGCCCGCTCATGGGCGCTGTCCCAACAATGACTGGTGCTGAACGGCGGCATTATTGTGATTGTTGTGATTGTTGTTGTCGACCCAGAGGCTCTTGTTCAGGAGGGTCCTGCCAAGTTTTGGCAGGAGGAGCGGGGGCGGGGGAGGCCGGTGATTGTTTCCATTGTATATATACCCCATGTATATTTGTACATTGTGTATACTTATACATTGTATATTAAACGTTGTGTATACAATTGCTACACTTGTATACACAATGTATATACTGTATACACAATGTACACACAATGTATACACAATGTATATATACATTGTGTATACATTGTGTATTGAGTCAATTTGTGGTGTGAGATTTCGGTTAACATTTTGCAACGACGACGCCGTCACACAGCGTGGTGGTGTACACAGCGTGGTGGTGTACACAGCGTGGTGGTGTACACAGTGTGGTGGTGTACACAGCGTGGTGGTGTACACAGTGTGGTGGTGTACACAGTGTGGTGTACACAGTGTGGTGGTGTACACAGCGTGGTGGTGTTCACAGTGTGGTGGTGTACACAGCGTGGTGGTGTTCACAGCGTGGTGGTGTACACAGCGTGATGGTGTACACAGCGTGGTGGTGTACACAGTGTGGTGGTGTACACAGCGTGGTGTACACAGTGTGGTGGTGTACACAGTGTGGTGGTGTTCACAGCGTGGTGGTGTACACAGCGTGGTGGTGTTCACAGCGTGGTGGTGTTCACAGCGTGGTGGTGTACACCGTGTGGTGGACACAGTGTGGTGGTGTACACAGTGTGGTGGTGTACACAGCGTGGTGGTGTACACAGTGTGGTGGTGTACACAGCGTGGTGGTGTACACAGTGTGGTGGTGTACACAGTGTGGTGGTGTGCACAGTGTGGTGGTGTACACAGCGTGGTGGTGTACACAGTGTGGTGGTGTACACAGTGTGGTGGTGTACACAGCGTGGTGGTGTACACAGTGTGGTGGTGTACACAGCGTGGTGGTGTACACAGTGTGGTGGTGTACACAGTGTAGTGGTGTACACAGCGTGGTGGTGTACACAGCGTGGTGGTGTTCACAGCGTGGTGTACACAGTGTGGTGGTGTACACAGCGTGGTGTACACAGTGTGGTGGTGTACACCGTGTGGTGTACACAGTGTGGTGGTATACACAGTGTGGTGGTGTACACAGTGTGGTGGTGTACACAGTGTGGTGGTGTACACAGCGTGGTGTACACAGTGTGGTGGTGTACACAGTGTGGTGGTGTACACAGTGTGGTGTACACAGTGTGGTGGTGTACACAGCGTGGTGTACACAGTGTGGTGGTATACACAGTGTGGTGGTGTACACAGTGTGGTGGTATACACAGTGTGGTGGTGTACACAGTGTGGTGTACACAGTGTGGTGTACACAGTGTGGTGGTGTACACAGTGTGGTGTACACAGTGTGGTGGTGTACACAGCGTGGTGTACACAGTGTGGTGGTGTACACAGTGTGGTGTACACAGTGTGGTGTACACAGTGTGGTGTACACAGCGTGGTGTACACAGTGTGGTGGTGTACACCGTGTGGTGGACACAGTGTGGTGGTGTACACAGTGTGGTGTACACAGTGTGGTGTACACAGTGTGGTGGTGTACACAGCGTGGTGGTGTACACAGTGTGGTGGTGTACACAGTGTGGTGGTGTACACAGTGTGGTGTACACAGTGTGGTGGTGTACACAGTGTGGTGTACACAGTGTGGTGGTGTACACAGTGTGGTGTACACAGTGTGGTGGTGTACACAGCGTGGTGTACACAGTGTGGTGTACACAGTGTGGTGGTGTACACAGTGTGGTGTACACAGTGTGGTGGTGTACACAGTGTGGTGTACACAGCGTGGTGGTGTACACAGTGTGGTGGTTGGGCGGGTGGGTGGGTGGTGGTGGGCAGTGGGGGGAGGTGGGTGGAGGTGGGTGGTGGTGGGTGGGGGGTGGGTGGGTGGTGGGTGGGTGGGGGGTGGGTGGGGGGTGAGTGGGGGGTGTGTGGGGGGTGGGGTAGGTGGGTGGTGGTGGGTGGTGGTGGGTGGTGGTGGTGGGTGGGTGGAGGGTGGGTGGGGGGTGAGTGGGGGGTGGGTGGGGGCTGCTTTGGCCCCAACTTGGGCCACCAGGGAAGGGTGGCCCAAGGCACCTCCGGCTACCAAGGCTACGAGATGCCCCCCCCCCCCCCCGATTGACAACCACCATGAGATTTGTTTTCAACAGCAGTGCGTCAAAGAGCAAGGCCACTTATTAAAAAGCGGTCATTTTTGTTTCCGTAAATGCTCTCATTTACGTTCCACGTTTTATTTTAATTTAATTCGAGCGGTAACGTTTGGCTTCCGCCAATCTAATATTGTGGCCCCACTTGAGCGATTAGCGCAGCCCCTGAACTGATGATGTCCTTACTCCGCCGCTGAATACACTGTGCATGGAACAGCGGGCACACAATGAATCACACACAGCAGCAGCAACAGCAGATACAACAGGGCGTGCGTCCAACACAGAGTGTATTCATAAAACTTGCGAGTTAAATCTTGACTGAAAGGCTTCGTGACTGCAGGAATTCAGATTCTTTGGCTCTTTCGGTAAATTCACGTAGATATGTGCGATCGAAACGTCGTAGTTTTTTTTTGTTATTTTCTTTTAACCTCTCTAACGTGACTTTACCGAAAGACCCAAAGAATACTCGTGAGTTGCTTGACCATTCATTTTGCTTCGTCTCAAGAGTTGGTGACTTGCGGATTCCAAACGACACCGCCGCCGCA